AGGGCTTGGGCTGCAGACGCTGCTTTCGAGGTGGTCCTCTTAATGTGTTCCGTGAACTTGAGTTGTGGGTCGAACCATATGCCTAGATATCTCATCAGGCTGGATGGGTTGATTGTTTTGTCGGCGTTGTCTATGTGTGAGGGGATGGTGATGGATGGGCCTGGCCCGGCATTTCTGCCCGTTCTGGTTTGGGTGAAGTGCATGAGGTCGTTTTTTACCGGGTCAGTCTTTAAGCCTCTTTCTCTGAGCCACTCGTGGACTATGCGGAAAGCGGTCTTAATGACTTCGGTGGCTTCTTCTCTGGATGGCGCTGATGCTGATATGGACCCGTCGTCTACATAGAGGGTGAGTGGAATGGGGGTGATTAGGCCTTTGTTCAATTTAGAGCTTAGCTCGGTGGTCTGTGCAATCCTGGTGTGGACACCTTCCTCTACGGCTTTCGCCAGGGGGGACGTGAAGTATGCTGCCAGAATTGGTGAGACACATGAGCCTTGTGGCACACCGGTGAAAATGGGTCTTAGCTGGTCTCGTTTTCCGTCTAGGCAGATTGCCGCTTCTCTGTCCTTTAGGAAACTGAGGACCCATTTTACTATGGGGAGCGGGATGTGGTAAGCTCTTAGCGTGCTGATCAGGTGGGAGTGGGGGATGTTGTCGAAAAAGCCGGTGATGTCAAAGGTGAGCATGGAGACTACTCTCTTATGGTTCCATGCCGCCTCGATGTCGTGTACTATAGTGAGGAGGGCATCTTGGGCTGATTTGCCGGGGATTCCGCCATACTGTGTGCTGGGGAATAAACGGTGTCTAGCTGCCAGGTATGCTAGCCTGCGGGCTTGGATCCGTTCAAGGGCTTTGCCTGAGACTTCCAGCAATTGAATCAGTCTATATGATCTGGGGAGGGAGTAGTCCCTGTTTGGTTTCTGCAACGCCACTGCGATGGAAGTACGCCATAATTTCGGGTGGTAGCCTGAGTCTGCGCATAGCCTGAGGAGGTGGAATATCTCCTCCCCAAGGGTCTTCCATGCCCACCGCCAAGCGCGCCCTGTGAGTCCAGAGATCCCTGGGGCATTCAGTTGGGCAGCAGTGAAGATGGCGTCTCGGACTTCTCGTTTTGTCACACTGACATATTCTATGTCATTGTTGCGTGGATCGAGAGAAATGGGCGGGGCATTAGTAAGTCTTGGGAGTTCGGGGAGGAGATTCTCCCGCAAGGTTTGACACTTGTCTGTATGACTAATGGCTGGTTCCAGATCGTCTCCACGCTTTATGGGTGGTGATATATATGTCCTGTGGCATTTGGTCCACTTCCTTATATCCCAGAGGTTGCGTGGATTTGCCTTTTCTGTGATGTTGCGGAAGTATTCCTGCTTGGCCTTTCTGATGCGTGTGAGGACCTCCCTCTTGAGGTCTTTTACGCGGCCAGCTAGGAATGTTGAGGGTCGGTGGAAATCTCTAGACCAGTCTTTCAGTGTTTCCTTGGCTTCACGGAGTTCTTGGTATGCTTTTGAGAGATCTTCCGTCCACCATGGCTTCGCTGCTTTGCTTGGGCGTCTCACTGGAACCGAGTCATTTGCTGCTTTTTCCAGGTACTTGTGCAAGGTTTCTGTTGCCTTGTCAAGTTCTTCTGAAGTAGCGGTGATGCGGCGGTCGTTGAGGAGTTCATACACTAAACTGTCATGAGCCAGTTTGTTGCTTTCGATGGTCGCTTTCAGGGCCTCTGTGAATTTATCCTCCGATGCGTGCTTCCAGTTGAGTTTTTCCTCACACAGGTTTGCTACTTCTTCCCTGGGAGGGCCTAGCTGGAAGGAGAGCGCATGGTGGTCCGAAAGACTGCCAATTTCCATATCTACGTGGTGTCCCATTAGGACACCTGCTCCGAGTGCTGCTGCGTTGGCAAAGGTTAAGTCAATAACTGATGAGTGTCCCATGTTGTCTTCCCGGGTTGGGACAAAGGGTTCATTGCAGATGGAGAAGGTTTTCCCTTCGAGCCATTCTAGAGTCTCTGTTGTGCGGTTGCAGGGGGTTTCAACCTGGTCATCCCATGTTGGATGTCGTATGTTCCAATCGCCAGTTATGATCGTTGGAACATCCGCGTCCAGCCTGATGTTAACCAGTCTGTCAGCCATGTATTCCCTACTCTGGGAGTCGGTGAGGGTCTTCTGGTTATAGATATTAATTAGTCTGATGGGTGCGTGTTCTGCTCCTTCTCTCTTGACTTCTAAGATCATGAAGTCAAGATCCGCTGCTATGTCATTCCTTAGGGTTAGTTCTATCTGTGCATTCTGGCGGGTGTAGGCAATGCATCTCGGATGTTCGCCTTCAGCGATAGGTAGTTTGGGAAGGATTGCTTGCCACCCCTTTAGGGTGGCCGATGCATAAGTGCCGTTGATCTTCTCCCACCATGGTTCTTGTATGAGCAGGATGTCTGGTTTTGGGTTCTTTCGTTTAGAGATGATATGCATTGCTGCTTGTGTTGCCGCATTGGAGCGGTTCACGTTCAAGCTGCATACCAAGAGTTGGGCCGCAATTTTGGGTGCGCGCTTCATTGGGGGGAGGTGAGGGGAGAGCTTGGCATTTCAACATCCATTTTTTCCCCACTTTGTGTGGTTGACCAGTTGAGTTGAACGGTCTGTTTGGCGGTTTTTGTCTTCGACCGTGTGTGGACAAGCTTGGCTGTGGATGCCCTTTGGGCTTCCAGTGATTGGTTCTGTTTCAGGATGTGGCTTACATCGTCACCCGACAGGCCGATGTCTAAGCTAACTTCCTCTGATTGACTGGTTGTCTCCTTTCTTTTGTCTTTGCCTCTCTTTTTGTTGCCAGCCTTCAGCTGCGCAGTTTGTGGCTGTGAGTTGCTAGGCGTCTGCGTAGTTTTCTTCGGGATGGGTTTAAGGCCCATTTTGCTTCGTCTGATCTTGCATTCTTTGAATGTGCTTGCATGTGCCTCTTTGCAATTTATGCAACGTGGTTGTGCATCTGCTGGGTGGTCATCGGTGTGGTGGTCCTTTGCCCCGCACTTTAAGCACCGCGGCTGTGCACAGTTGGCCGTGCGGTGGGAGTACATGCCGCATTTGCTGCATGCAAAGACTTGAGCTCGGTCTTCATATGGTGTAATGGTACATCTGTAGTTGAATAGATACACTGTTCTGAGTTCAAGAAGTGTATCTCTGTCTTTTTTGTTAGCCAGGTCCAGTACAACGGATGCGAAGTTCTTAGCGTAAATGGTGGCATCTGAGCCGAGCCATTTGAGTGGGCGCCATTGCTTCAGTTCCCTGTAGTGTGGGCAGTACGTCATCAGCTCCTCATGTACCATGTTAATCGGGAGTGGGTCGTTGCCGCAGTGGGTGGGAATTTTATTGATTTTAACGCGATAGTGTTCCATATCCGGTAGGGTCGAGAGCACCTCGTTGTCGGTGATGGTGGCCGCGATGTCGTCCCCATAGTCCTGTAGGTCAGAGGCCTTGCAGGTTGGGGCTGTCGTGATCTTAATGTTCCCTGCTACCGAGTATCCCACTGCCATCACCCTGAGGTAGTGTGGGAGGTTCTTTTTCTCTAGCATGTCGTTGATCTTCTTTCGGGTCTCGATGCCATTCGGGCGTTGGTCTGGTTGCAGGGGGGGTTAACACGGATGATTAGGCAGTGGGGATCTGCCATCTGTTTGTGTTCGGTTTCGTGGGTGGCTGTTTCATGTAGTGGTTTTGCTGCCTGTTTGGGTTGCGGTTTCGGTGGGGTCTTCGCTGCTACACTCGCCCAAGACTCGGCTGGGACTGCCATTGGTTTCGCCACAGTGACCGGGTCCCTCTCTGGCTGGCGTTGGGCGTGGGGTGAGGGAGATTGGGTTTGGGCCGTGGTCCCGTTGGATTCTAAGAATTTCAAGCGATTGGATAAGTATGCATTTGTCGAGGCAAGATTGGAGACGTTAGCTTCTGCCTCTGCCAGGCGACTTTCTAGGTCTTTCCCCACCATCTTCGTCTCGCTGTGGATCTTGTGTGTGGCTTTGGGCAATCCTGCGTACCAATGGGAGTACATTGGGAGGAATTGTTCCCATAGGCCTGCAAGGCCAACGAGTGATAGTCTCTCCGCGGCCTCGTTCATACTCGTGGATGCTTCTTCCATGAGCTTCCAGTTCCTGTCTTGTTCCTCGTCCTCAGGGGTTGGGGTTTCCATCCACATCTCCTCGTCCTCCGATTCGGAAAGTTCGCGGTGTTTGTCTTCTGGAGGGTCTGTGGGTTGTGTGCCATCTTCCATTGGTTCGGCCTGACGTTCTGTGTCTGGGGTGCTGGGCCATGACGACAGGATGCTGGTGACATCCAGTCGTTCAGTTCCTGTAGCGGTCGGGTATGGGTGCTCAGCGAATTTATCGTAAAGGAGTTGCATTGCTGGGGTGTTAATCGCTGCCGCTTCGCCCCAGGGGCTACTGTCAGCTGAGCTTGATTGTCCTCTTGTTGCGGTGGTTTTGGTGCTACGATGCGGCAATTGGTGTGGCTGGAGTGGTGTGCTCGAATTCGTGTTGTACGTATCTCGCTTTGTGTTAATCTGTCTCAAGTTAGCGGGGTTAGCTGGTTTTTGGAGCCCTGCTTTCCCTCCTGTGTCCGGTCTTTTTTGATCCTCCATGGTTAGGAGATCGTGCGTGGGGGGGAAGTGGTTTCGGAGGTGTGGGTGATGGTATTGTAGATTTTTCGATCTCTCTAGACGTTTTCCCTCTCTTTTGACTCGTCCAGGGTCCCGCACAGAGTGATCGAATTATATGACGAAAGCGGTTTTGTCGTCGGGTTGTTACAGTGGATGATCAGACTCGGAGTCGTAAAGTCGTTGGGAGTTTGACATCGACGTCAACAAGTCAAAACAAATGACTTCACATGCAACGGTTTACAGCGGCGCAGCTCCAATATCCTCGTTCCGCAACCCGCCTTTATCACAACCTGCTCTGAGGGGGAAATACATAAACACTTTGTGCCCAGCGTTCGCCCACCCCCCCTACTATCTCTTTCTCCAACGCGCATACAATGACAGAATTAACGATACAAGACATCCCGATCGAAGTGTTCCTCGATCACCTTTTGCCAGCCATCGACCTACCCGACCTCCTATCTCTAGCCCAGGCCAACAAGTTCTTTTCTAGCTTATGCGCAGATGATACTTTCTGGAAGGTAAAGCTCAAACACGACTACAACTTTTCTATCGTAGACGCCAGGAACAAAGGTGTGTGATTTACAATAATGCTTATTGCAAACCACTGATCAGAATGGTATGCAATCTTTTCAAGGCTTCAAATCCTTATATCGGGGAATCAAGAATCCTCAGCTACACGTATGGGGGTAAACGCTGATCAGTCGATTCTCAATCTTTCGCAACTTGCTCAACGGATGTCTCTTTTAATTGATACAGTGAAAAGACCCACGGGCGCTTAGGTATTAGCAGTTCTAATAGGGTTTTCGCGGAGTGGCCATATAGTGGAGGTGTCCCTTTCCCCGTTCGACTTCACATCGCGAACGCTCGTGTGGTCAATGTCGCTGCTGGAGGATGGTGAGTGGCATGAATCTCGGTGGGGTCGACCCAAATCAACTGGCTTCTACCAATGATCTAGGTCGACTTATGCGCTTGATGATTCGGGGGGTCTATACGTCTGGGGTACGTCGAACCCCTCCCCCCACGTCATGCCGCAGTAACTGATCCCGCTTTGACAAACACCTTTAGGTAAACTCCACGCGGAATTCTTTTCTGTTCGACAAGACTTCTCGGACCCGGGTGCGGAGGCAACCACGCCCACGCGCTTGGGCCTCCCTGAGCCCATCGAAGGCATCAGGTAACGGTCAATGTCTATTCTTTCCCAATGCGAACGACTAATTAACCTCAACAGCGTCGGACGGAAGCATCTCCTAGCTCTAGATGTCAAGCGCCAAGTGTGGCTCTTCACCTCGTGGGGGACACCCGCTAAGCTCGTCTCTCCGCTGATTAACGACGCCTTCTCAACTGCCACTCGAGTCGTCCAAGTGGCATGTGGATGGGACTTTTCCGCGGTACTCACAGCCTCGGGTGCTGTATACGCGGCATGGCCCTGGAAAGGTACATTCAAGGCTGCACTTGAGCACCACGCGGAAGAGTTGAAACATCAGCAATCACCCGTCGCACCCGCCAAAAATGGTGTAATTGAATGCCAGGCTTGGGAACTTCGCCACGACTTGTTAGAATTACCGCCCTTACCAACCAATTTGCCTGATCTTTCCATCGCATTAGAAGAAGAGTCACTGGATACCAGGAAGGGAAACTATCGTGTGACAAAGATAGCTGCGGGGGACAATTTTCTCATTGGTCTCACCAATCATGGCCATGTGCTTCGGATTGACTTCAATTTCAGCGATGAAGAGCAAGATCCTAGCAACGCTTTTCGGCGTCGAGCTTTTCAATGGCAATACGTACGCTCAGCCCTATCTCCCCTTATTGGCCCGATAATTGTAGTGATTCTCTTTCTTCCTTTTATTTGGCATGGCAGCTCCCCGAATTCAGTGAGCTGGAGCGTGTACAACAGCACCCCACTTTCGCTGGGGAGTCTCGAAAAGTACAAAGTGGTAGTGACAGTGCTTCCTTAGCCCCGCCCGAACAGTTATCAATCACTCATGTTAGCATTGTGACTTTTTGAGATTTGGAAGGACCCTTTGCGCTGACGGCATTTGGTGGATCAACCACAGATTTCAGCCTCTTTCCAGACTTTTGTTGCTTATTCGGTTGGAAGCTCCTCAATTGTTCTCATTGGGTCTTCAAAGTCAGGAGATAACGCAACTACTCCTAAGATTATCCCCGGTCTTCAATACCAAAACATCGTCTCTGTTGAGTTGGGAGATTATCACTACGCCGCGCTCACTCAAGACGGACACTTGTTCACGTGGGGTCAATTCTCCAAAGGTGCACTTGGTTTGGGGGTCCCTGAGAGTTCGACTCCCCCTTCCTTTCATGCGCACCTGCCGCGTCATATTCCACCGCGTCGTCTCGGTGGTAGATGGACGTCTTCTCCCCCAGGCGTCGAAGTGCCCTCTGAAGTCTTCTTTGACCATGAAGACGGAAAAAAGGACAAGTTTGTGTTTGCAATCGCTGCCCGCGGTTGGCATACCGTTGCGCTGGTGATTGACCTAGACTACAAAAAGGAAAAGGAGAACCAGTCGGCCAAAACGAGTAAGGATAACGATACATCTAGTATCACCTCTGCGGATGACAGGGCTTGGAACGCCGCTCATGCTAATTCCTCACCTTACACCCTTCCTGGCCCTATACCAGGTGGTCCTTTCCCCGATCCGGTTGAGGCACAAATGGTTGGATATAATTCAAGAAATCGGCAAGCGGAGTTCGGGGACCCCCCTGTACCCCTTTGGCCGATCCGTGCGGCTAGAATAGGATATGCAGGGCGCGGGAGGGGGGGATCATTCCTAACCGGGGTGGGTCGAGGCAGCGAAGTAGACGCAGGTTCCTCTCCCGCCGTACCTGAATCAAGCCAATCGCAAGAAGCCGCACCTGTTGAAGAAAGGGAGGCCATAGATGGAAGTTCGGGCGGTCATTGGGAATCGTTTAGGGGCCGTGCCCTTGCTGGCGGATTTCGGGGGTTGCCAGGACGGGGCCGTGGCGCGGGGCCCAATAGACAACAATCGTTGTGAATATCCTATTCTCTTATCGCCCCGCGATGTGGTGTGAGTGTGGAGCTTGTGCCACATTGGGGACAAATGTACAAGATCGATCGTGTTCAAGTGAGCCCGAATAATAAATTGTAATTAATACATAGGTCGATCATAATCATTCTATCCTCCCGGTCCAGTTGCAACCCCACTACTCTTCGGTACAGTTATGCTGGCTTTGCGGTGCGAAATCGTTAGTGGAGAGGGATCCATAGCCATGAATTCGGAGAAAGCAAAGGGCTCTCCTGCAACTTATGACACTTGGGCCTCTCCCACCGATCTGCGCACCGGTACTGATGTGTGTGGCGATGCGAACTGCACTAGGACGAGAAAGTCGAAAGCGATGGGGAGAAAAAAAAATACGATGTGGCGTCATGAGGAGCTTTGGTTCGTCGGGTTTTTGTCAGCGTCTAACCATGTTTGCTTCTCGTATGCTTGAAGAGAAGTTCACGGTCAGAACAATCGATAAGGGGTCCCTCCCCCCCCTCCTTTTTAGTCGATACCTTACCTTGCGGGGTATTCCCCTCCGTACATTTGGTGCCACTCTCAGGCTGGTGGATGGTCGTTGAGGGGGTTGGTAGTTGAGTGAAGGCGTTGAGCACAATCAGTGAGGGGTGTAGGTTAGATAGAAATTCTGCCCCCCCCCCCCCTCCCCGCCTTCATATATGATCTGGGCTTTCATTGTGACCCAGCCAATCATTTCCAAATGTGGTGCTTCGGGAGCACAGCCGCCAGCGGTGATCGATTATATATTGACGGAGAAGAACGACCAATAAATTCGGCCAACTCCGCTTATTCCGTAATCGGATCTAGCCATGTGACTTCATTCTATCCGCATGACGCGGTTCAAGCCACGGCATTTCGTTGCACCAGTTGCTGCATTTGGCATGGCCCTTACGTTGGGGTTTTACGTCAGAAGTAGCATACGTCGTGCCAAGTGGGAATCCCAATACGAGAGACGCCGTCGCGGCGAACACTGGCACCATAATGGAGAACAAGCCAATGTCCAAAGCTTACCTGATAACGGTCGGTTGGGAGTGTCATCGGAAACAGCAAGTCCACATCCTACATCCGTTGCGGATCCCAGTAGCAAGACTGGGTCGTCCTGATTCGTTGTCTCTGGCGTGCTGCCAAGGCTGGGCTCACACTTGCTTTGGACCTCAGTATATGCAGCCGATTGGCCCAAGACATCATTAACGTCATGAAGGCAAGCTTCTTTTCGCTTTTGGATGGGCTTCCTGTTGACCGCTGGTCATGCCTTATCAAGCCAGAAGTACGATTGACTCTCATCATAAAAAGTTGTGTCAAGCGAATTCTACCACGAGGCAGCAGCACGAAGGACGATAAGGAATACTCAAAAGTCGGCTGTAGTACGTTACTTCCATGAATCGGTGCACATGGTGGACGGAACGAGGAGCAAGTTGCCTCCCTAGCCGATGGCCATCACGCTCGATGGATTCGTTCATTGATTAATGGAAGAAAAATACGACAAACTGTACACGAGCGACAACAAGGAAATATAACATACGGTTTACCATGACAATGCTGGAAAACACGTTAAAGAGAATAAAAATTCGGTTACAGACCGCGCCGGGGGGAAAACGACAATAAGTATATCAGAAGAGTCATGCGCGTGATCATGATTTCATGTGTCAGTGAAAAAAAAAAATACAGCTTTCACTCCTGAACACTGGACACCCAATCGTGACTTCGTGCGACAAGTTCTAGCGAGTTGTCTGATGACCAGAATAGTTTTTCAGTCGGAGTCCGTCCACTCCAACTTTTTTGATCACGAAGGATCATAGCCTAATACGAAATCGTTCGTTCGTTAGCGGGAACTATGCCCTTCAGATTCCCGTCAACTCACCTGCTGAGCCCCAAATTACGATGATCGTGTTGGAACAGCTCAACGTTGTCTTCAAGGGCATCTATAAGAACTTGCAAGTCTTGAAGAATAGACTGCAGAGTTCGAACCGCAGCAAGGTTCAATAGCTCCTTCCTGCTTCTGACTGAGCCTTGGGTGGCAACAGGAGTCAGGTATTGTGACACGTTTTGCAACACGGTGTGCAGTATTCTCTTCGTTTCTTCCAGAATCTTTTGTGCCTGGGGTATGTTCTTTCTGCTAATGAGGACGAGTGCGCGGGTGATCATATCGGATGCCAGCAATTCCATACGGCGCCGGACAATGACAACGTCAGAAGCCGGTGTGGGCAGCCCCTTGCTAGTAGCAGAAGCGGGGAGAAGAGTGATAGTAAGCAGGACGGGGTTAGCCAGGCGCGACGCAGTTTTAGCTACGGCAGGGTCATAGAACGAGCCATCGAGTTCGAACACGGGCATTTCGTCAATCATACCATCCATCATACCATCGACGAGCGTAGGCGACGAATCATCAAGGCTTAGTCTACCCAATCCTTGAACGAACCTTTCAGTAGCGTTCGGCACACTTGAACCATTCAAGGTGGTCATTGAGCCATTGGTTTCCGAACCGGTGTGAAGCTCCACCTCAACAAGCATCTCTTTCTTCTCTCCAAACCGCAGCTCTCCGATATCAACATGCACGTCTCTGCCATCTGAAGCAACGATGGCGTGCGATGCGCCCGACACTTTGCGCATCTTAAAGCGGCTTAGGTCGACGACCCTCAGATGCAACTTCACGTTGGTGAGGGCAATCGACATCATGCCACCCAAACATCCAGCGAAGCAGTCCCTCAGATCGTACCAATCCTTGACAAATGTGTATGTTCCATTTGTATGATTGGACATGAGCCATAATGACGCCGGGTCATGAGCTTTTCCATAGCCAAACGAATGTATCGGGACACTGAACATGAAGTCAGAGGTAGGAAGAACAATAAGGCGCAACATGCTTACTTTGCAGCCTCTGCACGAGCTAGCACCAAATCCATTTGCGCACGTCGCGTGCTGTCGGCTGTATCGCTAACTAGTATCAAGCCAGAGAGAGGATTTTTTGACTTTCGTTGGAGTACAACATCCAAACCTGTGTAAAACCCATGGTATAAGCAAGTGTACAAAAGAGTCATGATTCACGGTAAGAATCTCACCATGGTTAACTGCCGTGACGACGTCCGCCTTCTCATCCTTCCCAGGAGGGACTAAAAATTCATCGTCTGCGTCACGTTTGTCCAAAGTCTCGATGAAACGGACAAGTCGATTTTTGCTCTGCGCCCTTCCTGGGCACAGGAAAGGAGTCTTGCGAATTCTCCCTTGAGGCCCAAATTCGAATGTTACCAAAGAAAGGCGATCTTTACTGCCGAGCGTCGTGAGAACAAAATCGAGGGTGTTTCTAATGACTCGGAGTTTGAGAGAGGCTGTAGAGGCATTGGAAGTCGGAGGTGGAAGCGAAATCACACAAATCAAATCCAAAGGCGTGTGAGAAACAGGAGACAGACTATTGCTTGTACCAGCTGAGTAGTGAGGGACGACGGTCGGCAATGGAGGTTGATGGTAGGAGGAGTAGTGATGGAGGGCTCGGGATCAGGATTTTGTTTGCTACGGCCATTTTGACGCGAGGACGCCGTCGTAGAAGAAGACAGGGTTGACCTCTGTGATGAGCCGAAGACACTGTCCTGACTTGTTAAGCGAGAAGAAACGGTATCAACAGAGCCAATGCTGAGGATCCGCGCCGCCTTGCTGTTCCCTCCGAACTCCTCCATCCCGTTGCCAAGGAGGCCCGACGGTGTATGGGACCGAGATGGCCGCAAAGCCTCCTGGACCCTGTTCACAAGCCAGTGATGCACGTCTTCCATGATTCCAATTGGGACCTTTCCTTAAAGACCAGAATAAAAGACTCCAATCGATCATCCTCCATGTCAATAGTCAAACTTAACTCTCCTGCAACCGAGGTGTCGATGATGCGTTTGATGTGGCGGATATATATTCGACCTTTGAGTCGAAGAACGCCCTTACTGCTAAAGCCATGCTCGCCAGATATGATGGATGCGCTCGAAGATCCATGAAGTAATCGACCCAGTGCCCTCTTTTTTTCCTCCAGCACACAAATAAGAGCTTCCCTAAACAAATAGACAAAAAACTCTCGGACAAGTGCGTCTCTGCGGACACTAAGGATGTCAAACATCTGAAGTGGCCCGAGTCCATCCAGCGCGTGGCCCTTCCAGTCATGCATTCTCATTTTCAAGTCAGTGGTGATGGCGGCAAAGGGGGAATTCGACGCAGGGGGAGTCGGATTGAACACAAACGGCTCCGAGTTGACCGAGTCCTTATCCCGAGCACTGTCGTCATCATTGTATTTGGGGTCAACTTCTGGTTCCTCGGGTATGACGGGTATGACCTCCGTGCGGGTCCTGGCAACGTGTGGCTTGCGAAGGTTGACGACTGAGAAGAAGGATAAGTTTCAGATGTAGTGGACAAAGGAGAGTTGATGGGTGAAGCAGCGTTTGCGGTCTTCGGCTTACTAACTCAACAATCACCAAGCAGGTGAGAGATCGAGTCGGCGTTGTGTGCGAGCGAGTGATGGATGAGAATTCGGAGCGGGCTTGAATGGCAGGGACTACAACATATTGTGTAGAATCAGAAGAGCCAGACTTGACAGATCCGGAAGGGTCGATTGGGTCATCTTCATCAGGATCGTAAGGGGTCGGAGTGGGTGCATTCATTCGATTGAGTTGAGGTACTCTGAAAAGCCCCCCTTTTTCGCGACCAGGATACGTTTGGTTTCCATTGTTTTGACCCCCAACACCAGTGAGGGCTGCAAGTTCTGATTCGAGTCGTTACTGATCGTACAGCCCGAATTAGAAGAAGTACTCACTGTTTCCTTTAGTGTTGTCACCGTCACCCAACTTCATAGGGCGCCGACAAACGCCACATAAGCCGAGGTTGGATCGGCCATGCTGACCGCGCACAACAGGTCCGTAAACAGCAGTGAAACAAGCATCATGGAGAGCATGCCCGCATTCTGGGACAATTTGTGGCTTTTCACCTGGAAGTCTGAACGAAAAGCTAAGAGACTCGAGACATATGACGCAGCGTTCCTCCTCCTCCTGGTTTAGGCCGCCTGAAATGACTGGAGCAGCATCGGACGAATGGGAAGAGTAGGGATGGGAGCTCGAGGATGCCATGGATGAGACGCCATTAAAGGGGGGTGGCGCTGGTGAACTCATCTCCATCTGTGATGGGGTTGAGCGCCCACCCCAATGAGACGACTTGGAGCTGTGGAAATTCCTACGCAACTTGTCCATGGTGGACTTGATGCGACGGGAAGGAACGAGCGACCTTTCAATGCACAAAAATGGAGATTTCCCCGTGAGTCGTTGCGGCAATTTCCCTGGCCCTGGGTCAATCAATGTCTCATCGCCACACTGTGGCCCATTTTTCCGCTTCCTCTATTTCAATGATTTTGTTGCTTGGCAGAAAACTAATGACTAGGTCCGGCCGAGAACGCTCACAACAACTAGAGGACCTGCGACATGTCCGAATCTAAGCTAGGCTAATGATACCCCACAGCATGGGGGATTTTTCATCGCTTTGTTAACGAGCGTCACGGTTGAGACATGCACATAAATTTGAATAGCGTTTTTGTACTTTGATCTATTTAGATTGATGAGCCTGAGCACTCTCGTGCTGGTACACACTGCAACCCTTCTCTTATTCGCGAACAACTAGAAGGGATTCAAACGTCATTACGCTTTCGTGACAGGGCTTCCAGAGAATCAAGTGACTCAGCGCGTGAGATTTTGTAGAGCGCGAGCAAATTGCTCACGGGCGAAAACATATTAATTCGACGGACATCAATATATATGTGCACCTAAATTTGCACACCAAATATATATGCACTCACTGTCTTGATATGATGAACATTCACATGGGATTCGAGGTGCACACCGCCAACTGACATGTTGTCGCTTGAGTGTAGAAATCCCAGCATTTATTCTGTGCCATATTATCCCTGCATGAAACTGGCTAAATTCATAGCCTTTGCGACTTGGGCAAGGGAGTGGCGTATACGTCGTCATGCTATATTCGCTATAAACGGTGCTCCATGGTAACGGTTCGGGAAACGAGGGGTCAGGGGACAGAAACAAGGGATTCAACATCGAAATCACATCGGACGTTGTTGCATGAAGTGGTCGTGTGACTACGTGAAAATCTTCAAACAACCGTATCATGCCAAACGTACGATCGCAGAGGCTCAATGAAACGTACGGGAAGATAGTGAGAGGCCCTATCGATCCCATCACAATAATATAGGGCTCCGATGGGGCTTTCAGTATCATGATAGCCGAGAGCAGACCACCCAAGACTTTATCATACAGTTTCGTTCCTCCTGGATTCTTCGTGACGCAGTGAAAATGATCCGACTTACTTGAATCGCGGATCGGAATAGCAAATACGGGATCCAATGGCACAATGGAGTGCGCAACGTGAGCCACGCTGGTAACAAGAGCGCGCCTCCTTGGCAATTACGCCTTTGGAAGTACTGGTCTGTGGGACAGATTGATCATGCTATAATAACGCAGTAACGGTTCATGCCATGGAAAAGCGTTCCAAATGCTTCCCTGGTGACATGGAGGTAAAGAAGGAAAGTCCACCCCAACCCTCAAAGGGTCCAAAAACAGGGCAATTGGGATGGTTGATCGCTTCACCAAGTTTCTGGGTATGCCCGCGCCCCCATCACTTGGAGTCCCTTATCCCAGTGTGGTATGTTTTACGTATGTAACTGTGCACAAGTTGAGTGTGAGACGTGATCGGGGATTCTTATTCTGTCAGGTTTTATTGGCTATGGCTGAGTGATCGGAGCTGAATACATACATGATGCGAAAATCAGCACCACTCATTCCCCCATCCTACAACTATGTACACCATGCATAGATCGGTAATGTCGATCCACATGTCTCCCGCCAATGGCCGAAATGAATTCGGCCACCGACAATGAGCTATATGATGATCATTGAGGCGGCCAGCCCGCACTAAGGATCATCCAACTTATTATCCCCAGTATGGCTCAAAAGTTATATCACGCATTCCTCATTCTCATTTGTGGAGTCTCCACATTGGCCTACACATACTCCGTGGTCCGCTAGAGGGAAGGAATACCCTCTGGAACAACTTCCGCGACAGTAATGACCTGTTAAGACGTAAAGATGAGGATCAGAACACTTAATCTCCACGGACACACTGTCACCCACAGACCTTGATCTGAAGAAACTCGCGGATGCCCTCGTAACCGTTGAACTTGCGATAGCCGCTATTCTTCATCTCCCCGTGCGGTATGTGCTACCGATTGATATTATGTTAGTGTGAATATGGAGTTGCTGTTCAAAAGAGTAAACCAGCGCTGTGCAAAGCCAGTGATTCACGCACCGCGTGGTCCTGCATCATCGCGGCGTTCACGTGAACGAGTGCACATTCTAACTGCGACAAGTCTGAGCGCTCGGTAGGCAGGATCCCAAACCTCTACTAAGCACTCAGCTGATATCGCGCTATGAATGGCACACTGCTATTCGCAATCTTAATCGCCCCTTCGTCTTGGAACCGAATGATGGTCCGAAATTTCTTCGCGCACGATATCTATGTAAAGATCCATCCATAGTGGGTGAGCCGTGCCCAAAGTATACAATAAAACGCGCGCTTCTATCATCAGACGACTGGAAACGCATCCATTTCTTCAGGTGTCGCGTGGTCGATAATGGTAGGCTGGAGTATGCTTCTTCCTTTGTACTCATCGGCACTGCCAAGCACGAATCCGCCACCCTTCGACGCAGCGTCTATGACAAAAGCTTGGGCACGTCTGGCAGGGGGCTCGTAGAAAAGTCCCTTGAGTTTGTGCAGTGAATCATCAATATGTCCAGCTTTCACAGAAGCCAGCTGTTTTTCTTCAACTCCGCAATAAACTTGTCTGCCAACTGATGGATGTGGTGTTGGGGCGGGCGGTCTCGGAGTCTCGATTCCGATCAAACGCACCCAATAGTGAAGTTGTCGACATGCATATCTGACCAGAATGGAAGAAGCTGCCGAAAGAACAATTAAGCTGGCAAGTTCCAGCAAAACCAGGTTGATATATTTTCCACAAATGCTGCCAACAATTGGACCAACGGGTGCCGATCCAGTAAAGCCGACTTTTCCTAACATGGAAGCTTCAGAGGCGGTTGAGGAGAAGATTCCCATACTCACCGGATATATTGCTGGGTGGGCAATAAGGGCTTCTGTGACCTGATATCAGAGCTCGCATCTTAGATCCACCTAGTCGCACGATCCCAGCAACCTGGGGGCCCTTGATGTTCTGACATGGACGATGTTGAGCAACACCTGGCGGCAGAAGACCTGCCCAATGATGCTTGGGCGGCGAATGTTCCGATGGCTTCATGACCACGGTGTTTCCTCCATATCGGATCTGCCACCGCCCGAGTGAAGAAGAAAATTGTTCTAGGGTGCAACGCTCAGGACAATGCCGTGTGATATGCCTTCATGTAAGGGTCATGGGCAAGAGCAATGTCCTCTAAAGCTTCGATCACAATGGAGCCCAGTTCGATTGAACTCCATTGTCAGAAAACGGTGTAGCAATGCACAAAGATTGCGAAATCGAAAATCTACGCATTAATAGCGAAGCACTCAGCTCCATGCAATTAAATACGTATTTCGATAGCTAAGAATTCGTTGGGGATCTTGCTTCAGCCTTCTCGCGTCTCTCAGGGAAAGCCGTAGTACTCCATGCTACCCAAATACCAAGTTTAATCTCACGGCACCAATTGGGGAGCGTAGTAGGTCGTGCCTCGCAGAGCGGCGGCGGCGGCGGCAGCTTCTACCGCCTTGCCTGATTGCCTCCTCGATGTCCGCGCCATATGCCTCAGGGTGGACCTTTCCAGAGTCGTCGTTGGGATCGGAACGCAGATTGGTCTCGAAGGGCTCGTTGTTCGCAAGACCCATCGATCCAAGCCAAGAAAGTTGATATATTGGTTATCGTTTTATATTTTATACGAGATATCACGAAACGTCAAGGCGACCATTTTCCAGGCCGTGTTGAGCATCCGAGCATGGTGAGCGTATGAGCGAAAGGAGTGACTTTCAATGTGAATGCTTCCTATTGGCTTTCTCCACCTCGCATAGCCTTTTCAGTCATGTTAGTCAGTAGCGTGTGGCCTGTTGACCAAATTCAACTATCAGTTGCGTATTTCAAACAATTTGCATGCTTTGGAATAAGGAACAAACAGAACGTACACCAACGTCGGAGATTCGTGCACAGGTAGAACGTTAACACTGGACGGGAACAAACAGAGGAGTGTAACAAAATAGTCAGGGTGTGCCCACCCTGACAAATGAAATGTTAGTAATAAGCTTAGAATGGTAACGTGAGGATAAAGTCCAATGAAAACATGAATTATGGGGTCTATAAATGGCGTTGTAAAATCAGTTCGTGTGTCCCATAATCCATTGCGCCAGAACTTACGGGTATTGAAGTCGTTCGATGAAACATTTTCATCATGTTTTTTCTTGCTCCTGACAATACTCCCGGACTTGAAGGGCTGGTAGAAACTTCAGATCGCCCTAAGCTCGAGCCGCTGAGTTTGGCACTGGGTAAATCGATGTCAACACCATTCGCATTCCCGTGCCCATTCGTAGGTGAGACCGAATCCTGACGGCCGTCCTGCAGCCCTTGCCTGCGCCGTCCGCGCATAGTGATAGTCTCATGCCCAGTTTCATCTTCGTCATCTGAGAACCTTACACGACCAACAACACGTTTTGTACCGGAGGACTGCTCAGAAATGAGACTCCCACCATCGTCAATGACGAATAATTCGTTGAGTTCCTGGGTTTTTGCAGGGAAATGTTTCGAGTGGAATAAATTACGCATGCCTCCGAAGGGCTTGGATGCAATAGACAATGGTGAAGGGCGGGAAGTGGAATGTGAAGATGATGATGCGATGGATGTGGAGAGTGACGGGGTTCCCTTTGACGTTTTTTTCATCGAAGACTTGAGAGGCAACGGCCCCGCTGACGAGTTAGTGGACGAAATGGATGCAGTAGATGATGATGGCTGGTTGGAGGTGGATATTCTGCTTGTTTTGGAGCCTATCGGACGAGTGGCAACACCAGATGCGATTTGCTGTATTGTTGGAGGATTCACGTCATGACGCGATGGGGCAAAGTGACCTCGGTCCTCCTCAGGAGTGCTAAGGTATGTTGTTCGCGCCTATGATACATTGAACATGATGACACGTCAGTTAATTCCTCCCACAATTACATCCCAACTTACGGTGCGGGTTTGTAAGTGGCGGCACGGTACGGGGTTGTGCTTGACGAGGCGCTTGAAGTTCGCAAAACGAATGGGGGTTGAGTCGTGGCCAGGGTTGGCTGTCCCGGTAGGCCGAGGGTCGCGCGATATGTAGCCACCATTAGCCATGCGTTCATGTTGGGGTGCACGCGTCGAAGATAGGGAGGAAGAACCAGGAGTTGGAGGCACGAGGTGCTTCTTGGAGAATGATGCAACGGATGCTAGTGCGTTAGATGCAAATTTCTGCCGCCCTGAAGAGGGCGTGGTGCCATCCATAGGTTGTGGTAGAAGGATGGTGTGTTCTCGGCGAGTCCCTTCCAGTGGTTGTCGCGGCTGTGTCGGACTCTCCCGTCCGTAAGTTCCTTGAGGTTGGGGCAGCAACCCTGTCGCTGATCCACTGGGGGTCGATCTAATGAGGGATTGTGTTTGACATCCTCAAGGCGATGCTCCGAGCGCACCCGTCCCAGATGAGCAAATCTCCGTTACGAACGTGTCCAACCGCAAGTGGCTATGCCGTTGCGACTTGATTTGGCAAGCTCAAGCACTGGGCAGATTGGGACATTCCTGAACCCATGCGGACATTTTATCTCTTATTAGTAGAGCACGCCTTCTCAGAGCTCTTTACTAATTACTTTGGTCGTTGAAAGTCGTGGTGTTTCCAGAAGCTGTTGTTGTTCCGCGGATCTTCCCTTGCTCGAATCGTTCTCACGGCCAATGAGCTTGTGTGGAAGTACATACTTGCGCGTGTTGCGGAATCCGGAACACTTATCGCCATTGGTCTCACAGCAACCACAGTGTCAACCAGCGCCGATTATATGGGGTCGTGTCAAGCAATTCGCTGTCTATCCGCTAACACCTTCAGCAAGGCTACTTAGCATCAAGACGTTTAGTCATGGTGTCGGGTCCCATTATACTCCTACCCTCGCCATTGTCTCAAGAATAACTATGAGCCTCCGAAATCAAGCACTTTGGAAAAGGCTCGACCGAGGAAAGGGTCCGTTTTCTATCAATATCGTGTTATTCACTAGTGTTCCTCAATAGCAAATCATGATGTGCATGTATTTTCGACATTACCTGACACGGGACACAGCGGCTATCACTGATCGGCAGCTTGAGGCTCGAGCATAACCGCGAGATTGATCTGCTTCTGATCGTTGTCCCTGAATCTATCAAAATTTCCGTGGCCGCAGCAGTTAGCAAAGTCTCTTCCTCTCCATCTCCAGCTTGCTCTTCTCGAGTTGCGCCTCTTCTTTCGATATCGACGTTGGCTGGTCGGTCCAGATGGATGTGCTGAGGTCACTAACCAGGCGTCTGTATTCACCGATGTATTAAGCTCGAAGTCTGAGGCGGGACAGTACTTAATGAGCCAAAAATCTGACCTCCGGACTCATTTGAAACCGCCATAGCTTCAGCTTGACATTTTCTGCATATCAACGTCATAGGTGAATCATTCCCTAAGTAGGATTCGGAGGCCTCCGCGGTCTTAGGCAAGAAGCATCCAGGTGGTGTGATTGTTATTCATAATATTGCAGATGACGATAGTGCCCTTGTGTTCCTGGTTTAACCCCCGAATTCGGGCCCTGCAGAACGACAAGCAGCTCTTCGATGTGTCGTACGTTTTTGGTCCGAGGGTCCATGGCATGGTCATTCTCGATGGTCTAATACTGGACAGTTGCCTTTCTCGACCGCGCCCTGAATCCTCGTTTCGGAGGACTTCATGTGACGTCACCCATTTCCGCTTTCATTTTCCGGATCTTGGGCATTCAGTCAACATATGTCATAACTGGTTCGGCAAGTAGTAATCTAAGCTTGATATTGCCAGTCATCGCACCGTGACTGTGCCGTATTATCACTCTGGAACCTCGAGTGCGTCGAAGACATCCTTCCTTTTTTGGTCAACATTTCTGTCAATTTTGGACACGTCTAGAAAACAATTCTTGCATGCGAAAGGGGAGATTGCCCATACCCCGCACCTAGATTGCAAGCTGTGGGATTAGGAAACAGTTCAGAGGGACATAGTGTAAATGGACGGAGAGCTCTGATCGCTCTATGTGACGCTCAGTTTAGGATAAGGGCATCCGTTAGCATGACACTGTGGATCCCAACGCAGCTAAGCCCATCATAAATTTATCTCGGGTACCAAGCTAAGGCCTCACTGCCCACCATGAGTCCAGTTGGTTTATACATACATATCTGGGGCTTTGTACAGCGGGGTCGGGGCTCAAGGATAAATATGATTAGAAAAGGATATATGTAAGTAAAACAACCAGGTATCACGCAATTCAGACATTAAGCCATCTATGCAGATCGGTGTGTTATATGAGGGATTGCGGTTGCTCCCTGGGTGCAACTTGTCCCGAATGACTTGGTCCCAAGTTGCCGCCACGGTTCGAATTGCCAAATTGGGAGCTAAGGGCTCCCGTTCCAGCTGAAGGAGATTGCAGTCGCGGAACCGCCCGCGTGAAATTGGGCGCGTCACTGCTTATGAAGGAAGCGGACGATGACCCGAGCTGGATCCAACTGCACTAAGGCCTGAAAAATCACGGGTATTTCCACCGATTGCCATTGATAATCGGAATGGATTGGCACTACCAGTGGGCTGAGGTCGTAAGCCGACACCAAGAAGTCCGACACCTCCAGAAGTATTTGGAGACAAAGTTGTACTGGGGCTAGGGCTGAATCGCCCGCCTGTTGAGTTTAAAGTTGGAGGGGCCGACCACGGAGATTGGGATGCAATGCTTGGCGACGTGTTGGTAGAGAACGAGCCAAAAGAGTCGGGCATGCCGGTGACATTCGGAAGAGCGCCGTTTGTCGCCAAACTTGGCATTGGGGTTCCAGGTTCAGACGGAATGGGTGGCAGTTTCTCCAGCAATGATGCGCCAAATGATGAAGATGGTTTGAAAGGCCGAACAGCACTGCCACCAAATCCTGTTGGCTGTGGTTGGACTGACGCAATGCTGGGAGATGGTGCTGATGCAGGAGCTGCGCTCGTAGGTGCGAATGGCCCAAGACTCGGACTTGGGGCACTAAGGAGTTGGCTGGATGATGAAGGAAAGGGATTACTGGTGTTTACGTTTGCATTCACAGCCGAAGTTGAAGCAGGTTGCGGAAGTGGAAAGGATCTTGGGGTGGTGTCAGTTGCGAACGATGAAGCAATGCTTGATATGAGGCCAGCACCAGTTTGCTGGGGTTTCAAGCTAGCGGAGAGACCTTCATTCGTTCCGGTATTGGCGAAAGGGGCGGGTGAGCTAGTGGTTGGGAATGGATTAGTGGCCGGAGGTGATCCCTTGCTTGTCTCATGTGAGAAGCTCCACGCTCCCGCCGCTAGCTGGTGTAACGTGGGACCCTTAGGCACTGGCGGAACGGGGGGAGGTAGGGGTTCCCCGAAAGGGTTGCGTGATCCCGTCTGATGTGACTTGACGGACCCGGATATTGGTGAGAACAGAGTGCTGGAGCGTATTGGAGTGGAAGCTGGTCGAGAGATGCCACGGGCCATGTTGACTTTATCCTGATTCCCAAACCCAACGCCAGTAGTTCCGCTCAACGGTGTGGCCTGACCAGACTCCCCAAAGAGGGTGTTAGAGACGGTCGTGAAAGAGGGGCTTTCCATTGGGTTCCCACCAAAGGCGCTCAGGCCCATCGACGAGGCAGGCCTAGGGAATGGATTGGTAGGACTCGAGGGGCCGCCAAAGCCTGGGACACCGGTGTTATGCGGTAGAAGCATGCTTTGCCGAAATGGATTGGACCCAGTGGTTTGTGGTCGCAAGAAATTAGGTTGAGAAACTGGCTGTAAGAAGTCACTGGGCTGGGGCATTCCAGCAGGGGAAATATTTATCATGGGCCCAAACGGCTGGCCCTGGACGTAAGGCTGGGAGAGCCCAGTTGGCTGAGGTTGTGCTATTGTCGTGGGACCGCCCCCAAACGGTAAGCCAGTCATTTGCGATGGCAGGGATAATTGTCTCTGCACGAAAGGGTTGAACGTTGCTTGCTGCTGGAGGTGATTTGTAGGTGGACTAAGGAGCAGGCCTCACTCAATAAAAAAACAGGTACTTTTCGGAATATTTTATACCTCTCTGTCTCGATTGAAGCAAAGAAATCTTCCACTTTTGACGGGGCAGGAGGCGGAGCTGATGATGATGATGCGGCCACCGGAGAAGTAGATGGGGGTGGCTGGGCAGTATTTCTCGCCGGTCTTGTTTCTACAAATGGTCTCAATCTAAGGGGCTGAGAACCAGATTCCTCTTGAGCCACTCACTCTCTTTTATTTTTTGGGGTTGTTTCCCGTCAGCAGTAGCTTTGTTCGCCTTGTACTCAACTCTATTCTGCTCGAAATTTGGGTCCCGTAGGTATTCCTCAAGCGCACCCACCAGTGAGACAGGAGCCTTTGGAAGCGTTATTGATAGTCTCCATTCTACATGTCAGGAGTCGCCACTTACATGCTTCAAGTTTGGTATAGGGACGTTGAGGAGGTTTTGCAACTTCTTTGCCACACTTAAATAATCAACGACTCTTTCGGTTTGGCGGCAGAATTTACGATAGATATCCAAGGCTGTTTCAGCGTCGATGTGGGACATCTCGAAATAACTCTCTGAAGGCCAAATGGTTAAGTTCATTCCTTCGTTACCAAAGGAAGTTGTGCACCTAATACGTTAATGACACCTTCATTGCCAGCTTGAAAGAGAACCAGCAAATCCTTGACCAACAGCCTCAGCGCGAAGATGTTGAGTTGATCTTCCAAATCATCGAGATAAAACTGCAGAGCTTTAGAGTATGAGATGTTCAGGGCCATGAGAGACTTACTTTACATTCAATTAGAGTATCGATCATGCTTTGCACAATCTTCGTTTCACGAAGGAGGCCCTTTTCCACCGTCATTACTCGTAGTTTCCGCCCAACGATGGTTTTACTCCTCGAAATTCCAGAACCCGGATAAGAGAAACCGTCTTCATCAATCAAACCCACGCGATGGTCACGGTTTGAATCGCTTTGGACTCGAATGGCATCATGCTTGAGATCCTTAAAGGCCCTGATCCGAGACTCCAGATAGCTTGCATAGCGTGCCAGATTCTCGGGTGCTCGGTAACCTTAGATCGCCAGTTAGAATCAAGGGTGTGCAAAGGGCTGTGGCCCACCTTCCCAATGGCCTTGACCGACATTGTGCAGTCCTAGAGGATCAAATTTGGCCATATATGACAAGATATTCTCCGTAGCTCCGTTACGAAGCATTGTGTGTACGACAAGGAGTGCTTTGAACACGACCTTTAGGCGATAATCAGGGGAAACAGTGAGCTAAGAGAGCAAGTAGCTCACTATGGCATTAGGTTCCCGTAGTCGATTACCAAGAGCTCTACAGACATCCGAGATAACGCCCTCTTCATCATAAGTGGCAGCAATAATAGGATCCAAATACTTCGAATTGTTCAGTGACCACACAGCTACCTTTAAGCGCTCCGAGTTTTTACCTTTGGTTTGGGAGGAGCTGCCTTAGGTTTACATGCCAGCTTGACTATCTTCTCGAACGACATAATAACGATAGTCACAAACAGAGTCGAGAGTGAGCGAGCGCTCTCAGTGCTACGGCTGTTGAATTTGCCCACGCCTCGGCAAGCTCCTCCGTCGAGGAATTTTACCCAAAATCGAGCATCCAAATCATGTCCGAGGATAAACGGGAAGATACGTTCAGTTCTGCATTTCCCAACATCCTAGACGTTCGTATCCTCAAAGCTCTTTCGGACCTGGGCTTTGCTCGCCCCACTCTCGTGCAAAAACGAGTCATACCTACGGCACTTGAAGGACGCGACGTCCTTGCCAGAGCGCGCACCGGGAGTGGAAAGACAGCTGCATATTGCATTCCTGTCGTCCAGAAGCTTCTTCAAGTGAAGTCGGTACGTGCGTAAATCTCACGGGTGGCGGGACGAATATTTAAGGGTCAATCTCTGCAGAGCCCACACGGAAAGCTTTCTGCAACGCGAGTTGTGATTCTTGTCCCTACGAAGGAGCTATCAGAGCAAGTGTCCCAATTCCTCCGGGGGACCTTAAAATATTGCGAGGATATTGCGACCCGCAATGTTGCTAGTGGCGGCTCGAGCCAAATACAAACGTCCGTGAGCAACCCCGCACCACGTTTCTCCCTTGCCAAAGCTCAATGTCCTCTAGATTATTACTGTCTGATGCCCATGACATAATTGTCGGAACACCTTCACGTGTATTGGCATTACTTCAGAGCAAGGTGTCAGAGATCCCAGTGACTTCATTTATGCTTGTACTGATGACAGCTATTCTTACCAGTCACTGGATCTATCTAGCTTGGAAACTCTTGTTATCGACGAAGCAGACCTTGTGCTGTCTTTTGGCCATGATCGAGACGTGCGCAGCATTCTGACCGGCAACTTTCTCCCAAGAGTTTTCCAGTCCTTCATTATAAGCGCTACGATGAGCCAGGATGTGGAAGCTTTGAATGGACTCGTTCTTCGTAACCCAGTGCATCTCAATTCCATACTTCCCGCGCACATGATTGATCGTCCATCGTAGGTTATCCTTCAGTTGGACGAGCAGGAGGATGACACAAAGCTGAACCAATACTTCATCCGGTGCGCCTATATTGAATGGTTTCACACTGAGGCTCACACTCCATTATTAGGTGTGCCGAAGCCGACAAGTTCCTTATTGTGTACGTCATGCTGGTCATGAAACTCGTGAAGGGAAAATGCATCTTCTTCGTGAACAACCTCGAACGCTCCTACCGATTGAAGCTATTTTTGGAGAGGTTTTCTATCAAGGGTTCTGTGCTCAATCCCGATCTACCTGTCAACTCTCGGTACGTCATCTGAACCCTTTGGCAAACCAGGTCCATTTATGCTCTGCATTCCCCAGTTATCATGCCGTTGAAGGATTCAACAGGGGTTGTATCAATATCTTATCGCCAGCGATGAGAGTGGGAACAATGGCGAATTCGACGTTGACATTGGAAATGGTACGCTGTTGATGCTTGAAAATACACAGCTGATGGACTCGATGCATGTGAAGACGAGACTACTCTTGGCCTATCGGGTGGCAGCCACCGAGCATTTGCATCTCAGGATCAACTGACTCGAAACGCAAGCGCAAACGTTCCACTCTTCGGGAGGACTCGCATCAATCTAAACGTCCAAGACAAGCTGAACGGAAATCAAGGAGGGACAAAGAAGGCACTGAGTTTGGCGTCGCCCGAGGCGTAGACTTCGTCAAAGTCGCATGCGTAATCAACTTCGACCTCCCAACGTCATCAAAGGGTTACACTCACCGGGTCGGCAGAACAGCCCGTGGGGGTCTCTCCGGCCTGGCGATCTCCTTGATCGTTCCTGGACAGGAATTCGGGAAAAACAGAAAGGCTGGGCTCACAGTGCCAAGTACACAGTACGACGAAGAGGTGTTCGCCCGTATCGAAAAGGATCAAGCAAAGAAGGGCAATAAAATAAGCGAGTACCAGTTTGATATGAAGCAAGTAGAGGGTTTTCGGTACCGAGTGGAGGACGCTTTGCGAACAGTAACACGTGAAGCTGTAAGGAACGCAAGAGTGAGAGAGATGGAAAATGAACTTCTGAACTCGTACAAAATCAAGGTGCGTCTGGGTTTGACAATGGGAGTGCCATCCAATAATATCGCACCCACAGACTTATTTTAAAGACACCGGGTTAAACGTCGACGTGATTCGACACGACGAGCATTTGGAACCGTCTAAAGTTCAACTGAATCTAAAGAGTGTTCCGCAGTATCTCCTCCCACAAACGGCTTCTACATCCAGAACATCTGCTAGCATTGAGATTGATGAACCCAAACAAGACAAGATCGAACAGGGAGGTAGGGAAGGGAGTAAGAACAAGGGTGAGAGGAAGGGCAGGGGCAGGGGCAAGGGAGAGGTTCAAAATCGCGCGATCCTCTGAGAAACTTCCGATAGCGAATTGTTCATGGTGCGTCCCGGCAATAATTAGGCTCGTCGGATGTCTATTGTCATAGAGGCTGCCTCAGCTTATGACGCAGGATACACAGTACTGTCGCTTGGCGTTGTTCACATGGACATATGATTATCATTACACAGTAGCAAGATACCATTGCATTCAGACGTGTTCCCGACGGGTTCTCTTGAGCCACGTGTGCAGCTAATACCAAGCACGGCTTCAATCCCGCGGACCAACAGCTTATGCTCCTAAATTGTCATTCATGAAACCAGGTAGCGAGCACTGGAGGCAGGCAGAGGCTTATAGGTTACGGTGTAGCGTCTGGTGTGGGATGGTTTTGTCTCATAATCCTGCGAAAAAAATTGGCTTGGAAGATTTCCATCCGCATCTCCTTGTGTATGACTGTGGTAGGCGCTCGTGAGTGAAACAGAGACACGGAAGCCCATAGCAGTCGGGTCTGAATGTGCATTCACTTCTACCACGAATTGATCATGACGAAAAAAAGAGTGGGTAGCGGACACGATGGTCGGGAGAGTCGCCTGTGTCTGAGCGGAGTAAGGGCGTCGCTAGAAGCGCTGGAGGGGCTATCAGAGGAGAGCGTGAGAGAAGGAATGGAAGTTGAGGGCAATGGAAGCAAATGGAGAGGGGAATGTTGGGGCTGCCTCTGCGCCCCGTCCATGTCGCGGGTGGAGTGTGAGGAGTCCCAACGGGGGGCCCCATCTGGGAGCCGAAAGTTCGGCGTTCCGAGTCCGTCGGGATGTTGCAGCCCGATTCCAACACCAGGCAGCTGGGTAGTGGAATCGGACAATGACCGACAGCGATACAAGCGGTCAAGACGGACTGAGTATGAGGGAATTTTATTGTGTTCAAACTGTCGCTCGTGGAGGCCGCGCCTAAGAAGGAACTTCTCGCTGTCTAAGACGGCGCGGAAGGACCGGATTCGACCCCTCACTAATGAAGCAGCGAATGGTCGCACCATAACTGTTCGAAGCCGCCGAACTTGAGACTCAGTGACTGTGAACAGAGAGATGCCCTGCACGTATCCCCTAAGTTGGTCGATCGACATTCGTCGCGTTGGATCGATCGCGAAGACGTGCATGAGCATGCGGTTCATCTCCGCACTAACCGGATACCTCCTAAGGAAGAAATCGGGATCGCAAAGGAACGACAGGAAGGACTTACAGCCCGTTCTTGCAGCTGTCCAAGGCGGGGATCCTATGACCATGTAGAAGAGCATAACACCCAAGGACCAGACATCATTGGGAACAGATGCGTAGGGCTTGGAGCAGTGCAACTCCCCGTAGCACTCTATAAAACCTGTGTTATGTATTGAAAAACGAGAGAAACACAAAAAACTGACCAGGACTCATGTAATAATCACTCCCTATCTCGAAATCAACACTGGAAGCTTTTCGTGAACTAAGACCAAAATCTGCAAGGACGGCAGTTGCCCCGAAATCCTTCAGAAGTACATTCTCAGGCTTAAGATCCCGGTGATACACGCGTTTATCATGGCAATGCTGAACAGCATCCAGAATCTGGAGAAAAATGCGCTTGATGTGCTGGGGGTGGCTCCTGTACATCGAGCCGTGTTCTGTCAAGGAAGTTTGGAGATCGCCCTCGGGGAGGTAGTCCTTTGGAAGTGGGAATCACCGTGAACAGTAAGTGATGATTCAGTGATTCAATCGCACTCACAAGGACCAGATACAATACATCGCCGCTGTCAATGACGTGATGAAGGGTGAGGACATTACGATGACCTGAAGCTATCCTATGACATAAAAGCTCCTTTTCGTGACCGTTTTGCTGTGGTCCAAATCGCGATCTGCGTTTCTTGATTTTCTTCACAGCATAAACTCTTGTCATCACTTCGTCCGGAATCGTCCCGGGTACACGGAACAAGTTGGGATCGGAAGGACCAAGAGCGGTATAGAGACGACCAAAGGAGCCAAATGCAAATTGGCTCAACAATATGATTTTTCCATGATCTAGAGCTGTCAGAAGGAAGCTAGGGTTTGCTGGTGGAGTGAGCATGAAGGAATGTGTTGACAACAGTGGAACATTGAGGCCATTATTTATCGTTGTCCTCCCAGTATAAATACCCTTTGGGCTGCGTTGGTCTTAGTAGTGACGCAGAAACCGTAAGAATGAACAGAAACAGTATCAGTTTCGATCTGACACAACCCCCGATGTCAACAACACACCACGGAACAGTGAGCAACTTCTCAGATGGCTCGAAGTCCAGAAGAAATTGCAAAAACATCCAAACGTGTCTTCGAGACATCTCAGCTCGTGTCCCATCAGGAGAGGGTGGAAGCACTACTCAGCATCAAAGCAAAGCTCGCCGAGAACAAGGATAGTATCCTTCAAGCAAATGCCTTGGATCTGGAGGTGATCAGCGTTTCATGTCTTCCAGAATGCGGCGACAGATCGATTGATCATCCCAGGCAGCGTCTGCAGAAGTAATGAAAGGGAACCTTTCTGCTCCGCTGGTGAAGCGACTCGATTTGGGAAAAGCGAACAAATGGGATTCCATGCTTCAAGGGATATCTGACGTGGCCGAACTTCCCGATCCAAATGGGATCATTTCTTATGCGTCTGAATTGGATGAAGAACTTCAACTCCGTCGTGTCTCATGCCCTATTGGTACCATTCTCGTTATTTTCGAATCACGCCCCGAAGTCGTTGTGAATATTGCAGCATTGGCCATTAAGTCTGGTAAGCCTTACCTAACTTTAACATTTTCAGAAGATTTGAAGATGCACTTACGTGAAATTTGTAGGGAATGCTGCTATTCTGAAAGGCGGAAAAGAATCAGCGAGGACAAGCGCAGAGATATCCAGAGTCATTCGCATAGCACTGTCCTCATCGTCGCTCCCCGAAGATTACATTCAGACTGTTCAAACTAGAGACGAGATTACATCTTTGCTTCACCAAGAAAAATATATTGACCTCGTTATACCAAGAGGTAGCAATGCTCTGGTCTCAACTATCCAAAGACAATCCCGCATCCCAGTCATGGGTCATGCCGACGGACTGTGCACAGTGTTCCTCGACGAATCGGCAGACGTTAAGAAGGCAGTACGGGTTGTGACAGATTCCAAGGTTCTGTGTCATTCGCTTCCTCTTGCTTGTAACTGCAACTGAAGGGTGTTTAGATCGATTATCCCTCTGCGTGCAACGCGTCAGAAATCCTGTTACTCCATCAATCACTTCCTCCGGATACTTGGATACGTGTCGCGCATTCATTGCTCTCTAATAACGTAGAGCTTCGATGCGACCCTCCCTCACTTTCCCTGCTACGAGCATCACCTGAAGTCCAATCACTGACGAATTTCTCCACTCACGTCAAGCCTGCAATTGAGGAAATAGACTACGACACTGAATTTTTGGACACGATTATTGCCGTGCATACTGTCGCTTCTCTTTCAGACGCTGTCAACTTCATCAACTCACATTCCTCTCACCACACCGACAGCATTGTGACAGAATCCTCTCATAATGCTGAGATATTCTGTAAAGTGATCGACAGCGCAGGTGTGTACGTCAACGCCAGTACCCGGTTCGCAGACGGTTTTCGTTACGGTTTCGGGACGGAAGTGGGTATCAGTACCGGACGGATTCATGCAAGAGGTCCCGTTGGCCTTGAAGGATTAGTGATCTACAAGTATGTACTGGTAAGCAAGGCTGAAGGTGGTCACGTAGCTGCAGAGTTTGGGCTGGCTTCTGGAAAGAAAAGGTTCAACCATACATCTTTACCTTTGAACGAAGGTCTCAAATTTTAAATCATTGTAACTACAACAATCGTCACCCATATATTAATTAGAAAAGGTACACCATACTGTATATCATCGTGTCTCCCAGAGAACCATGAAGGAATGAAGATTTGGATTTCAGAATTATTTGTTGCTGCTGCGTAAAGTGTGATTCGGGGTCCTCTTCCGCAAGTCCCAACCAAACGACATCTTATCCGTGGGCCCAAGGGGGCGAAAAGTGGATGATCCATTCGGCGCTTTCACCTGACGGGGCATAATGGAGGGCTCAACTTCGGGGGCTTGATCCTGGGCCTTAGGGTTTTCCATTTTGCTTTCCGAAACGGCCAAGTGCCTGTTCCACTTCACCCTCCCAACCGCTAACGGCATGTCATTTTCTTTTCCTTTAGGTAGTGCTCGTGCAGCTTTCGTAGCTCCTCGTAGACGAGGTATACGGCTGGTGGGCAGGGTGGACTGTAGAGATTCTCTAGAATGACCAGTTAGCCCAAGCTGATCTGAGCCAATACCACCGAAGAAGTCAGGAGTGTTATCTTCAGAATGAGCCGGTGTGTAGCCCAAGTGGGTGGTTGGCTCCTTGCCAAAACCCGAACTCAGGTTCCCATGAATAGAAGGCAAGAGATTACAGTCTAGCTGGCCCGTATATCGGGTAGACCAATCGACCTTCATTTCCGTTTCATCATCATATCCGTGCTCATCTAGAACAAGCCGTGGGTATGGCCCGTCACGGAAATTTTCATCACTCGTCCATCCATAAAGGAAACCCTTCCGCCTAACGCTTCTCTCTTTCAGGGAATGTAAGCCAAGATCTTTATTAGAGCCAGAAATAAATGGGTACGAGGTCAAAAGGCGGCGTGTAGGAGAGCTGAACCTTTCTCCCTCCTGGTTCGAGTCTCCACTGGGTGTGTTGTTGAGCTGATTCAAGCGCGAGAAGTTGCTAGCCGAACGAGGTAGGAAGGCTGGCTTTTGCGAGGGAATGGGACTTCCCCGAAGCTTTGATACATCGAAAATGCCGGCGTCATCATGGACGGAAGGTGCATCGGGAGTGGCAGGAATGTTTGGTGATTCTGGGATGAGTGCAGGGCTGTGAGGATTAGAAAACGAGCAAGGATCAGGACTCAGAGTCAGGCTAGGACTTGACGTGTATGTGGCGGTGGCTGGAAAAGCCATCCACTGCACTGTATCAATGATGGCGTCCTCCACGACAGACTCGATGGATGTGGCACCATGGTGTCCACTGATACTCTGTGAGGTCAAGGAGGCTGCTTCAGATTGTCGACTCAAACCGTCGGGAAGCGCAAGGAGTTCAAGTTGACTAGGTGTTGGAGTGGAATACATGGAGAAGAAAGCAGAATCACGAGAGCGACCAGCCCAGGTACCAGATGAAAAAGTCAAACTGACCGCAGGGGCACGAGTGCTATCTTCGAATCCTGTTGCGGGATCCATGGAGCGGTGGCGCATCACCTTGTGGGTTTCCCCGAAATATGGGCGGTGTGCAGTATCCTTCGCCTTTGCCGAATAGCCTGTTTCGGTATCAGTGCCCGTTTGATCAAAAATTTGGTTGACAGCAGAGTTTTGTGCCAGAGTTCTCTCAGGGGAGGAATGCAGTGAAGAAATGCGCTCGGGAGTTTCTGGAAGGATCGTAGATGGTTCCCTAGCGGGGGGCGATGCAGCAAGAAGCCAAGGATGATTCGAGACGCTTCCTCCAGCTTGCGAAGTAAAGTAAATAGACTCAGGTGAAAAAAGAAAGTCAAGTAGCATAGGCGAAGAAAGTCGTAAGCGATTTGTGTGATGTGCTGAAGCCGAAGGGATGAGCAAAGCGGAGTCCCTCTTGGTGCGTACAGACGCTCGAGAATGCATGGAGCTATGTTTTGGCCAGGGGTCACTATTACATGATAATCTCCGCAGTATGTTGCAGAAAACACACCTTAGGGATTGAGCGCTAGCAACAGAAAGGCTGAGAGGAGTTGTGGGGGATGACTCCCACTCCCGGGGTCCGCCTGGATCTTGAGGCGCTGGGGAAATAGTAGATTCATTGGCATTATTTGAGTCGCTCGAGAGGTAGGACCGCTGGCGTTCTTCGCTAAGTGCCCTCCGTTGGGGCGTGTTAGAAAAGAGCTCATCAGGTAACAGGCCATCATCATCGTATAGTCGGAGAATGTTGGCTATTGCCGAGTCATCGTTCAGGGTTGTAAACAAGTTAGCATCCCCCAGTTCGTTCCCCGAGAATCCGGATCCAAAAGAAGAGGCTCCAGAGAACTGAAGGGAAGTGGTGTCGAGATATCCATTAGGGTCGCGGGACGACGAGCTTGAAGCTGTGTTCGAACGAGAGCCGTTGGGCGGCGGAGAGCGGATTCCCGAGTCTAACTCTCGATTTGCATCTTTGAGATTGGTCAAAGCATGACGCTTTCGTCTGTGCACAGTGACAGTATAAGTGCCCTCCTTCTTTTCTATCATGTGTCGTAGAGGGACGCCATCGACGGATGGGGAAGCATCGTTCTCCAGCGGTGTGTTTTCCTGGTGCTGAGTGGTGCCTTGAGGGGAAGATGCGTTAAATGAGGGATTACGGGTGTGAATACTATAGTCACTTGGCTCGCCCGTCCGTGGCCCACTGAATTCATGGGGATGATAAGGTGCAGAACTTGAAATAATCCTTGGAGGCATCGTTGTCTCTACACGAGACCCCCAAGTTTCGCATTTATAATTGTGATGTTCCGGAATAGCTTTGGGACTTGGGTGGATACGATAGTGAGAGTCCATCGTTCCAGGCGGAGATGTGTTTCGTCTTGACAGCTTTGCTGAATCGGATTCTGCAGATCTCGTTGGACGGTATATTCCAACGTTATTCACCTTTTGCATATTTTCGCAGTGATTCAATAGATCTCTATCAAGCTGACCTGAGCGTTGATGAGGAAGCGGTGACCACTGTGATGATGCAGACGGTGCAGACGCGCGACGTTTGACTTTGTTTGAAACATCATGGTTCGCGCGCTTCTTGCCATACCTGCGTAGCAAAAACGATCTGAGGCTTTTGAAAATGCCCATGGATCGGGAGTTGTAGTTGTGGCTAACGTTCCTCCGTACAAGCAAAACTCTGGGATTTTTTGTGGTACATCCGATCCCATGGACGCGTGACATGTCTCTGGTGGGTGTCATTGCACCCCGTCCCACCCATGGACCTAGTACCCGATCCTCTTATCCTAAGGCCCAATCGGAGGCATCACTCGCCTACTTGTCACAGATAGTGTAGAATTTAAAATTTGAGCAACAAATCACATCTTGTTTCCTTTTTAATCCCATCCATCAGACTTCCTCGATGTTCGGGAACAACTATCGCATCCATTTCCTCTTCGTACTCGCTTGGCTCTTGTTCCCTCCGATTACTGCTGGATGGATTTTGCTAAGGATTTCAGCCCCTTCAGGCCTGGCGGGCTCAACACTCTTCAAATGCTTCTTTTTTTCCTCTGTTTGTGTCACTTATTGGGTAGCCAAAGTACAGTACGGGCAACGTAAGAAAGCACTCAAAGCGAAGCGTCTCGGCGTGGCCCTACCCCCTGAACCTCAAGGTCGCTGGATCGGCAACATTGACCTCATTATTGAGTACGTCCTCGTGGATTCCTGTGCCCCCCGTTACACTCAAATGGGAGTCATGCGGTAGCAACATAAAAAACTACAACGAAGAGCCTACAATGGACTATGTGGAGGCATTTTTTGAAAAGTTCAACACCGATACGTTCAATTTACGCATCTTGTGGACTGATCTCTATTGGACCAAGAACCACCATGCAATGCAATCAATTCTCGCCAAAAATTTTGAAAATTATATTAAAGGCCCGGAGAATAAGGTAGTGTGAGTGACGCCTGGCTCATTTGACAAGCTTGTATCTTACCTCTCCTGACACAGGTTGGATGGAGTGTTTGGAGATGGGATTTTCGCAGTAGACGGACCGGCTTGGAGGGCTCATCGGGCGGTCATGAAGCCATTTTTCTGTGCGAGGGCATTTCATTTAAGCTAGCCTCCCGCCTAAATATTGGCTGCAGCTCGTGAGAGAGTCCGCGACTTCCAACTACTCGACAAATATACAGACAGAATCCTCCTAATCTTGCGGTCCAAAGACACGTCCAATGAGTCTTTGGATATGCAAGATCTCTTCAGCCGTTTCACCCTCGATGCAGCGGGAGAATTCCTTCTTGGCACTGACCGCCTAAATTCCCTTGGACTCCCACTTCCGATGCCCGGGCGTGCCAAGATTGGGTCCAAAGGCACTGAATTGGAAGGTGCTTATGGCTCGTTCGTCAATGCTTTCGACAAAATTCAGAACATAATTTCGCTGAGGTACGAGCGAAACTGGTTCTGGCCATTGTTGGAATTCTGGAGGGATGAAACGAAGGAGCACAAGAAGGTTATAAATGATTTCATCGCTCCTCTAATCAGGGAGGCGATTCTCGCAAAGCGGGACCGAGAAGGAAACCTATTGGACACCGCAGACTGTTGTTTTCTCGAACACTTGGTTGATTCGACGGAAGATGAAAAACTCATTCAGGATCAGGTAGGCAAATGACCTCACAAGGCTGGGCGTGGCATATGACTTACATTGTGGTTGAGCTCCTCAACACGCTCGTGGCCGCTCGCGACACCACGACGGCACTATTGACTTTTCTTACATACTTGCTTGCTATCCACCCACGCGTGCTCAGAACGGTGCGCGATGAAGTTGTCTCCATTGCAGGCGACCAGCCTCCATCCTACGAGCTCATTCGGAGTATGAAATACCGTGAGTGGACATCGTCGATACCGGCCTTATATGCGTTGACTGTCCGCCTTTGGGATCAGTTCGCGCCTGCCTGAACGAAACCCTCCGCTTGTTCCCCCCAGTCCCCATCAACGGTAGAGCATCTCTGAGACCTGCAATCCTGCCATCATCAACTCCCAATGGACCTAGTTATTATGTTCCGGGTGGGCTTGCAAACGTCTTCTTCATCCCGCTCCTCATGCAGCGTCGGAAGGATTTATGGGGAGAAGACGCGGAGGACTTCTTGCCTGAAAGGTGGATCGAACCAAACAGGATTAAGGAGTTGACGGATGATCCATTCAAATTTCTTCCTTTCAATGCTGGCCCCCGATTATGTCTTGGGCAGAATTTTGCGTACAATGAAGCCAGTTTCGGTAAATAGCTTATACTTCTTCCCGAAGCATACCTTACTAATTTACTCACAGTTATAGTCCGGCTATTGCAAAACTTCGATACGTTTGAACTACGCCAGGAAGAAGACGCACCGCAGGGATCGTGTCCTTTGCCACATTGGAAAGAGGGGCGGGGAAGGAAGAGGGTCGAAAGGGTATGGCCAAGGGAAGGGGTAACTCTGTATTCCAAGGCACGTATGAATTGATGAACGAATTGATTGGGCGCTGAATCCTTCCTTTGATAGGGAGGCTTGTGGATCAGGTTGTCTTCGAAGAAACATTAGGAATCTACCTTCGTGATGCGCATGCCTGGTTAATGTGCGCGAATGATATTTCATTACAAAATTTAGCAAATGAACAAGATCATGAAGAGGAAGTGAAAACAATCCGACTAGAAGGTTAGCGTAACAACGGAACAAGCGGACAATGAACACTGCACTGCGAGCGGTTAGATACGAAGAGCATGGCGGATCCGCAGCGCCGTCACGACACGACCGGTGAATTTCTTAATGCAATGCTTAATTGTTCCCCCACGACCACGTGCGGGGTGAGAGCTGAGAATAAAGGTGACCACCTCGAGCCCCGTTTCGATTTCCGACCCCGAATTGACCTGGAAGTACTCCTTGTCCGTAACCTGAATGCGAGAAGTCGGGGAAAGGACTTGAGGTGTAAGAGTAGCTCCACCACCGTCTTCACCGGTGTCGAAATACGTAGGGTCACACGAAGAACACCTATCAACGGCTAGTGTAGGTGAAGATATGGCGGAACAGGGGTAGCTGGGCTCATCCTTGCCGCAATAAACATTGATTACGTATTGGCACGTCGACCCCGTTTGTCTACTGGCGTCAGAAAGGTCTGCAGTGGTTGGAGTGCGCTGCCGAAATGGTTCAAGGTGGGCAGTAAGATCCCAGCAAGGCAAGGGCGAGGCAGCTGCTCGACTGTAGCACTGAGACAACATGTTTGAAATGTAGTGCCCAGAATGGAATAGCTCGCGTATAGAAGCGTCAGGAGCCTCGTCGCTGGGATACAGATCAAAGTGAGGATAGCCAAGACCGGGGGCATAAACAGGGCGCCAATCAATTTCAGGAAGAGAAACTATCAACCATGGGGTGGTGGATGACTGATATCGGACAGATGAAGCAAAGTCTACCCCAGATGTATCGTCAGCGGAAGGCGTGGCCAAGGGCATGCCGTAGCGAGAGCTGGCTTCGCCCCCATAATATAGCTTCGAATTATCTGTGAAAGTGGCAGCAAAGTTAGGGAGAGAAGCTGAGACGGGCGAAGGATTTGTTAACGCCTTCTGAGGGAGATAAAAGATAGCGAAGTCAGATCTGGCTTTTAAATCAGCGAAAAGTTCTTGGGACCTACTAGTGAATCACGAAAATGGAAGAGCGCAAGATGATGACTGCTCTCAGAACGCTGCATAACGAGACGTATGCTGGTATCAGTGTAGATGGGAATAGAGAAATAAATGCACGCCGAAAACGTAGGGAACCTAAGGTATTTACGAGGATGGGACGCACTGAGACTCAATCAGGTGTCAGGCACTCCAAATGTTCTGCCAGTGGTTGGTTCTCTAATTTCAATCTTGACGGAAGGCGAGCCCTTGGCGGCGACAAAACCCGACGATGCCCTCGGGGGCTTTGAAGACCTCAGTACGCTAAGCACACAACAGCAAGCACTGTGACAATTCTGGGCGTGACCGTCATCTGGCGCAGCATAGTGGATCGACACGGCTTAACGCTCAAGCCCCAGAAGTCTCCGTTAGTGCCGGCTTCGCATTCAAGTTCTTGGATGAAGAGATGGCATCACTGTACAATAGGGCACTTGCCAATGAGCAAATCCTTAAAGCCCTTGAAAAGGATCCGCCGTCGTTGACCGTGCATCTGTACAAGGACAATTGGCGCTTCAACCAATCTGGCACTTGCCTGTATCATACGCCTATCGCTGTACGGTCTAAGCTTCACTGTAGGGCTCAGCTTATTCTAATGCAAGCCTTAGTCACTTCTAGATGATATCCGCGCTCATCGCGTTCCGGTCGATTTCCTCGATATCTTCAAACAAGCCAAAGTTCCATTCTACAGTGGTGCGTCGCACTTAACGAATGTCTCCACGAATTCACTTCATTCAAATGCCTGCAGGATGTCTGATCGTTGAGCTGTTTGACCATCGTGATAGTGCAGACCCAAATGAAGCGGTTCCTCCTCAGCATATCGTTCTCTGGCCGACAGCTGAGGCTACCTGGGCCGAATTGTGCTCACTTAATGCTAGAGATGGGGGAATGTGGACGGACACTGATGCTCTCAATTTTGAGGCGAAATTATTAGTGAATACATTCTTGTTTTCTGGACGTCAGACCTGATTGCCTTTCGTACCAGCTACAAAATGCCCCAGACTTGTGTCTAGATCCTGACCCATTGGTATCCAAGGTGGCTAATGCAGCGTTGTTGGTAACCACACCGCCGCTCTCACTTCCGTTCAAGAGGAAGAGATCCGCTGACGACGCATTTCGGGACGAAGAAGCAAAGGCCCAACGCGATCGCATGATGAAGCTAATGAACCCTCGAGCAGAGCGTGGTTTTCACGCCAGGTGAGCGCAATTTCATCGGGATGCTGCTACGTCTAGACCCTGATATATTTCCAAGTTTCCGACTTTTGGAGGGGATCCAACGTTACAAAGCTAGAGAGGCCGAAACAGCCCAACAGAACCAGCAATTGCAGCAACAGCAGCAGCAGCAGCAGCAGCAGCAGCAACAGCAGCAACAGCAGCAGCAACAGCAGCAGCAACAGCAACAGCAGTCGCAGCAACAGCACCAGTCGCAGTCGCAACAACAACAGCACCAGTTGCAGCAGCACCAACACCAGCCGCAACAGCACCAGCAACAAAATCAACAGCAGCCGCCTCCTGTGCAAGGCCAACAGCATGTTCAGGCACCACCACGCTTGGCCCAGAGTACTCAACAGCCTCAATCACCCCATATAGGTCAGCGCGCTTCTGTGGGCACGCCCGCAGAACCGCCTGGACGTGAGTTGCGCATTCCCGCTAGGTGAACCACCATGACGGTTAATGATTCGATTTCTTGGAAGTACGGACTCGAAAACAATCCAATGCTGCACCTCCCACTACCAAGGCTCCGCCTATGCCGCAGAAGAAAGCTTCTCTTCAGGCCAACGCCGCATTAACGTCAAGTAGTATTCCCGAGCCAATACAATCAACGTCGCCTGCCCCTCTACCCAATACAGCTCCTCCACCTCAAGCCCACCCACCAAGACCTACCTCCAGTGTACCTCCAGCCTCAACTCCGGTTGCAGTCCCACCCAATGTTCCCCCTATCACCCGAGCGCAGCCTACTCCCGTTCCCTCCCGTGCATCTCCACAAGCCACAAGGTCATCAACACCTGCCTCCAGCTCCTCGCCCATTCGTCCTGATGCCCCACAGGGTCCCGTGCATCCAGGCGCACAGCCTTCCGGTCAATACCCCCAAAATCCAGCTCTTCGGCTCCTGAATGGAGCTCCGCGTACTCCCCAACAACTCCAAGCTACTACATCGCCTGCCGCCAATAATCCGCAGCGGCCTCCTCATCAGCAACCTGGAAGGACAATGCCACAGACAGCCGCGACCCAGCAGCCTGTTCAGATTCCCCAGCAGCAGCAACCGCAACTGCCACCAACGCAAACTTCCCCCCAAGCACAAGGGCCTTCCCCTTCGTTCACGCCACAACAACAACAAGCTTTGCAAGCCAGAATTTTCCAGATACAGCAGCAGCAATTTGCTTCTCAATTTGGCTCAACACCAGGGACAAATAACGCGAATCAGCTGGCACAATTTCATGCGCACGCTCGGGCTCAGCCCCAAGCACAAGCGCAGGCACAGACACGAACGCAGACGCAGGCGCAGGCGCAGGCACAGGGTCAGCAACCAAGCCATCCTGCTGGGGTGCAAACTCCGCCCCAGCAGCCCCAGCAGCAAGCGCAACCACAGCCCGCTCGACCACAGCAGCAAGGACAGCATCAATTCCCTAGTGCTCAGCGTTTCCCCATTAACGGGACTGTTCCCGTCCCAATGATGGTGATGGGCTCGCAGCAACCTAACGGCCTCCCAATTCAAATTGGGGCGTTCAATAGTCAAATGGCTGCTATGATGGGAGGTGCAAACGCGGGTCGAAGTGTCTCACAGAACCAGCAGAATGCCGGACAGATGCATCCTAGTATCAATTCGAACATTGGTGCCCAACCTCCTCGGCCGAGTTCACAGATGGGTGTGCCCGGAACTCCACAGCGTGGACCACCGTCAAGTGCTCAGCATCCCCAGACCCCCCAACAGATGCACACCGGCGCCACCCCTAATCCTCAACAGGCCGGTATGCAGCAACAACTTCAGATGCTGAGCCTAATGCACCCTGGCATCAATATGGCTGGGAATCAAGCACCCAATGGTGTCGGTTTTACTGCGATTGGTCAACACAACATCCCTACAGCCAATCTCGCAGCATTTCATCCGAACATAGCGTTACTGGCCAACGCACGGAATCAGGCAGTAGCAAATGCCGCGCAAATGCAAATGGCTAGTTCACTTCAGAATCCGGGAGGTGCTCAGTTCAATGTAGCGCAAATGAATCCAAATCAAGTTCCTGCAGCTGCATGGCGTCCTAATGGAAGAACTCAGGTCCCGCTTCCCCCAGGCGCTGCACCGCAGAACCCCCCACCGCCCCCGGCGGCAGGTCGAGGAGGGCGGTAAGCCCCTGTTTCAATGCCAACGTGTCAACACTTCTCGTATGTTCCTTCGTATCCTTTGTCGTATACCTTGAATTCACATTGTACATATATTGCAACCATTCCGAGTTAGAAGGATCTACGAGAGGAACAATTCGGTAAGGATGTTTATTGTATCCTCAGGACTCGACACGGAATGTCCAATAGTCCTCGAATCGATATAAATCTCATGGTCATTTCCCCCCTTGATGAGAATTAGTGAAATTCGTTAACGTCATATTGGATTGGCGGGTACCTCATAGGTCTTATCACCAAAGAAGTGAATCTGTTCAAATCCTTCATCTTGAACATGGCGGAGAGCGTAAGTCTTGTCCCAACCCTTGGGGAAGACGTCAAACGAAATTTGTCCCCCGATCGAGAAGGTTAAGTCGTAGTGCGCAAATTTCTCCCGTAGGACGCGCACGAATTCTTTGCGAATGCCGTACTCCTAGATCATGAACACATGCAGGAAACGAAAACAAGAGTGAGGACAGAAAACAAGAACAAAAACGGAAGCAAAGGCCTCACAAGATCAAATTTCTCGAAATCGTTCCTTTCCTGGATGCTGGCGGGACGAGTTCTGTGAGAATAGCAAAGTGAGGAAGCTCGGTATAATATAGCTCACGTTGCATTCCGTCCGATTGGGCTAACGTTAATCATTCCATTGCGGAATTCGATGAATGTGCCTCTGTCTTTGTAATTTAGTCTAAGCACCCAGGACAATTTTTCGAAGATCCCACCTTTTGATCGGTATGTCCAAATCCGCGATGTAGTGGAGGCAAAAGTTTACCAGCAGCTTGTACCGTCCATTTCCAAGATAACTAATGAACGATTGCGATGGTAATTGCTTCCCAGACTTGTAGGCAGTCAGGCCATTTTCAGCAAAAGCGTAATCGAAATTCTCGGTAACTAGGTCAACAAGATGTGAGTTAGACGTCGGGTAATGGATTGGCGCGAGTAACCATACCGGGCTTCCCATCGACTGCCAATTGTTCACTAATTTTTGCCAGATCGGACCCGCCAACGAATCCGATCACGACCTTCTTACGGACCTCCTGAAGGATCTTGATCACTTCGGGCGACGCAGTCTGCGAGGTCACATCTGTGATCAGATTGGGTCTTGTTCAAGCAGACAAGGAAGATTCGTACGCGCCGAGCAGGCGTCAGGGTGCCGTCTACATCGAACAGAACGAGAGTTTTATGGTAAGGTCTATCTGAGAACAAAGAAGCCATAGGTGGGGCTGAAGAAGTGTACAGGCAAAGTTGAAATAACACTGGTGTTTTGCTGTCACAACAACAGCTGCCAGAAGTCGACTCAACTCAAATGATTCGTAGAAGAACGATTGGCTTGGCACGAAATTTCCCACTTACGTAACGCGCGGCATCTGCCTGGAGAATCATTCCAAATGCAACAGGAGCCCTCTTCAATCATCCTGGCCTCGATCCAGTTTTTTCTCTCCAATGGGGACTCCGCTGGAGACAACCTCATTTTCACATTCACGATGCAGAGTAAACGTATTGCTGTAGACGCATCCCTGAGGTGGAGACGTTCATTGTAGTTCATTGTATCATGCTCCCTTATGTATTCAGAGCAACGATCGGGAAGCAAGAGGAGATATGGTTAACGATCGGACACCTGTGGAAGCGGCTCCGATCTTCGTTGCTGTTGGGACAGGGCCCAGATGGTAGTGACGCATTGGGCCTCATTCTGGCCACTGCCCAGTTTGTTCGGAATATCGTAGCCGAGGTACCCGAAAATCAAGTTAAAGCCATGTACGCACGGATAGAAAGCGGATTATCTACTTGTTGCTCAAAGGGTACTTTCAAGCGAATCGGAAAACGACATTAGGGATATCATTCACTGGTTATCGTCTTATTATCACGGGCTAGATAGTCGATGTGAGTCCTCCAGTTCCGTGCTTCGTATTGGCCCTGATGTGTTGATGTTTCAGACCACGCTGCAACACGGATGCTTGTGCAAATGCTTTCTAATATTGTGACCGGCAATGACAGCCTCGTTTCTTCTTTATGGAATTCGTACATGGAATTCGAGGACGACAAGAGCCTTTTCCCGTAAGCATACGGGGACTCCGATAGAGTGAACCCTCTAGACTCCTCATTAGCCGACTTCTCGTGATCCCTGATAAACAGGTTCGCATTTCAACATGCATATTCATCCTTAACTGCGTCAAAGGGAGCCATCATAGGAGGTTGGGGCCAAACCGTCACGCTCCACAGTAGGCTTGGCTAATTTTCCGCGTTTCTCAAGTCTTCAGCTCTCCGTCACTCATGCGGGAGTACGCATATGTTCACTACTACTTAACCAAGCACATGTACTTTTCGAACGAGATGAAGACTCAGAAAATGATGAACTGCGACTTATGTTAGTTCCTTCACATTGCCAAACTCTGACCCCGCTCCTAATTGCCAAATAGCATCCAAATCATAGGCGATCTGTGCCAAATGTCTTTGGCACATTCTTTGTGGAAGTCTTTATCCGTGTATGGGCGCCGCATACCTTAATAATTGGGGAATTGCACTCATGCACAAATCATCAGCGAAGATGAGGTCATCACGCCTCAACAGATAACCTTCCTTAAACTCCTTGACGCAAGGCTCCAGGAAGGGATTAACATTGACATCAAATCGAACAATTTTGTGGGTGGCGTACTATGCCACTTCATGGAACACACACGAGCCTCTGTTTCTGACACGCTAGAGCAAGCGCAACAAAATGGACACCCAGTGACGCTGGACCCACGGTTACCGCACATCTTCGAGGCAATAATAATGCTCAATCAATGCACCATATCCATCTTGTTGTTTGAGGCTGAACAGCCCACGTCAGAAACGACGTTTCGAGACTCTTTACTCGCTGGGTTGCATGCCATAGAGACAATTATCGGTGAGGCGTCTCACTCCATTAAACCCCTACAGGAGTCAATGTAGTGTGTACTCCATTCAGAGTGTCTGAAACTCCTTGACATGTTCCTTCCGCGAATCTTGTGGGGGAAGGCACAACATTCCCATCCACAACCATCACGATTAGTGGATTCATGGACGGCCGCAGATCCGGCCGCATTCTCATACATGAAACGCGATCTCGTCAGATTACTCGGCATTTTATGTCACAGACGTAAAGATGTCCAGGACAAAGTACGGGATTGTGGTGGTATACATGTAGTTCTTAATCTTTGCGTCGTCGATGAGCGAAATCCATGTGAGTATCTTCCAAATAACCTACCTGAGATTTGGGGATATCGATCTTTTCCAGATCTTCGAGAGCACGCTCTCTTCACATTAAGGAATTTGCTTGCCGGGAACGATGAGAACCAGAAAATAGTAGCGGAGTTGGAACCAATGGGTGTATGGTCTGAAGACGGGGAACTAAAGGATGTGTCAGGACGCGTGAGGAAGTAAATTACACGAGAGCAGTGTATAATAATACAAAAATGGGGTGCCAGAGATACTACTCATCCTCATCTTCAATAATGATTTTCTTTCTCCCAGGTGCTGCAGGCTTGCGGACGACACCTGGACTCTGGTCTCCTTCCGACTCGCTCATGTCCATGTCAACAGAGTCTTCTTCTGCATTGTGATCACTATGTTTTGGAGCCTCCTGTCGGCGCTGTCGGGTTTGTCGTTCTATCTGCTGATCTATTTTGTCTAGGTCATCAGGTTCGCCATCTTCTTCTTCGGGTTGATCTTGTTCCTCTTCATCGCCATCCTTCTCTGACGGCGGATCATCCACCACAAAATCGTCTGCCTCGTAAGACCCAGCGATCTCCCGTTTTGGTTTGGCAATGGGACGTCGTTTCCTCGTTCCAGACTCTTCATCTTCGTCGGTAGCGACCGCTTCGGGCTCTTCTTCCTCTTCCTCATCGTCAGAATACACGTTACGGGAAGAACGGTTACGTCCGTGCGACGAACGTCGTTGCTGGCGCCGTCTCCGTTCAAGGCCACCGTCCGAGTCTGAATCAACATCATATTTCTTACGAGCACCAGCCATAGACTTCCGCTTCTTCCCAGAGGTCGCCTTCTCCGAATCTAAATCTCGAATCATCTCCGGAGCAATGCGGAGACGAGCAACTTTGTTATGCTTTTGTCCGACTGCGCGTACAAGCCTTTTGTGCGTCTCCGACTGCATCCCAGTTGGACGGAGAGACAGGACTCCTGTAATGAGGGCCTCTGCCTGAAGAACGGCGGATGATTTGTGTTGCGCAACGAGATACGATAATCCCTCCGCTTGGACTGGGCCAGTTGGGAAGACCGATTGGTCGGCGGAGGCCTGCCTTGCGGGCGTTTGCGGACCCGTTTGTGCCCCAGCACGTGGGATGGCAGCAGAATTATCGACGTTAATCGCGATGTCAAAAATTTCCTTCCCTACTTGAAGACTCATGGAACCATCTGACCATCTGATCATGCGTGTATTCGATTGTTGCACCTTCGTAAACATTGAGCTATCGCGTCGACTCGAGCAATTTGTACCACCTCCTCGCCATTGGGTCGAGCGGCCCATCTCCATCGTATAGTGTTCTCGACTTCTAATTTGATGCTCATACTTCGTTCGCGTATAGTCTCGGCTTGTTCAGCCAAATCAAGATCCGCCTCTGGGCCACGGTAGGTGTCAGGGTGGAAAGGCTGTGAATCTATCTTGACGAAGTTCGGCATTCGGATGATCCAATGCTGGAAACCATATTGAGAGAACGTTGAAAGTTAAAAAAAGAGGACGATGCATACATTCCCATCACTGTTGGAAGGAAGTGGGAGTTTTGGTATAGGGACGTCCGCAATCCGTTGCTGAATAACATCAGTAACAAAGTCCTCCTCTCCATACTCGAGCGCTTGTCGCTGTCGGCGTTCAGCAGCCGTCAAGGTCTCGTGGTCAGATGTTATTGCCGATGGAGTCGGAGACGATTCCTTCCTACGAAAATCCTCATTTCATTTGACTGGAGAGTCGGTTCTTTGGAGGTACGCACGAAGCATTGGCTGTAGGTTTCTCGTCATCATCAAACAAATCTGCCATTTCCTCATCCGAGGCCGCGTTTTCGACCCCAACCTTCGATTCGGGTTCATCGTCTGACCCAAAAATCTCCCGTGATACGCTCAGAGTCGCAGTGGCCGCCATTAATTGATGTAAACCGCAGATCCTTGAGGTCACGTGGTTTCACAATGATGACCGACAGCCTCGTTGTCACACTCAGCCAGTGGAAGTGCTTCATGTCCCCTTTTTCCTGGTATGACGCTAGTTCGGCGTTTTCTAGGAGAAGAGGCGCCGAAGACACGTACACCAAAAAAGCGGTCGGTTACTCTAGGGTTCGAACCTAGGCCTGAAAATCAGATTGGATGTTGGTGTTCAAATCCAACGCGTTAACCACTCCGCCAAGTAACCATAAATCGTCCAAGATCAACCGAAACCACAAATGACAGCAGGGATGCTGGATGATTAATATAAGGGATCACCTGACCGTGTTTCTCACGGAACGTCCATGCCAAATGCTGTCTCCTTTGAGTCTGACTCGTCGGTCTGCTTTACTTAAGTCATGCCTGAGCAGGGGTTGGCTGTCCCCACTGTGCGATGTAAAATGCCAACGTCCCTTTTGTTGGATTACAAGTCACGCTACTGACTTACCTCCCGCGCACAGAGCCTATGTGCAACGTCCCCGTAGCATAGCCCCGATGTACTATAAAAGCGCCATAGTTAGCATGGATAGTATTCATCAGCTTGATACTTATCTGAAGTCCCTCCTTTCGCTGCCACGAATGTAGCCGCTGAGCACCTATAACTTATAAGAGTTGCCTCATAACAACACCTTTGAGACAAGTTGGCTAGGTATTGCTCTTGCACCACTAAGCCGATTGGATCTGGCCGTCAATGACAAGTAAAACTATCATGGCTCAACCAATTAGCAAAACGAACGAGATATGGGGTGGATACATGATATGACACTGGCGGAAAAAAAGCCGAGGGGCATTTTCACGATACATAACGTGAGAGCGAGAACGATGACGGGAATCGCAACATAGACCAAGGGGAGAGCGACATATCGTGTTCTGAAGGTCAGATGCGAGATCACGAAGGGACCTGCAGAAGCTTCAAACGGGGTGATTTTTGTTATCATTGATAATTTGAGTCATCAGCATACTGGGCGGTGTAGAACAGAGTCAGTCCGAGTCCCAACTGTGGATCCTGCCTACTTGTTCAATTGAAACAGGATGATCCGGACGTTCGGGACGCAATGATCCATCTCAATGTCCTTTATTGATATCATATCTCTCCGTCACGCACCCAGATGCAGAACCGCGCCAACAAATCGAAGGAGAGAATTGCTTCTGCGATGAGTAGCAATAGAGTCCGAAAGTGTGAACGTTGAAGACAAAGACAAGCATGAGACACAAGGTAGTGTAAGTCGTCGGCTGGCATGAGATTCATGAATAAAATTTCCGGTTTCCTCTGGAGCCACGCAACGCGCAACGCGCAGACCTTGGTGCTTGCGTCCTTGAACCCGATATTGTTATTATTTAGTCCACAAGCCAACGCCGCAAAGGCAAGTTTTTTTTTTTTGTTCCTCAGGACGTTCTTTTGTGCGGGATTCCGGAACGGAGAAACGCAAACTGCTTGGAAGTGAGCGATCGTAACGGCGGAACCCTGGGCCGGTCAAGGCTGCTTATCCACAAGCAACAACAGCAGGGGGTTTGTCAGCATGACGTCCCCACGCACGATATAGTAATAAATAATTTCGACCGGGACAACCGTTCCGCCTGCCCCCCGCGCCGCACCATTGGTCTACATAGAGGTCGTTCAACTATAATGCGTGCATACCTGGCCAGGATGCAGCACAACGCGTAGTTAGACGCGGGTTACGTTGAAGTAATCCATACATGGTGATAATCATGGTACATTGATTAGAAGATGACGCCAGTTGTTGTGTTGCAGGTTCAGTCCATGGAAAAGATGCAAATTGATCAAGGTTAAACGCCTAGCTAGGTGAATCGGCAGATCGAGGAGAGCACGGAAAGAGGTGATACAACATGAACAAAAGAGCTTTAAAAAAAAAAAAAAGCCATAAATCAGTACCGCCATGACCGTATGTGGCGCCGGTATCCGTTGTGGTCAAGGAAAAATTCCTCTTTCAGAGCCCACCTTTCAAAGGGATCTGCGATAGAGGTCCTAGTATGTCTCATCCACCAGCCTAGCTTTTCTGTCTCTTCACTCGGCATGTCATAGATGTATCCGAGGCCGCGACAACGGAATTCGGCATGGAGGAGCGAGGGACTGGTACGTGCGTAGCCATCCGACATGTCATCGAGCCAACCCACAATCCCCCCCACAATCCCCTCATCGAGGTAATCCGTGGTCTCCTCCTCGGTCGGGTCGCGCTCGCGCGGGTCCACTCGTAACACGGTAACTTCCCAGGAGAGCGTTTGAAGGCATTTTAACGATTTCACAACGCCAAATAAAGAACTGGTAGGGCATTTTTGGTCGAAAGGGGACCAACAGAGCCGAACTAGAATAGAGTGGAATTCGATCGTCAAATCGGTGAGGAAGGTGAATGTCTTGATTACTTGGTAGGATGGTGGAATTTCGCTCTCCGATCTATGGTCCTCTCTAATGGTCAGGCTGCGAAGTGACAATGCAGAATCCTTGAGCGATTCCAGATCGTGAGGTCGACGCGGCCAAACTAAAGTGTGGTCCAGGAATTCCACGGAGGCGAGCGTTGTACATCCTCGTGCAAGGTGCAGCGGCACATCCACCATGCGGAGCTTTGATAAGGAAGGGAGTGGAATCGTAGGGGGGGTGGAATTGCGTATGGAATCCAAGCTGACGTCCGTAAGATTTGGAAATTCCGAATCCATAACCAATCTCTGCACATCGGAACAATGAAGCTGCTTCAAAGATGGCATGTCCAACAGGGACAATGTGTCAACACTTCTGACAGAAAGATATTCCAATGCATGTAGAGTGGACGACATGTTGTCAGGAAAGCGGATATGCCCACATCTGAGTTCAACCCTCATAGATATAAGTGAGGGTATGGGGGGCACCTCAAAACTTTTGGCACGATATATCCCCAAGTGCCGAAGCTTAGGTTGTGAGGTCAAGAAACCGCCCCACTTTGATTGTGTGATATCGTCAGAAATAGATAACGCAATGGTCTCCAGTTGACATTGTGCTGAGGAGGTCCACATGGTGGGGAAGCTGCCCAGATCCTTGCCGTCACCGAACAGAGTCAACTCGATGAGATGTGAGAATCTGGTGAAGATACCTATAAGTCGTTCGAGAGACTTTTGCACCTTGTCCTCAGGCACATCGCGGGCAGTATCAACCCAGAGGTCCAGACGCTTCACGACAGACACCGAAGTGGTGTTCATGAACTGATCGAGCCTTTCGAAATTTTCCCGGTCAAGTGAAGCAAAAAATCCGACGCTCCGGAAGAGGAGATTTGCGCAAACACGTCGAACGTTGCGACTTGTGAGACTCATGCCGTCGCGCAAGGTTTTGAAGTCAAGAAACGTGAGTATGTGATGCGCAACCTCGTATGGAAGTCCAAGAAAATGAACTGGCTTCTTTATCGATCACGCATGTTGATATATATATATAACGTTGAGAGGTTGTGCAAACTGCATTTGTGCTCACCTGTGCCCCATCTATCTGGTTGGTAACTTCATTATAAAGCCCGTCGGACGATAGGGATAGGCCCGAGACTTTTTTGCCTTGGGCTGAGTGCCTATCAGTACCACCAACTTATGTAGCCACTATAAAGTACATACCCATCTATCGTGATCGTGTTGTCGAGAGTAAAATCACGGCAATCCCCGTTGAATTTAAATGCTCTCGAGAAAGTCTAGGAGGCTACTGAACAGTTTCAACTCGATGAAATGTCGGAAGATGGCTATGAGCTTTCTCGCCCTAACTCGCTTTTTACATGACGCACAAGGGCAGGCAAGCAGCCAAACTTCGAGAGTTACACACCTCACAACGGACATCGAAGAGGGGGTATTCATGAACTGGCGGAGATATCATCATCGCAAAGCTGTGTGTGTCAGCAAACAATCTGAAGGCCCGAAAGAAGGAGATCAAGCGCAAAAACATGTCGAACATTGCGACTTGTGCATGAGACTCATATATGGAATGAGTTACCGATAAAAAATACTGATGGATCTTTTTGGGTCAATTCATACTTCACACATTTCCACTTTGTGCATTTGCATGCTTCGCTATTGTATACTTTGCATACTTTGCATACTTTGCATACTTTGCATACTTTGCATACTTTGCATACTTTGCATACTTTGCATACTTTGCATACTTTACATACTTTACATACTTTACATACTTTGTGTACTTTATGGTTGCAAATTGTCCTAGAATGCCATACTTGTCCATCCCATGGTCTGTGCACATGCTGACCACTGTCTAGAGGGATGTCAAGACTGTTTCCCACGGTCTGAACACACTTTACGTAGTTGAATAGCCCCTTTAAATAGCTTCCAGAATATATATTTTGAGACTGAATTGACCAATAAATCTCAGTTTAATCCCATTTCACATGACTAATCAGGTGGATCCGCGCGCGCCTCAGAGGAGGCCGTCTTGTTCTGCACTGTCGCAGTGCGGATGGAACAAGACGGACGAAACCCTCCTCCGGGCCCAAACTTGGTCTCAGACCAGCTGCGGGAAGAGACAAGTTGCATCCGGGAGCGAGATAAATAGCGCACCTTATCCACTCCCCACCTGCCTGCGCAATCGTACTACAACGTCTAACTGGTAAGTTAACGGTAGTGCGATGAGGCTTTTAACCGTGTGTGCTGGCCCCGCTCCTCAGGCCTGCACACGGTTATCCCTGCTCTCGCTATCCACTAAATGCGCGCTTACTCTTACTTTCATAGTTCTCAACTGAATCTCCGCACTTCCCACCTCCTTCCCCATCGCCTCCGTTGCGTTACATCATTTTTTCACTTGCTACCCTCTCCTGCATTTACTGTTAATGTATTTAATTGACGTACGGCTCGCATCGCTGGCGCACAATCATACGCATTGCAGGTCCATACGGACCGTGTCCACTAACTCATGGACCACTCACGGAACCGAACTGATTAGTTATCGAGAAAAATGCAAAATACTTTTTTGGACATGAGTCTTTGGGTTAGTGTGGCTGTCCACCTCAATGTCTGTGCACAATGCTGGCCACTGTCTGAAGGGGTGTCAGCACTGTTTCTCACGGTCTCAACACACTTTGCATAGTTGGATAGCCCCTTCAAATAGCTTCCAGAATATATAATTTGAGACTAAATTGGCAAGCAAGTTATTGAGAAAAATGTAAAATACTTTTTTGGATGCTGTCAGAAACGGTATTTGAGGTGATTGCAGGAAGTGGAGCGGAGTGCAGCGGCATGAGTGTTCACTTAGCTAATGTGCAACTCTGTTGCAAGGCATCTTGGGAGATGGGACTTCAGCTTCAATGACTTGGCTGGAGCATTGCGCCACGCATTCCAGGCTGTCCCGTATTTCAAGTTAGTGGGAGGGACCTTGCAGCAACGTTGACTTAAACAGAGATGGAACTGAGAGGCGAACTTAAGCTGAGAGCACTTTGGGGGGATTTCTAGTCGATATTCAAACTGAGGTACATCGACAGTAAACTACAAGTATAAGTACAAAAGGAAAACAGAGAAGGGGTCGGTCGGTCCGGTGTGGGATGGGAGCAGAATGGTAAGTGCAACAAAACTAAAAGAGCGATGAGGACCAGGGAAATGGAACAGAGGATGGTGAAGTTGGGAGGCAGAATGAATAGGCCGACAATCTAGGCGCCAATATAGTGGCAGATCAAAATGTCAATATATGAATAAATCAAATGTCAATATATGAATAAATCAAATGTCAATATATGAATAAATCAAATGTCAATAAAGGAATAAACCAAATGTCAATAAGGAGTGGTGAAGGAGAGAACGAAGGAAGGTCAGTTGGGAGGTTCAAACGAGACCACCACCAAGCTGTTCCCTGGTTCTTTAGTTAGGATGGGGAAGTGTACTAGTGTTATTTATTGTAAATATAGTACAGTCATTCATGGGCCAATGGTTCACATTTTGTAATTTTGAGACTATGACATTGGATCAAAACCAAATACAAAAATTTTACGACGGATAGTAGCCAGGCTGGGTATGTACATATTACTGAGAAATATAAAGAAATGGATGAAAAATGAACGAGAATAAAAGCAGACAAAGAAATGGTGCTTTCCCGGCTCAATGGTTCAGTGTGACATGGTGTGACAATTAGTTCACACGCCGAACCGATAATTCAGTAATATGGCATGAAGCAAGGGTTTGCAGAATATTTGCTCTACTACTTGAGCTGCTTTTTGCTTGTGAATTCTAAGGGAGTGATTACTGATACTGGTGAAAGCAGCAGGCACAGAAAGGAATAAATTTGAGATACTGAATTTGGAAACTCGGATGTAAGTATACCTCAGTCTGACAAGTGCTCGTTCACCACAACAAACAAACATGGGCACATGCGCCAGTGGCCTTATGTTCCCTGGTAACACACCAAGCTGTAGGACACACTGCGGTGTCATAGCCATGTTCCTGGAGAGTGCAAGATGCATAACTTTTGTGTGCACCATTAACTCGTTGAACAACTGCTATTACTCCTTCATTTTATGTCCGATTTGGTCAAATTTTTGCGTAGTCATAGCCATAGTTATAACATACAAGTGTGCAAAAAATAAAAAAATCCCGGGGTGAAATAAGGATGTTACATGCAAATGAACCATTGAGGGGTGTGAACCATTGGCACCTGAATGACTGTACCAATCCGAGTGTTTTGGCTAATTCTATTTTTATGGGTTAGTTTTAAAGTTCCTGGGAATTGACTTACAGATAAACCGAGCCCTGCGGAGCTGTTTCTTTATTGAAATTTCTTAATTTGTCTAGGTGTAATTCTGTGTAGCGTTGTTTAATTTGGAATTTAACTTGAATTTAATCTTCTACTTGGTGAAGTTTCAAAGATTCTATTCAGTTAATGGATTTGGATTGTGTCTGGAGTGTCCCTTGGGTTTGTTTTATTTTTGTCTTATTTTATTGCTTGTTTTAACAGTAGCAAGATAACTGTTTTGTGTTTACACTTTGAAATCTGGAGTGTTAACCAGCTCTCCTGTTGAAATATTTACTTAATATTTCTCTCCTTAATTGCTGCCTTTTACTACAGTGGCAATCTTAACTGTATATCACTTTTTCACGCTGGAGTGACAACCAGAAATGCTTGAGAAAAATAATACTCTATTTTCTTACTTCTCTAAGGGGGGTGAAAAGTCGCAGAAAGGGTCTCCCTTTTATACTCCTTGGGTTGCCTTCCTTTTTCATGCTCTACCTTCTATTTACAGGATTTATTTACAGTGTATTTTTCTCAAACTGAATAAAAAATGAAATTTTCACGCTATAGTTCTACTGCGCTTTTGCTGCGCTGAACTGCGGTTCTACTGTGGTCAGACTGCGCCTAGAATCCTTATTGTCCTCCCTCGCCTAAGCTATTTTAATGGTTAATTAGAACTTGGCTGCACTGCATTTGTCGCAGTTACCTATTTCAAATTCCCTATATATACCATTAAATTTGCTATGACTCGATGATTCTGAATTCAAACTTCGCATTACTATGCGTACGGCTGTGCTGAGACCTTCAGCTGATTTATTCCATTTTTATTTAGTGACATTTAGTTAAAATGAGACTGAAATGGTAAATGAGTGAATTATTCAGGTTTAAAACTGAAAGAAAAAGTTGCTGGTAGTCAAGAATTACTCAAACGAATGTGTTATAGCTCTCCACCTCATTAGAATATCGTTCCCTAAAATTCCTGCCATGGTCCGTCATAATTTAGTGGTTTTCATGAATTTCATTCATATTCCCTGATTCCCCTTTGTATTATCACATCCTAATCCTCCATATGTATTTTTCATTGTTATAGTAGGTCGTCCTTGAAGATATCATATTTTTATGTATTTTATTTAGGACTCTGGACCTCTTGAAGCTGTTTTCCCGCGCGTTTTCAGGTTTCTAACTTCATGTCCTTGTATCTCATTCATTTCTGGATGTTTTCTCACGTTCTTGGTATTATAAATTTTCATTTATTCCCACCTTTCCAATGGTACTAAGGTTGTGTCCTATTTCCTGGTATTCGTTGAGTTAGCAAAAGTTCGCATGCACATTCGGTAATCACGTGCGTCGTTCCCATAGTCGTTCGTATGCAGGCACCATTTCCATTTAATTGTTCGGGATTTATGATATGCACGGGTGTTTATTTCTTTCATATGGGCTTCTGTGATTTATTTCAGATTTTTCCCTCATGATCTAAGGTTGTTTTGCACTTTCCGTGCTTTGTTTTGACCGGGCTCTTCCTTATTTGGACGGAAATTGGTCTTCGCGATCTGCCGAAGTGCGGATCTCGGTTCCGACAGCCGGTTCCCTGCGCATCACCACCCTCACGTGTCATTACACATGATGCAGATTTCTATATTCCCATCATGGGTATAACTTCACAACGGCTGGACCGTTTGGGCTGAAAATTTGCATAACTATAGTTCCCCATTTTTCATAATTTCTGTGTAAATTTCGTTGTATGTTTTAATTATGGATCCTACGCAAACATCGTCTTTTCCCTGAGCTCAGACTTTTGATGTCGCTATTCCCGTTATTGGATATCACATTAATGCATGATCCTTTTATTATGAAAATTTGGGAGGATTAAGATTAGATCCCTTCCTTTCTAATGGGCTATCAAGCTTGTCTCGGTCGTTACTGGTTAATCTTCGCGCTTGCCTTTTAGACGTTGTCCTCATTTTGCAGGAGTTTTAGTCATATCTCCGTCGTTTATGGGTAGTTTCCCCTGTAATTACTTTCATTGGGTCCGTTTGGGGGACATCTACATTTCCTATTATAGACACGACTTTGAATTTTGCATTAGTTCCTGAGGAATCCTTGTTCCGTGGTACTTCCATCCTTGGCTACGTGTGCGGACGTGGGAAAGTAGTTTCCGTGGAGGTTCTCTGATTGTTTTCATAGTCAAATCTTGGTCGATTGTCCTAATTCTTGGTTTAATATTTGCTATAAATTCCCCTGAGAATTCTGTCTCATTGATGGTAAGCTTGAAGTATTTTTGCTATTTTTCTTTCTTTCGATTTATCGTGTATAGTCATAATAATTCGTAAAAATTCGTAAAAATTCGTAAAAATTCGTTAAAATTCAGGTCCTTCTATTTTCTCATATCTACTTGTCGTATGAGGTTTTGTGATTTATCTGGCATATTTCCATAATGGGTTTCCATAGTGTGACCGTTATTTCTCCTACAGCAGATCAGTGGCGACAATATTGACCGCTAGTAAGTTAAGTGAATGAATAAGAATAAAACGGTATTGGCCAAATGGCTGAGGAACTTAAGTGGTGGTGGGAGAAAGAAGGAGGTGCCGCTACGGGGCTGTAGACAGGAACCACTATCAGCGCCGCTGAGTGGTGGACAATGGTGCAATTAATGGGTGCAAATAATGGGTGCAAGAATGGGGGTGCAGATGATAGAAGTGGTAAAAGGGGCAGGGACTTTGTGGGGCCATGACAGATGCAAGTCTTTGGGATAGTGCTGGGCCACTAAATTTCAGTGACAATCAAAATTCCCAGGTCACTGATATCCCAAATGTTAGAATGGTGCAGGTTCGGACAATTCTGGAGTGGTGTCACAACCTGGCAATTCCCACAGTCAGGTGCTCACTCCCCACCCCTTCTCCCACCTCCGCTCTGACCCCATCCACTCCGCTCCCCGCCCAACACCATCTGGACAAGCCCATCACCCTTCCCCATCTTTGGTACCTTTTTCATGGCCCATGACAGGCCTACGTTCATTCCCTGTTTTCTTGATGGCCAGGCATGGCCATCCTTCTCCCATGTTCTTTGTTTGTTTTTATCCTTTCTTAAAGCCACCTGCAATCTCCATGAGATCTGGCAGCTAATTCCCACTCATTCTGTTACACTTAAATACTGGTTGTACACTACCTTGTACCTTAGTTTGAAAATCAACTAGGGTTGTCTTGTAATGTAGGGATTCCATATAAGGTAATCCGCTACCTCAGCGGTAACACTCGCAAGACCAGATGTAAGCTAGGTAAAATCTGATGATTTTTGTCAACGCCTGTCTGTGCGTATTTATATACAATGTAAATCTATTGCGGAGCAGCCTGTTAAGGTAACTCCTGTGCGACTACGGAATTAGTAATTCCCTCCACATAGTCCTCCACATAAACACTGGCTGTGTCTGGTCCCTGTGACTCATGATTACAACAGGTTGCCCCCTGTGTGTCTTGTCTGACTCAGTCGCATTCTCTGTACCCTGAAATATCGGGGCTGCATCAAGTACGAGGTGCAATGCTCACAGACAAGTCATTGAAGCCAAAACCCTGCTTCGCTGCGATTGTCAACCTATAAGCATTGCTATAGGTTGAGTTTGTGAGTGGTCTTGCGACAGTCAGAGTTTGCCTTACACTCCCAGTCTGTTGAAGTATGCTGTATGAAGCTGTATTTATCAACGGGGGGGTAAAAGGCTGGGGAAGCCTTTACCCCCCTCGCATGTAGGTTAAATACAATATTGTATATACATGTGATAGTTGCGGCTTGGGACCGCATGGTAGAAATGAAGGGTTCAGGAATAGAAGTGTCACGTTGGGTACAAACCCAATGTGATAAATAAAGAATGAAGAATGAATAAGGTAGGCCACGAGTATGCAGCCTATATCCCTTACACAACCCCACCCTTAACAGACTGTTATGCTGAGACAGCAGACCTTAACGGTCACTGACAGTGAACCATGGTAACGTTTCCCATGCCCCTGACACTTTACAACTACTCCGAGGTATATATATATGTAAATTACATATCTCGGCACAAATAAATAAAGAAATAACAGCATCACTATAATTGGAATTATAGTGAAGTAAGGTTAATCCCTTACAAAAGTGCACATTGTCCATTCCCTAAAGTAATATAAGATTGCTAGCAAAGCAGGGCAACTAGAGGTAATATACAGTATATAAGTATAGATTGAAATGAAGGAATGATGTTACTAACCTCAGTCTCAAGCAAATAATGTGAAAGAGAACTGAGGGAAAAAGTGATTCAATGAGCGGTAATTCCCATGTAGTTTAGGAGTGGGATAGTCCGAAATGAATACAAAAGAATGAATAAATAGATGTGGCTGGCCAGGCGAGTTCCTTGCTCGGCTGTGGGAATGTGGCTGTACGAAAACTCGCATGGCCGTGCTAGCACACTGTTTTCCAACATTCCCTATCCATCCCTTACAGCAGGGGAGAGTCAGGGGGAATGGAAGGTGAGGTTGTATTCAAAGGTGGGGATCAGAACAGACAGGAATAGGGGTAAGACTCCAGAGGTGGTGGAAAGGGTCTGGGAGTCAAATCAGGATTGGGTATGTACAGATATGACACTGTAAGGGATTAACCTTACTTCAATATAATTCCGATTATAGTGATATCATTATGTTGCATCGCTATAATTCCCATTATAGTGATGCCATTATTCCTTTATTTATTTGTGCCAAGATATGTAATTTACATATATATACCTCGGAGTAGTTGTAAAGGCCTGGTAGCCTTTTACCTCTACCCTGTTGAATATACAGCACATTAAAGCTTATGTTTAGACGGACCTACTGAGGCCTGAGGCAAATGGGGGAACAGAATGTTACCGTCCCCAAAATAGTAAGCAGAACCTTTCAGACACCAAAGACTTGCATCCAAAAAAGTATTTTACATTTTTCTCAATAACTTGCTTGCCAATTTAGTCTCAAATTATATATTCTGGAAGCTATTTGAAGGGGCTATCCAACTATGCAAAGTGTGTTGAGACCGTGAGAAACAGTGCTGACACCCCTTCAGACAGTGGCCAGCATTGTGCACAGACATTGAGGTGGACAGCCACACTAACCCAAAGACTCGTGTCCAAAAAAGTATTTTGCATTTTTCTCGATAATTTATTGGTCAATTCAGTCTCAAAATATATATTCTGGAAGCTATTTAAAGGGGCTATTCAACTACGTAAAGTGTGTTCAGACCGTGGGAGACAGTCTTGACTTCCCTCTAGACAGTGGTCAGCATGTGCACAGACCATGGGATGGACAAGTATGGCATTCTAGGACAATTTGCAACCATAAAGTACACAAATATGTAAAGTATGTAAAGTATGTAAAGTATGTAAGTATGCAAAGTATGCAAAGTATGCAAAGTATGCAAAGTATACAATAGCGAAGCATGCAAATGCACAAAGTGGAAATGTGTGAAGTATGAATTGACCCAAAAAGATCCATCAGTATTTTTTATCGGTAACTCATTCCATACTCATATTACCGTCGCGTATGAAGTCGAGAAATGTTGAATATGTGTGATTGCACAATCTCGTATGGAACTTGGAGAAAAATGAGATGAGATGGCCCTATTGATCGCCGGCCCCCATACGTGATGTCGTTGAGGTTGTGCATGCAGCCGAACTTTTGACCAAACAGCCGTGCTCACCCCAAGCTCCATCTGCCTGATTTGCGCCCTCATTATGTAGCCGTTGGATGACAAGCTCGAAACTCTTTCGTCTTGGATGGTCAGGCGAACGCGGATTCGTGCAGTTTGGCGAGTTCCACTCTAGGCCCAGGCTCGTACCCAGTCAGAGGACGCGCATTGCAGGACCGAGTGCTGTGGTATAACCTGGCAGATAAGCTACGTGTCAAATGATTAGGCGTTAAGAAAACACAGCCAAAGTGCGAATAGATGTCAAATGAGCACTGAAATCGATGTCGGGGACGTCAATCCCAATTCCGGACATGAGTGCGAGATGGGAGCCAATGAGGACCGCATCGGAACCGACCCAACTCGGGGTTAAGGTTAAAACCTTAAAGAGCGAGACTTGAGAGCGAGAAACGGTCGTCCGGCTGGACCCGCGCTATTACTAGTAGTATTAGATGTGGCATGCCTCCGCGACCCATCCTAAGCGCGTGCCATCTCGTGTCATTATTCTAGAAGCCCATCTGCCCTATGCCACCAATATCCCTTACTAGGGAATTAGTTTAGCCTTCGTGCCTCTTTGGCCCCTTGCATTCCGCGGTGTATGGGTGGCACCAAACCATCGGTTGCCACCGAGCCGCTTGCTAAAAGGGCTTAAATACAGTTGGAATGATACCTCACATCCCCTCGTAGAAACTCAGAACATGAACCCGAACCCTTACAACGTTCAATACAACATCTACATCGACAATTCTACTCATGTCATTCAAGGTGATCTCACACAACCGTATGCAACAATTCCATCCGCAGCATATTATTATGCTATTATCTTGCGCAACCGATGACGACTGGTCAGGAACTCCCGCTCGCTGCATCAACCTACACGCAGCTGCAGCGGGAACCCAGTTATTCTTTGCCCCAGCAGCAAATTGCTCCTGGCTCTGATGTTCCTACCGAGCCTCGCAGACGTGTGCAGGCCATAGGTCCCTTTTCTCAAGCCTATCCCGCCCTAAGCTCTCCCCCTACGATAGAGGAGGCTGAGGGTAGTGATGGTGAAGGGAACGCTCAGCACTGGCAACAAGGAGAGACTTTTCGTAACGGAGTAGCCACCTTCCCATCAAGCGCACCTGCCGCTAGGCTTGGACCAGTAAGCCCGCGCAGCAGCTCGCGCCCAATGCCCACTAATCGATCAAGGCTGCCGTCACTACGGCTACCATTTAGGCGGAGTAATTCCAGCCGGCATCATTAGTCAGGGCGGTTGATAAACCATGATCTACTACACATGGTTGACGCATCCTTTTATGGACCTGTCCATCCACCGGCTCGCGATAATTATGCTGTTATGAGTTCTGTTTGCCCCATGTAAATAAGAGTCTCCCAAAATTCAAGAACAGTGTTTTCCCTCCACCTAGATAATCCCCAAAAACTCGTTTGTCGAACCACAGGACTGCTTTTGAGAAGACGGCGCGTGTTCGCAGGAAGCTATTCATCTGTTACAGATAGATCGTGCCTACAAAACCCTCTGCTTATCAGAGCTGGCCCAAATCCGATATGCCAGCAGACGACAGATCCTTTCTTGCATTGGGCTGTTCCCACGCCACGGCACTCCAGGCTCAATTCTTCACGCGTCTCTTAGATGGCAACCTCCCGGCTCCAGTCGCTCATACTCAACGCCGCTCGTCCCGACGTTGGGACGAAAAAGAGGCCTATCCTCCTCTCTCGAGCATATTCGAATATAAGATTGCTATGCCGGCCCAGTCTTGCCCAGTGGCCAACGCTAAGCGCATGGCAACGTCCTTACTTTTTTCCCAGGGCCATCCGTCTCTCGCGTTTCAGCACGTCCGTGCGCTGCCTAAGACACCCTCTAGGAGTCTTACCTTCACCTTCTGAAGCTCACGCCCAGCCCGGGGAGTCTCGTCTGTCATTGACCTTCACCTGCACCGCCCCTCTATCGGTGCCCTCCCCAGGTGTGGAAAGTGGCATTCCGAGCACACCTCTGTGTAATCATCGAAGTACCCATACATTCACGAAAAATGCGTACCAGAAAGGCGTAGTCATCATTGAATGTCCATCATGTAAAAACAAGTCCGTTTCAAAAAGATTATCTCGTGTTCGGAATGATTAACAACTATGCAGACATTTGATTGCGGACAACTTAGGATGGTTTAAAAACGGGGACGGCTCGGAAGGCGGACGAAATGTGGAGGATTTCGTCAAACTGAAGGGTCAGACAGTGAGGAGAGGTACTTTGTTTCAGGGGATGAAGGGCGACTTTGAATACGTAGAGCCTGAATAGCCGTTTCATTCAGATGCCAGATACACATAGTTTGGCGCATTCAACCAGCAAGGCAAAACAAGCTGAATGTTGCCCACAGCCTCCGTCACTCCCTCGAGGCAGCCTCGATGCCCAACGTTTCCACAAAAACTCCCAGATGCACCACTGTTTGTATATCCTTCTTGTGGGGAGGTATTGCATTCCAGGATCATGATAGATGAACAAGCGGTGTTATACAATAAAGCCATTGCATCTAATGCTTATGTTTGCGATGACATCGTGCTTGAACTAGGAAGTTCAGGAAGCAGCCTCGCCTTTTCTAATAATTCTTCTAGTTCTCCAGACGTGTGCACTGACAAGACAACAAAGCGTGAGAATTCATGGCTAAGGGATCAAGATGTCAACGTACTCCCAATTAAGATATCGGCTCCGCCTATGAAGTCACCGTTAATGTATACCTGGGGAACAGTTGGCCACTCGCTACGCGGACATGATCATAAGTTAGATTTCCCGAATGCAGGAAGCCACACAAGCTCACGAGTATTCTTTGATCCCACTTCTCAATTCAGCATCTTCAAGGACGTTGTATGTAGCAAGTTTCTCGCGGGGAACACCTTGTACATCTAAGACTTGGATGACAGCTCTCGAAAAACCACACTGGGGCTGATCAGGTGTCCCCTTCATAAAAACTACCACGGGCGTTCCTCTAATAGCCTGTAGAGAGTCAGACAACGGCAACAGAGGCAGTTAGTCAACGACAGACGAAAGCAACTCGGATGGGCTGTGAGACACGCACCCCGTCAATTTTCTCACGGGCTTCAACAGTAAGCCATCGAATACCAGCACCGAACGATCGTGGTGTGTGTTGCAAAGGACGCGCAGTCGATGCTCTAAATGAGCCTGAACGGGCCTATATTACATTAACAGGACATCGTTACAATGACAGAACAATGAATACTGGCAAGTAGGACGCACTGTCATACGAAGAGCAGCAAGGAACGACATGTTGGGTGACGATGACCAAGGTTCCGGAGCTCAAAGCAGTTTCCACGGCCGTGGCAGTGCATGCTTGAAGATTACATAATGTGACAAGGTCACGGGTGGCAAGCATCACATACCCTGATGCCGTACATGCAGGCTGCCGGGCATGTTGAAGTTTCTTGGTTTGTAGGCTGTGAACTACTCCTGCGGATTGCGCACGGACATTTCGCTAACAGATTGCCTGATGCTTCCGTTTTTGGAGTCCATATTGATGGACGCAGTCGAGCTTATCAGCCACTTCACGCAATTTTCTCTCCTCAGTTCACATACTTAGAACTGAGGTGAGATTCTCTTTATCTTTTGGAACGTAGTCTTAGACGTTCGAACGTACTCCCCTAGTGCGCTAGTTCTTCTAATAGGGCGCAGGCACGGTGCAGAAACCTATTGAGGAGTTTATCATACATGTAGTCCATGAACTGTCCATATCCACCGTAGATGTAGCGTGAACTCAGTTTCGTTGCATGGAGCAGGCGCAGGAAATGTCTGTCAAATGGTTCCAAGTAACGGGAGAGAGGGATGAATGCTTGGCTAAGGTCGCGGGAACGAATGTGAAGTTTCGTCAATCCGCCATGAGGGCGGGTTCAGGGTTCAGTTGGAATGTTCAAATTATGTTGTGTCGTTCGTCCAATCGTCTAATTCATCAAGATCAAACCCATCACCACCTTCACTCCCGGGGAAGTCACCACCGAACGGGGCATTGAACGTCGATGTCTTCCGGAGAGGTGGCATATGAGGTGTTTGAACGTTCGAAGTCTCCAGAAACGACAAGCACCCCATTGAACAACCACGCCATAGAATGGGTACGCTGGGACCCATGTCGTTCGTCGAAATCTTCACTCCTGCAACGGTTTTAACCCATTCCAGTCGCTCTTCTGCGTGTCGAAGGTACACATTAGCCGTCGACCCAATGGGTTTTCTGGGAGCCACAAATGAGCGTAATGAAAACGTGGAAGAGAGGTCTAGGCTTTCTGTGAAAGAGATCGATGCGGAATTGAAGGGCCGTGTATGACTGGGATTAGGACAACAGTGTGGATAGTAAGAGGCTGCCTGGAGCAATAAGAGTTCGTCGGAGGTTTGCATCTCGTTGAACAAGTTATCATGATCGGCGTTGGGAGGTGACTGGTATCGAGAATTCGTGTCAATGGAAGCAAGTAATGCTCTGCGAATCGAAACTGGGATTGACCATTCATCGAGTTCGTATTCTTGCCATACAAGAAGCGGAGCAGTGCCGGTGGGCGCAAGACGCCGTGATGGGCTGAGGAGGACACGGAGGCAGAGCTCAGAGAGAGGAAGGACTCGGCTGGGAACATGGGGATAAACTCTAGTCAAAGGACCGAGCACTCTCTTGGAAACAGTTGGAGGATGCCTCGGTTGCAGCCACTTCACATTCAGGAGAGAACTGACGTCTCGGGTAATGGTGCCAGGAGGAGGTAAGAAAGGGTTGGGAGAGAGATTCAATCGGGCTAATTTTGGGAGGTGTGTAAGTTCAGCGGGTAAGTACTTCAACTTGTTATTGGCCAAATTGAGCTCGACAAGGGCATTTAGGTTGGCAATGGATGGAGGGAGATATTCGATACTGTTTGATCCTAGAGATAACAAGAGTTGTCAAGCGGAGGAAACATATAATTTATGAAACTCGTACGAAGACTAAGAACAGTCAGGTTCCAAAGTCCAAAGAGTTCACGGGGTAGAGCCTTAATCAAGTTGCCTCCCAAGTACAACTCAATTTCTGGAGTAGACGCGTTGTTAGGTGGAAGTGTATTGGACAGTTGAAATGTCGTAGTTGCATATCGGCCAAACTCCCTTTTTTGGGGCGCTACCGACCGCGCTGGCGCAGAGGCGACACGAGAGAATGGACGCCGCGACTGAAATGACGCGTCATGAGGTTTTTTGATAACTACAAGCTTGGCAAGATCTGAAATATTATGTGGGATACGCGTTAGGCCGCAGTTGCTGTGGGCTGCTCAGTGGGGTGAAGGTAAGAGTGGAGGAACAAGCTACCTTAAATCAACTCGCCCTTCCGAAGAGTCAATGGCACGCGACAACGCCGCCTCCCACATTTCGGTCTCTGAATTTGTATCCCTGAGGCCATAACTATGAAACGCTTGGGACGGAGTCTGAGGGCTTGACTCGACGTTTCCGCGTTTAGGTGCTTGTCGTGGTGTTGCATCGAGGGGGAAAATCGGGGAACCAGGTGGAGTTTTCAACGTCACCCTCTTCTCGTAAAGCTTTGGCCTCCGGGTACTCTTCGTAGAGGCAGAATGCGGGTGAAGGGTAGGAGGAGATTCTGGCCAATAAATAGTCTCATCATGATCCTCTGACGACTCACTCATTGATGAAAGCCATGCAGGCGATGAAGACGACGACGAGCTGTGTATGGGGGAACAAAACTCGAAAGGAGGTTCTAGAGGATCAGGGTTGGGGTCGGGGCGGTCCATGGGGGGGTTCGGGGCTTCACTTAGCTCATATAGCCACTCTATTTACGTCGAGGGCGTGAGGCCCAAAATAAACATTGAGTCACGGTCTGTTCTGTCCTTCTTCATACTCGGTCCGAACCGTGACGCCTGGAATCCCAACCTTGGGCTTCTACATGTGCGTTGTTGGGCATTCCAGGTGGTGAGGGACGTACCGTACCTGGATAGCTTGACTCCTGCCACCCAGGAGGTAAGATCGTATGTGAAGAAGAGGGTATCTTTTCTGGGAGTATGTGCTGGAGCATACTTCGGCTCACCTCGTGTTGGGTGGGAGAAGGGAACAGAGATTGAGGTGTAGGGAATCGCCCACTGCGATTTTTCCCGGGAACGCAATTGAGGGTCATTTTTCTCTTTCATCTCGGTTACACTCGTGAGCATGCTCAGGTCCCACTGAACGAACTCACCGTAGCACTTATATTGCCCAATTCTGCACAGGAATCAATACAGACGCAACCCCTCCTGTACAAGTTCGCCTTGTTGGTTTAACGTCAATTATGCGCTCCGGCGAGCTGTACCTGCCTCGCGCACAATGTGCCATTCGTAGATTTGCAACCTGATGGAAACAGCTTTGATATGTTGGGTGGACCGATACGGGCTAAAATTAACTACAGGAATATCTCTTAATGGAATAGTTTACAGCGGGGCTGCGTGTGATTAGCAAAGTCTATAGCAGTCCAACGCCACGGATGAAAGGATGATTCAGTGCTTCCTTCGGAGTTAGACGCTTCGAGGGATCGAGAGCGAGACATCTGTCTAACAGATCGACGAACGAGGAAAGAGATTTGGCTTCGTCGTCTGATACTCTCGATGGACTTGGCATGAGACGTGCTCGCAGATCTTTCTTTGGCTTGGTGAAGGCAATCTTGCGAACAACATCCTACGATAGCCTGTGTGAGTTTCACGTACGCAAAGTGCGGCACACATACCTTGCCAGTGATCTTGTCTGTCTCTATACTTATGAACAATCCACCGTCTTCGAAATGCACGTCACCAAACTTTGCTTTCTTTATGATTTTGCTGTTGAAACGACCCTTGAGCTCCATAATTAGGAGGAGCATTTGGTTATTTGTCCGGCCCGGGAAGAGGATCTTTCCTGTGTAAAGTTCGTAGAGAGTGCAACCTATCGACCACATGTCCAAGGCACAGTCGTAAGGGAGTCCAAGGACTGGTAACGTGTGTCGTGAGCTGTGAATATCGGTAGCATCAAGGATCTAACACATACTGATTTCGGGGGCGCGGTAAAATCTTGAAACGAGGTAAGGGGCGATCGCGTTTTCCGAAACATCGGCCGCCGATCCCAAGTCGCACAATTTGAGAACACTTTTTTGCTCATTTGCCTGGGTATGAAACGTTGGGCACGACACCACATCTACGTGATGGTTGACTCACCAGTATATTATCTGGTTTTATGTCCGCATGCATGATGTTGCACTTTTTCAACAGTGAAAGGGCCAAAAACAGTTGATATGCATATGCACGAACTGCGCCGATATTCAGCCCAACGTCTTTCCCGAACCTCTTCACGACTTCTCGTAAGTTCATACTGGGTAAAATGGGACAGATTTCAGTGGGGGAACACTGCCACATCGAGGGACAGACCTTAGTGATTCAAAAACAAGGCACAAATGCCCCCGATGCTCAAAGGTGCGCTCCAGCCGCACAATATGCTTTTTGTCCTCGGGATCTGCTTGAGCAAGTTTGTTCAAGATTTGAACTTCCTTCATCCCGGCCTTATACCTAAATGAGGAATGAGATTGCATCGTTCAATTACCGAGTCAGCCGGTGACCCACATTGATTCTTGACCACGGATTATTTTGATAGCGACTTCTTTCCCCAAATTTTCACCCTGGACAATTCGTGCCCGAACAACAGCTGAAAACATGCCTTTACCAACACTGCTAAAAACCTGATATCGCCCTCCGTCGAGAGCTTCGCCAAGAACAATCTGATAGTATCCCTCAGGGTCCGAAGCTGCATCTACATTTGCAAGCGCGAGAGGCTGGAGGGCAGCCAGCACAACAGCAGTGTTCTATGTCAACATTACAATCTCATCATGGGTCTTTGAACAATTCCCTTACCTGAGCTTTATTCGTCCTCCTTGGATTTGTCTCACCAAAAGCGAACATATCGAACTCATCCTCATCACCCTCATCCACTTCGACAGAAGTAGTAGGCTGGACCGCAGATTCCCTAGCACCATCTGCTAAAGCAGCGTCACGCCTAGCACGTCGTTCTTGATCCTCGCGATGATCCTTGGTAGGATCATAATCAGCAGCTGAGACCTGAAGTTCATTCAAAGCCCCATCCAAGGTTATGTCTGCTGGTGTGTTAAGAGACACAGAGGCCTGTCCACTTGTCAACTGTGACTGGTCTGCAGCCTTCGCCAGTGCAAACGACCTGGATTCGCTAAATGTTTCTGGGGTTGCTTGACCTTTTAACAAGTACGTCAGCCATTCGCCGCCGAGGATGTTCATGGCCACTGACCATCGCTCGCCGGCGCACTGTCCACATTACGAGTTGGTATACCTGCTGCTGGCTCAACGGAGTCACGCGTCACAGACTGTGCCGCTGATGGCTCGAGTTTAGTCAGCAACGCTGATTGCAAGCCGACCGTACCTGCGCCGCTGGGCTGGCCTTCTGGGGCTGGTGTTCGCGCTTCATATTTTGCCAGGATCGCCGCACGCTTCGCTCGACGAGCGGCCGCTGCATCTTCAATAGGGTGGGAGGCTTGGGTCTCGAGCTCCAAATCCAGTTCCCGTGCCACAGGCGGAGATGGCTCTTGCAGATTAATCCTAGGGGACAGTGGCGTGCCAGAATGAGCGTCTAGCGGTACATCCCTCATCGGATCTGGGGAGTCACTCTAGAAAAAAGCTCTAAGTTTGAGAATTAGCCCAAGGGAAAAAGCAGCTCACTCTCCCTCCTCTCTATCTTCATTCAATTCGCTATTTGGTTGTGCGTGAGGCAGCGGCGATGTCAGAGAACGATCTTTGCCAGCGTCATATCTGCTTGGAGTTGGGGTGTTGTGCTTCGAGTGTGGGCGGTGGCTATCACGGTAAGAATAATAGGCGTAATTCCTATTAGAATAAAGATCGCCTTCCCGATGGTTTCCCAATCCTACAAAGACGAGAGTAAGTCAGATGTGCATCTGAGCGTCAACAGCCCTCACCCCTCCGCCCATCACGATGTCTGTCCGGATCGTACCCCTTAGGACGAGGAGTGCCCCGTATGTCACCCTCGCGATCTTCGGGTCCATCCTTCCGCTTTGACGGTGCTAGAAAAGCATCCCTCCAATCTTTTGGTTTGGCATCGTTCTCTCTACGAGAACCTGCTGACATTTGAGTAGATGGGGATAAAGTTGTTAGCTATTACACTCTATTAATGATGGTGATGAACACCGCACGAGTGAACAGAAGGGACTTCGAGACGACGGAAGGGAATTTGGCAAGCGTTCAATGCGCGAACGATTGATCACGTGACACGAAGTTGTCACGTCGGGGTTTCCGAGCGAAGTTATGACCGCACCGCCACCTATGACAGATTGACATGGCGAAGCAAAGGCTATCAAGATGCGCTCCAAAAGACGGACCAGAGAGCCCCACCAGAGATACTGGGGAATAGACAAGAACCTCATCCACCTTGTATCAATCTTAGTCCTAGGCATTGCTATCTTGATTGGACTCCGTTACATGAACAACAGCAAGCTTCCAGCCACGCCAAAAGCACCGCCACCTCGCCAACCCACAAAACTTTCCAAGAAACTATGGGAGGTCTTCGGGTAAATATAGCGCTGCAATATCGTATGGACTGGCGCCACTCACGCATTTAGGAGTAGTTCTCCGCGTGGAAAAGGTCTCAAGGCTACCCAGTACGATTTTTCGCGTTTACGGGTTCTCTGTGCCTGACCGAGTGCAATGCTCAATTTTCAGGAATATTCTTGCCGGACAAATGATATTGCTCGAGAAACCTATCATTAAGCTCCCTTCAGAACCAGACCGCAGTGCGCAAGCTCAGCTCCTTTTTGAGAAACTGAGCAGTCTATCAGATGCAGATCGGGCGGAGTATTTTAGTCTTTGGAATACTGTTACTGGCTTTCCAGAAGACATTTCTCAGGAACAACGGCTCAGGGGACTTGCGTTGAATATATTCGAGTCCAACGCCATCCGGGGCTCAGATCGATCAGCAGCGGTGTACAAAAATGCGGCAAGGATCAATCGTACGTCGAACCCTCTGTGCCCGCATCTTTCTGACACCATTCTATGTACTGTAGACTCCTGCCGTCCCAACGCCGTGTATCACTATCGCTCCGTGGGGTGTCAAACTTTTAAGTAGAAAGCAGATTTCCTGATAACTATTTATATTTTCTCCAGGATCTCGGTGTTCTTACAATTCAAGCTGTGGAGGATATTCCGACTGGGGAAGAAATCCTTGCCCCATACTTCGACGCCAGTGTTCGCACACGAGAAGACCGTCAGAAATACCTCAGAGAAGCCTATAGCTTCGACTGCCAATGCGAAATCTGCTCAGGAAATGAAGCTAAGGTAGATGAAAGCGACCGCCGCAGAGCGCGGCTTTCCAACCTTACAAGTGTTTTGGTTTCCTGGAGTGACGAGAAAGCTGAGCCCGAAGATGCTATTGCTGCCATTGAAGAAGCGCTAAGACTTCTACAAGAGGAGAATTATCACGCTTCGTAAGTGTGTAAGACCAACTACATCCTCTTCGAGGTGTCGACGAGATTGTTCCAGCGTCGGAGTCTGGATGGCCAATGCTGCAACCATCAGCGCTGCTCATCAGGATCAAGACGGTGTGAAACACTGGGCCCGGAGGGCTGCTCTCCAGTGAGCTGCGCCTTTGCGTATGTCCATCTGAATTGACGAATATCCAGGTACATCATTGAAACTGGGAGAGACAGTCCAGAAGTGGCAGCAATGGCCACGATTCTGAAGGAACCTAACCGTACGATGTCTTGGGGGCAACGCGACGCACGGAAGTTAAACATTGCCGAACCGATGAGTCCCATATAGAAATTAGGTGTATTCGATCCTTCAGAGTATCAATACGTGGGTCTGTATGGTTAGAAGAATTAAGGGTCCATGTGCTTGAGATCAGCCATTCCCGATCATTGATGGTGGACCTTCTCGTAAAATAGTATATACGCTTTCGACTTGAACACCTCTTCCACTGTTGCTGGCCTGACAAGGGTATCACTGATATAGCACCATTGTCGGCTTGATCCCAATTTCTCCGAAGTGGGGGTTGCTTCGACATTGCCGAGCTGGGCGATTCCAAGTCGTCCCCATTATTATCTGTGGGGGCCAACGTAGTTGGCCTTGGAGACAACGCTGTGTAAGCGATGTAGTGTCCCCCGAGCTATGCCACTACAGTTTAGTCCATACTATGCCTACCCGTCACCCGATTACTCACCATACTTCCTATATGCACAACAACAGCATACAAACGATACCAAGTCGGGGGCTCTTCCTCCTCGTCTCTGCTGGAGAACAAGCGATGTTGCTTCTTATATTGTGCAGATCCTTCGCGTGGTGTCCTCCCGCGTTGGTCTAATCCATATCGCTCTTTTCTTGGTGCACGAAAGGGACGGAGGTCAAGATACTCCGGAAAAGATATGAAATCATCGATTTTCTTGGCACTTCCGGCGAACAATGACTTGGATGTTTGCTGGAACCGTTTGAGATGAATAACCAGAACTGGCGGTGGAGTGCTGATCAGGTAGCGTTTAAATGCTCGTCTAAGAACTATTTGCTCGGAGCGCTTTGGAATCTTCACTGATCGAGTTGGCTGTGCAACATTCGGAACCGTACGCTGCGGGACTGCACCCGCTCCTCTTGTTGCTGACGACAGCGAAGCACCGTCAGATTCAGAAGGGTGAACCGAGGTTGTCTCCGCTTCATCCACGACACTCTCGTCTGACACGGTTCCATCTGATCTGATCTTTAACGTTAGCGGAGTAATGGGGCGCTGAATTTCGGGTGCGGACGCGAGCGACTCCCTCGAGACATGAGGAGAAAGCAGCTTCTCCGCGTGAAAAGAGGAGAATCGACGGAACCTTGGGACGGAGGCCTCGCCGGGTGGCATGTCTGATGGTGGTGTGTTAGATACGGAGGGGACGCTCAGGCTAGCGGTATTGGGAAAGGGGATGGAATTCCTCGTGGAGGTTAGACTTATTCCATTCGCCACAGCATCGTTCGAATGCAAATCGTCCATGGAAGGGCATGATCGAATGATGATGGGCTCGGGCCTTGGTGGAGGCTCAGAAACAACTGAAGACGAAATGACTTCAATTTCTTCCTCCGATATGGCCCCTGGTCTAGATAGTCTTGCCTGAGCTGATGACGGCCGCGGGAAGTCCGCACCCGGAACCGCGAGGCTTGGTGACGGAAGTGGTCGCCGACGACTCTGAGACAGCTCGTCATCGGATGAAGCAGACGAAGAGGAAGAACTTTCGGAACCGGAGTGGTGTCTCCTTCGGCGTTTTGCGAGAAGGGGGTTCTCAGTTTTCCAGCAATTATGGCAAGCAAATAGGTTTTCACCATCAAGTATCTCCACAGCAGTAAACATGCGAAGACAGTCGAGCAACCCAGAACCATTGCCGAATTTCGCCGAAGAATCCCCCGAGGCAGGAGATACGCGTGTAGCCGATGAACTGGGTGAAGCTGACCTGAGAAGAGCCAGTGGATTGGAAGCGTGAATAGGTTCGTCTCGAAGCAGTGCCCGGAGGTAGGCTGCCTCCCCTGGGGTCTGTTTTCGAGGTCTCTTGACTTGGGTTGAACTACGCTCGACAGATGTAGGTCTAGATGTCGAGCGGGAGGGATAACCGTGGGCCAATCTTTCTCTGCTCTTTCGTATCTTGACTGATAGGCTGCGCCCAAGCCTTGAAGCCCCTTCCATATCGGCTTCGGACCGTTTGTCAGAATTTGCTTTACCGTTTGGGACTCTATCGTCGGCAGAGGGGGAAATAGTTGTTGGTTTGGGGATTTGAAAAGTGGATGATGATGAGAACATTTGAGCAAACAATTTCAGTCGACTCTTCTGTGAAGATGAAGATGAATGTGAGCCTCGGAACACGGTCAATGTGATTGGCTAACCTTGCGTTCTTCTTCTGTTTTGATAGGGATAGAAAGGTCCATAAAGTCTTCATATGTGTGAGAAATCTGTTGGTTTGAATAATCAACGTGGGGTATTCACTGAAGCTGTCCAGTTGAACTCACATGCTTGCAGGTATTGCATACAATGACACTTGAATGTAAAAATAAATTAACTAATGACAATTAGCTTTGCACGAGAAACCTGCCTTGCCAATTGACCTCCAAAAATACTGGAAGGGAACGGGGCGAGTTTCGGAACATCCAGAATGGGGTCAAGCGAGCCAAGACCAGGTGCACTCCTAGATGGTGGTCTGGAGTGCTCAGACGCTCTGCTCACCCCGCGCGTCTTCTTTCGTTCCAGAGGTGGTTGGCGCTTTTTGATTATCTACCGCCGTGTCAATCATATTTGCGTTTCGGAACTGGGATATGAGACTCGACGCTAACTTACGTCCATTTCTTCCATGTACATAGCATCGAGAAGATGGCGCAACAATTCATGGGCGTCCTGCTGCCGAAACTGCTCGAATGCGCACTAAGATGTACAGCTCACGATCCAAAGCAGTGAGATGACAAACATCGAGATACTGGTCAAATTTGGAACCAAGGAGCCGTATGAGATCCCTAAGGACTTCATTAGTGTCGAGGTGATGCACTCGCGAACTCTGGTACCTAGGATTCAGATAAGCGCCGTCATCAGCACCGCGAGCTTGATACGCAATCTCCATAAATTGCAAGAACAGATCGGATATTTGCATTCCGCTTTCCCATTTCACTTCCGCTGGACCAGCTATAGGCCGCCCATTGGTGAGTGCTGGACTTAGAGACGGATCCATGGAATCGTTTCGAAAGCATATAAAGTCCTCTAGTAATGGAGTGGCAACCAACTAGAGCACATGGAAATTGAGCATATAAACCGTATGTTGAGCCATGGCGTACTTGCCGCCTGCAGCACACTGTTGCAGAAGCAATCATTGGCAGCATTGATGATACCGGGTGGTAATCGACCGCCGTCAGCAAAACCAGCATCGCGCCTAAAGGCCCTTTTTCCATTATAATCCTTCCTAGAACCCCATTGGATGGACGCTGGTCGATGAACCATCGTCGAAGGATCCCAAATGAGCAACGGAGGAGATAACGGCAATTGCCCAGATGTCAATTTCGGCCGGATGCAAGATCGAGTCAAGCCCATTTCTTCAGATATTTTTTCCCGCTATGCCAGTCTTGGGACTTGCACAGGGGGGGACGGCTGGCTACCCTCCTCATTTTGATATCGGAAAGGTCATCAGGCCCAATATTCTCGCACTCCAACCTTATCGATGTGCAAGGGACGATTATCAAACCGGTGTGCTCTTGGATGCTAATGAGAATGCTTTGGGCCATTCAATACCTTCAGGTGATGATGAGCTCCAAATATTACTTCAGGAGAATCTCCATCGGTATCCCGATCCTAGCCATGACCAAGTCAAGCTTCGGATTGCCCAGCTGCGTGGTATTCCTGGCCCAGAATATGTTTTTCTTGGAGTTGGATCGGACGAGGTTATTGACCTGCTTATGCGCGTGTGTTGCACACCGCAACGTGATTCTATCCTCACTACGCCTCCGACGTACGGAATGTATGCTGTGACTGCCCAAGTCAATGATGCCCAGATTATAAAAGTCCCTTTGGACATTCAAGGTGGAAAATTTCAGCCTCGGGTGGATCAGGTAAGTTCCACTTAGGTGCCTTCAGAGAACGGCTGAACGATCGTGTAAAGATTTGTGAAGTCACTCAGTCAAATAGCACCGTCAAACTCATATTCCTGTGTTCCCCGGGAAACCCAACTGGGACCCTTATCCCACTTTCTACTATCATTGCTATTCTGGAGGAACCATCATTCAAGGGTATCGTTGTAGTGGATGAAGCATATATTGATTTCTCGGCTGAAGGCTCAAGCGCTGTTTCACTCGTTCGGAAATATGGTAATGTATGTGTCATGCAGACATTAAGCAAAAGCTTCGCCCTTGCCTCGATACGGTAAATAAGTTGTCAACGCCAACTGATACACCCACTGATTGCACATTGGGATTCAAAGCCTCGGAGTGGCCATAGCGCAACCCCCACTTATTCGCGTTTTGTCGAACACGAAGGCACCGTACAACGTTTCTGGCCCGACAGCCTCACTGGCACTCAGAGCGCTGTCTACCGAGGGCCTAGAAGGCATGCAGAACAAAGTCAAGGCACTGGTTTCGTATCGAACAGCATTAATATCCGCGTTCAGGGATCTTAAGCCTCTAGGGGTGGCCTCAGTCATAGGCGGAAATAACGCAAATTTCCTCTTGCTTCCCATCCTGAGTCAGCCGGAGAGTGAAGGCGGTATACCCGATAATCAGAGGGCCAAGACCATATATCACAAGCTCGCAGAGGAATGCGGTGTCGTGGTTCGATACCGAGGAGGGGAATTGGGCTGTACAGGTTGCCTAAGGGTAACGGTAGGCACAGAAGACGAGAACAAGATTCTCTTGCAAAAACTGCGAGAAACCCTGATCGAGACCTTATGCAAACCATAATGCCAGCCAGGTATCAACAAATAGATTTGCTATGATGGTATGATCTATTGCATCAGGAATAGCTAGGGACGATTAGACCAGCCAACTCGCACTCCACCTCGTATTCGGGCTACCAAGTTTTTGTAATGGACAGCGGCGGTTCGCCTCGTCCGGGTAAACACAATAAAGAGACCGACCACAGAAAAGGCGAGGTTACAAAGCTAGTGAGAGAATATCAGGAATGAATAGTGAAAATATTAGTCTGCGCACTACAAACTCCCAATAATCAGCACTTTCGACCGATACTATTTTACCGCACGGTTCCCAAGCCGCCAACTGTCCTTCTTGGGAGCTGTATGTGAAGTTATCATGGCCTAACGACTCATAGAGTGACATGGTAATGCAATGAATAGGGCGACGGTTCCCTGTAGCCCCGCATGCAGAATCTGTGAGCTAATGCAGGGTGGGATCAGGAGCAATCTTACTGCCGATGAGGAGCACGGACTCACAGCATTAGAGGGACATGCTTCACAATCACCCCCAGGCTTACATATATACTGGTCCTGTCTAACAGAGCCCCTTGCGCTCATTGGTATGAAGCGGGGATCAAGCTCTACTTTAGCAGAGGCTGGGATCCTGCTACCCACTGCAGCGATCTAAGATTGCCTGAAACAGCACAAGGGGGATATGGTACACCGTCGAGCAGCGAGCGAGTACACAACTGGCTCACCCCAAGTCAAGCTTGTGTTGTAATTATTCAAGTGGGATCACATGGTCACGGCGTCATCCGGCTTCGATCCTCCAGAGAACCAATCATGGCTCAACCTCGTCGCGCAGTTATTGAAGAACTTGGTGACACTTTTGATGACGACTTTGACCTACCGTTACCACCGCGCCCCATCCCACGGCAGGGTTTAGCATCAAGCGGTTCGGCATTACCTAGCATTGGCGGCACCCCAGCAACATCTAGGGTGAATCCTACAGACCCTGGCGTCAAGGAGGTGAATGATACCACCCCTTATAAAACGTGCGTAGTGGAGAGCCTTCCCATGTTTGGCTAACTCACTCATGCCTGTTGATTCTTTCGTAGGTGGACTTGCGTTTACCCTATCTATATTGACGCGAAGCAGCCGTACGGGACGGGGCGTAGAAGGGTGGCTAGAGAGAAGAGCTGTTGGTGGCCTCATAGCCAGCTCATTGCTGACGCCGCGAGGAGTTTGCGGTTACCTGTGTTTCATGAGGTGCATCTCAACGCCAAGAAACATTATGCACTGTCCTGATTGTAGCCCTGCAGCCCACGAAGTGTCATCCAAGGGACTGGGCGAACCCCGGGAGAGTGAAGGTTCTATTCAAAGATGATGGACGTTTTTCCAATGCGCAGATAACGACAAGTTGATTCAACCAAGCCTTCGTTCCTGGTCCCACTTGCTCATACTTGTTTCCAGAGAAACAATTGTTAGAGGCGATAAGTGTAAGGATACAGCAGCAGCAAAGGTCACAAATGCCTCTTTCGGAATCAATCAAGCCGTCATCGCAAACACCTGTCCTGTCGAACAGTGTGTCTGGTTCCAAGCCATCCAAAGGATCCAAGAATGCACCAGCACCACCGCCACGGAAGTCACGCCCTAAGGCTCCAAAGCCGCCAGAGCCACTGCCTCCGATAGAGGACCGCTATGGCGGCTATTCTCCTCTTATCGAGTCTGGCGTGCTAGTCAATACAGTTAAGGTGGCTCTGAAGCAGCGGAAAGACGACGAGAAGAAAGCAGTTGAACCCTCGCCTGGCGGCGGCCCCTCTGGTAAAGGGAAGCGGAAGGTAATTCGTGTCCGGGCCTGACAAATCACGAGTATCTGTTGCAATGTCGCCAATGTACTTTAGTCCATGAATGCAATCATCATGGTTCCAATTCTACAGCATAATGGGATAATTTGTCATTCGATTGACCTGGAAGGAGAAAAGGGACATGCGAAAATTATGAACGAGTGCAGTTGATGATACAAAAATGAAAGAAAACTGATCAGGGAGTGGATATCTCGAAGATTCTTGTAATTAGCATCGAAATTAGGGGAACGAATAAGGAAACGTCCTGGATGCATTTGTAAGATAATGAAGCCGGGAAATTAAGAAACGAATTCGTAAGGTGAGAATGGTCAGTCGTCCCAGTCTGGGTCCTCACGAGATCCGAGTTGATCTAAGTATGCACGTTCGCCACCGAACCATGGGGTAATCCCTCTCTTCGAGCTGCCTTGCCTTCCGTTCATCGGCGGGCGCGACGAACTCCATTCTGGGCAGTCGAGCCACGAATCACCCTGGACTATAGAGGTTTCGCCTATATGTGGACTCCTATGATAATTAGAGGCGCCTTTGCTAAGACGGTGCTCGAGGTGCGCACGGAGGGACTGGATGGAATGCTGGCGACGGGGCGAGAGGGGAGGATTATGGGAAGGGGGCAGAAGTCCTGATCCTTCTTGGCTCGTGCTCATGTGCGTGCTCTCGTTTGTGGATGGGCTTGACCGGGAGGATAAGGAACGGTGAATCCGTGTACTTAAAATCTTGTCAAGTACGTTTCCAGCGCCTTCGGTCTCGTCATCATCCGTGTCAGACTCAACTGGGTGCACTAAGTCAGTGCGGGATGACAACAGGGCATCTCGAGACTTCCGATAACTTATCCACTGGTTCAGATTCGAGTCGATGATCTCGGGTGAAAGGAGAGGGGGCAAGGGGGGAACGTTTTCATGCTTCGACGAGTTCCGAACTTGAGAGGTAGAACGTGAGTTTGGTGTTGAGCGACACAGAACATCGCGGGAGTTCAGAACGGGGGAAAGCGGAGTGACCGTGGACAGGAATGAACTCTTCCCCGACAGCCTAAATTTTGAGGGATGAGAACCCCTGTGTTCCCTGTGCTGCATATAGGCTGGTGGACGTTTCAAACTAGAGCGGTTGGGATCATTGATTACCCTTCGGCCCCTTGGTGTGGGGGGTTCGGGGAGGGCGTCAGAATCAAAAGGAGCTGTCTCTCGAAATTGGCGTGGACTTTTCAAATTGGGGGAGGAGTTCGCATTACGGAGCTGACGCTGAAGTCTCTCAGAAATCCAAGTGTTTTGTACTTGCGCCAAGGTTCGTCCATTTACATTGACACTGGTCTGACGCTGATTGGACATAATGAAGTCAGACGGCAATCTGGAACGAGATTTTGAAGTTTGCGGGCGTATCCTGCCCTGCCTCTCAGAAGGACTGCTACTGCGCTGGGATTGGAGACGCGACTTGGTCTTGTGAGCAAGAGGGGACTGAGGAATAGCTTCTAAACCAGGGGTCTCGGCTGCACAATGAGAGCCACGCGACCCCCTACCGCTCCTCCGTGCAAGTTGAGCCCCCTGTGCGCGACCTAGGCTTACACTAGCCCCTGGCATCCACGACGAAAGGAAGTTGGTGACTAAATGACCCAACCTCTTTGGGCCACCTAAAGTTGACTCGGGTTCGAGGTCTGACGCTTCCCTAGCTTCTGCTATCCCATCACGGACGCGATCATTTTCCGGGGTGAAAATACGAGTCTCCTTGTAGCCAGCAGCAGTGAGCAAATCCTCGAGTGATTCGTATTGCTTCGATGATCCGCGTGAACGATTAGGTATGGATGCCGTCGCTACAACTCGCGACAGAGTGACGGGATATCTCCTCTTCACCGGCGTGGAAGGGTCATCGGCATCATGATCCATTATTGCCAAAGATTTTGACGAGACTTGAAGGAGCTTCTGCACTGCATCACAAATATGACAACCAAACATTATACACTTGCTAACAACTCACATGATTTTTCGAGTTGGGAGAACGGGTGGCGTTGTTCCCCCACTGCTCTTTGCAGGCTCTACACACCAGTGGGTTGAGTGATGGGGTGATATCGGCACTTGGGCATGGACGGAACCGCCCTGTCAACGGCAAGTTCCGGGGCGTGACCAACATCACACTGTCCATGGCCAGTCTCGATCTTCCGCAGAAGGGAGGGGGAGCAGTTTACTCAACACCGGCTGCACGACGCCACCACAATGCTTCTGCATTCCCGGATCTCCGCTTCGAGCAGTCATACCTCAAGTCTATATCACCGTTCATTTCCTCAACGTCCACATCCTCCAACGAGGACAAAAGTACTCAGGAGAAGCATTTGGGGGGCACAAGATCTTCTCAGGCAGATCCAGTACACCAGCCTTTGAATGAAGTAGTGATTGAGCAGTCATTGTACGGGGTACCCATATCTGTAAAATGGAGACGAGTTCTCTGGATGACTACTAGGGATCAGGTGTGCACTCAAAGTTTAGTGCAAAGGCTTCTGACCAAACCCACTCAGATCTTCAGTCCGTTCATTCAAGGTGCACTTTGGTAAGTTGTTGCAGCTTGATTTCGAGGGTCTCTGTGGCGCATCGAATATCACTGTGGTAAGTTAAAGCTAATCCACAACTTCAATTCGGTGAATGGGCAGGGGCGTTGCAAGCATTATGGTTCTTCCGGTGGCTGCGCGGGTGGGCGCATACTTTCGTTCGCAAGTCGTCGCTTTGCTGGGCCTTGGTCGGTTCTCTGTACCACGGCGCCAGTCGGTTGACGAACCGGGCATCCTACGACGCTGGGTCCGCAATTTTTACACTAATGTAGAACCTCATATGCCACCCCCAAGGTAGAATAGGGCGCTGGTCTGTCACCCTTCCAGTCCGGGGTTCGGTAATTGGTCATCCTGTCACTTTTTACAGTCACATAATTTCCATTGGGCACGCGGCGTACCAAGGGAAGCATGCGAAGGTCTGGTTTCTACGCTGTCTGATAGGGGGGTTACGGGATGAGCTGTTACCTTTGAGGCGATTCGTGTGTCCAGTGCAGAAATGCTCACCTGCAGAGGCGCCCAGTCATTTACCCACATGTATCGCGAGAATGCCAAGTAGAGCCATCGGAACCATACAAGTTGGGTGTCGTGTTTCCTCATGGCGCGTAAAGTGGTTAAGTAGCCGGCCAGGTTTGAAACTCGAGTTCTTGCTAGAACACAAGTATCTTTTCCCCAGCCAACAACGTGGGAAAGGCGGATCAAAAGAGGGGCTGCGATTCCGGAATACTTGATTGGCAATGGGTGGGTCACAAGGGAGTAAGCTTTAATTCCAGGGTAAACACCAGAATTGATGACAAGAGCCAGAGCCTTGGGAATTGCGGCATGATTTGGGTGTCCAGACACCCCTTGTTCATCAAATGTGAAAATCTGGATCAAACGCGCCGAGATGCATGGGAATGTCACAATACGATCTGACCCATACGCTTACCGTACTGATCTTGTGATGCTCTAAGTGATGCTGAATTATACCAGCCAGAAGTTTACTGTCCCACTGTAGGGTTATATTGTCGCGTATCTGCCTGATTCAGTGGTTTTGGTGCTGCCCTAGATATGAAGAGTGATAGCTTACTGGTGGGCCAGAATCCGGACGTTTTCAACACCCAGAATTGAATACGCTTCGTATAATTCACGCTCCCGCATAGATCCTAGGCCACCAGAATCACCTGTCGCGTGGGTGAGATAGCTTGCCCTCGGGCCGAGGAAATGTGAGCCACACCATTCGAAAGACACAGAGCTTCCACCGAGACGTTTTGAGATACGAGCGACAAGATAGTTGGTGCAAAGAACATGGTTTCATCGTCAGGATGTGCCGTTATAAATAACGCATTCCCAAGAGTAGATTCACGGTATATTGCGCAAGTGCTCGTTTCCAGGGAAGGGATAAGAGCGGAAATTAAAGCAATGGCCGTGAAAGTCACTAATTGCAGCCATCCCGCCATCGCGCGCCAAAGACGAAGTGACTGAATAGAAATTGTGGGTCGGAAGCAAACGCGGGCCGGGCGCTTAAAACGTTGGACAACAGGGCAATTATCGTGAAGGACATTTCGCAAAAAAAAAAAAAACGCAAATGATGCCTCAATGATCCCGCACCCTCTGTTTGGCCCATACCCTGCAACCATGCACGATCAGTGAAAAGTTGCCGATCTTTAGATGGTGATGAAAACCAAGTTGTAGGTCGCGAATGCCACCATAGCAATACTTAATTAGCTGCCTGTTCCCAGATGGCATTCTGTTCTCAAGGGACGAAGCTGCTGTCATGCAAGTTCATGTGAGTCAGTAAGGGGTCGAAGGTGGCTTCGAAGGTGGCTTTCCATCTAGTTTCCCAGTGCCTCTGCAGGCATTCCCCAAAAGCTGATGTCTATCGAGCTAGCACCCCAAGTATGGTGGGAAATATATATGTTTGTGGCTCGGAAGCAAAATAAATCACAGCACTCACGGAGCCGAAGTACTGAACAAATCCCAACATTCTTACTTAAAGCTTCTCATTGAAGAATTTTCACGCTATGTCCTTGCGCATGGATGAGGATCGTCCTGACGAGGAACAGTCAGCCCAGGTTCAGGATGACACATTCTAGTGCGTGAACACGAGCTTGGTGCCTGGCCGTCAAATTTGTAACTGATCTCGCGAACCTGCACTATCCTCAGTGCGTTATTGAATGTCCCTCGTGATGCATCTACAGATCTTATTAAAGAAAAGTACAGACAATTGGCAAGTAAGGATGAAATCCAAACGGACCATTTCCACCCTTACCTTCTTTCGCGCTGACCGATGAATGGGTCTAGTTTTGCTGCATCCAGATAAGCAACATGATGAGCACCGTCGCGCGACTGCTAACGACCGCTTTCAACGCCTGAAGAGAGCGTATGAAGGTGAGTAGCGGCAGGCTTGCCCATATTTCTTCTGATGAGTACCGTCTGTCTCCATCAGTTCTTTCTGACCCCCACCTGCGAGCTGTATACGACGCATTAGGTGAAGAAGGGATCAGATATGCAGGGGAGATTAGCCGGAAATATAAAAGTGCAGAGGAGGTTCGTACCTATTGAGTTCTGGATTGCGTCCTTTCGAACAGCCAGAATTAACAGTTCTTACTCTTATTACCATAGATCATAGCAGGAATTGAGCGTCTTGCCCGTAAGAGCGGGGTTCGGGACACCCCCACAACTTCTGATACCGTCGTAATCGGGGTGGATGCCCGGACACTCACTGTTCCAACAAGCCATATTGTTCCTGGTGCACGCACCCCAACCTTTTTAGATAGGCTACATGGCATCGAGGTGTCGAACTTTAGCGTTAGACATGCCCTTCACGTGAGCGACATGAGTTTTCCTCGTCTTCTATCTTAAATTTCACCTCGTTCTAGGCTTCAGTAGCCCCTTCAACCAAGTTGTCTCTGGCTGCAAGAACCGCCAGTCGAGCGACACAAGGCTCTTTCATCGGAACGGTGCGACACCAATTTTCACCACGATTGGCGGTCGAGGTAAGCTATTCCCCGGCCCTTTACGATCTGTTTCATTCGGTTCCCTAACATGATTAATTTTCAAATTGCAACGTCGAAGTCAAGCATCGCGTGTTTGCATCCCCTCTTTATGAGCATAAGGGCGAGCTATGATGTAGATCCTCATACGTGAGCAAATAATGGTTCCCAGTTGAGGGCTTTTTAGCCCGATTTACCGCTGATCCGCGTTGGAACGCCTGTTTGTTCAATGCGCACTGACCGTTTTTTCATCGTCTGGAATCCCACAATGTCACGGCATCCTAATTCTTTTCTGTTTAGTGAGCTCCGGCTCTTCACCCGATTTAACTCCGGTCGATCGATTCTGTTTCCTGCGTTTTCGGTGGTTGTGTCAAGGGTGCTTTATCCCAAAGCAATTGGGACCGTCACCTTCAATAGTGGCTGGCCACCATTATTAATCAGCAATTTCACCAATAACCCACCTAATATCACTACCAACTCTTCCCCAAGCTCCTTCGAAATTGAAATTAAATCCAACCCCTGGACTGTAAGCACCGTTCTCAGCGGAGATGGCAACAACGGCAGCATTGCGATACAAGGTGCCTACACATACAAAGTAACCAGCTCTACGGATGTCAGCATAAGTGCCGTCCTTACCATTCCGAGCGGTATTGCCTTCGTGTTGACAGGCGTTCAACGATTTGGATCACAATCGAAGGGAGCTCCCCCAACCATCCTGAACGTCAATGTACTGTTAAGCATGGCAGGCATCGAACTACGCATTCGGTGCGTAAGTCCTTCTGCAATGCGATTCTTTGCTGGGCTGCGCCTTCGCTCAATTCACCGGCTTTCCTCGTCCCGACGATGACTTGAAACTCACGCACGTTTAATTTGCCATGTCACCGACCCGCTACTCCTTTGTGTTTCTATGTCTAGAATTGCTCGGGAAAGCCAGGTTTTCTCCATTCCTATCAAGCTTTCAGATGACCTTAGCTTCACATTGGCATTGTGGACGACCCTGATACCGGCGCTGGGTACCGCTGCCCTGGAATACTTTGTGTTGCATCCCATTCGAATGAAAGAAAGGTGTGTCTATGGCATGGATCTTCCACTTTCTTTTCCCTCCGACTTCTTCGTAACATGGCAACAAACGGCTGTGGTCTTTCTACGTACATGAGTTTTGATTCTTTTGGGACTGAGCTATTGCGTGAGCATGATGGAATCTGCCTTCGCTGACTACAACGCCCAGCCGCGCTGCACAGGCTCGAGCCAGGAATCAAGATGCGCTCATGCGGCAAAGATTAGAAGCCGAGCAAGAGGTTGAGCTTCTAAGAGAACAGATTACGAAGCGGGTGGAAGCGGAGCAAAAAATTAGTAAGTGAAAGCAAACCCGCCCGGGGTACCTATACAGGTTACCTCTCCCACCTTGCGTGCATCCCGTCTCTGCAAAACCACTTTGGTTCATTCCTCCCCTTATAACGCAAGGCCTTTTTTCGTGCAGGAAGAATTGTCACTCACACCCTACTTTCTTTTTCCTCGTAATATCTTATCCTCACATTTTTTACTTCCCTGACCGGTAAGACGGCTTGATCATCCTGAACGCGAGGTACGGGTCGTCTCGTGTCTTGAAAGCCCATGCAGGGTCGGGGAGTGCCGAAGCGACCAACATCGTGGACGTGACTATCGCATGTCAAGCGCTCGTGCACAATAGCCAATTGTCGATTCCAGGAGGAAGATCCAAGGTGAGATGCGGTTTTTTTGCACAACACCGTCCAATTCCTTCCATTCATGATAGGCGGGCGGCTAGCTTTTTTTGGCTTGTTCCCCGCGGATCCATCCGTCGCCATTGCGTAATGGTGGAATGGATAGAATGGCGTATTGGTATTCACTCTCCCTCTTTCAATTCGAGCCCTTTTTGAGTCCGCTTATTGATGATCCCTATCACACGGCGATGTGTCCCCTTCATTCGTCCGTTCTGGGCTGTTGGGCCTTTTTCAGGCGCTCCTCGTTGGATTTTACGATCCATGCTACGGGGAACCAAAGGCCTTACACATTCGATACTCTTTCAAGGGCAAAATACATCTGGCAGAAGTGGAGGATCTGGCAGCGCTAAAGGCTCCAATTCGAGGTGCGTGCTTATTGGAACTTATTATCCTGCATCGCGTTACGCTTACGGGAGTCATTTTCTTCGGTTTCTTGATAATGAACCACTTCATATTGGGTCCTATTAATTTGAATGGGCGTGGCCTTCTTTTCAATTTGCGTTGACCTTCAGGCCATTTGATCAGCTGAGAGGGATGCTTATGAAGGGCTGGTGTTTCCAGTTTAGCGGGTCCAGAGCATCTAGCATATGTATGGCAACTTTTTCATAACGTTGCAGATCACTTTATCCTACCCTCGTTTTTGCGCGTCGAGAACGCAATTAGTTTTTTTTTGGCGAGTGGCAACATGCAGCTCACGTTCTTTAACATGTCACTTTGAGAGGGAGCTTGATATGCCAGTACTTCATCAGGTCCAGTTCGTTGTGCAGCCACGATGTAGCAGTTTCATACCATTGGGTCGGATCCATGTATATGTGGCACTGCGCGTGGATACTGCTGGTCGCCAAATTGAACGTCTGCAGGAATGGACGCGTGAGGGAAGCTGGCGCCGCAGCTGCGCAACCTCCCGGTCACGGTTTGCTTGCGCATGCTTGCGCGCTGCCCTCTGTATGTTCGCCTCACCCAATGGTGCGATAAGTATGTCCGTCTTAGTACGCTTGTTGCCTGATCAGCACTTGTGCGTTGTTATCTGGCCACGTCCAGTTTACGCATGCAAGCATCGGTACGGATGGGAACCAAGGGGAAGAGAATACCCACCAACGCAACGTTGACCCAAATAATCCATGTGTACAATATATAATACATGCATAGCCAGCGGGCATTCAAATCGGGAACAGAGACACGAACACCCGGAATTGAAGGAATGGAGGAATTTTTTCTGAACTCTGTTATTTACAAATGAAGATGTACTATACAAGGATAGTTTTTCAGTTCAAGTAAAAAATTAGTACACGCACATTTAGGGAAGAATACAAGAGAGGAAGCAGAAGGAAAAGTATTGGCTAGCGAGTATTTGCAATATGTATGTCCTATGAAATTACTCCCTTCCCTTTCGTACCCTCCCGAACCAGTGGTTCACAACTCAGTTATCCCCTCTCTAACTATAATATAAATTATCTTTATATTTTTCAAACTATGTAATTCCAACCCTCAGCTCTCTCTATATATCATAAGCCTCCGAATCAGACAGACCCTTGCAAGCACCTCCATTCCCCATCCTGGTACTTTCCCCTCCAACATCATCCATATCCTCTACGCCCTAGCCTCTTACGCCTCGAACGTGTGCACAGCAGACATTTCTGGAATGGATCACCACCGACAATACCCCACGCATTCCTGCCTTCGCATCACAAGTTCTAATGATGCCAAAAACGCACTCTTTCTCGTTGAAGCGGGGTCCTTGAACGAGTTCGGAGAAGGCCAGACGATGCCGAAAAGACGCTCATCGCCCATGGGAGCGTCTTCGTTTGGAGGGATGGTGCAAAAGGAGAAACTGGCCTCGAGGTAGGCGCTTATTTTGCTGGGCATGTCGTTCGCTTATCAAGCAATGCCGCTTGAACCACCTATCCTCACAGAGATGGACCGATGGACGCCAGTGGGGCCCTTCTAGATGCCGTGATGTACGCAGAGCTGACAACATACAATTCATGTCAACGCTTATTTTCTCATTTCATTTTGTGTTTCACTCCCCACTCTCCTTAGGATTTTCTCATCTACGAGGAAAAGGATGGGCCGCATCCTAAACTTGTTAAAAGCACCTTTACCGCAAGGCGCAATACCGTAGGTGACAGTGGAGCCTTATGGCATCTCAGTAGGCAACTCCTCGCCCTCCTTGTTCCTAAAAGCTGACCCCCCGCGTTTGACCTACATTCCAGTTGCATACTACTACCAGCACGATGTTAATTCCTTGCGTGCCCCAGACACCGATCCAGACTACGCGCCGATCGTCAGTCGAATGCCTCAGGGGTACTTCGTCTCGAATCGAAAGGACAAGAGCCGCAAAGCCAAGGAGGTTCCACCTCCTGTCCAACAAATCGCATTCAATCACCCGTCACCCTCACCAACCTCCTCACATGTACCGTCTAGTGGCATACCAACTTCAGTGCCTCTCCTCTCACCTATTCAGACGTCTGCCCATCAACACCCTCACCACCGTCCGCAACTGTCGGTCTCCGTACCTACAACCCCACACGACTCCGCGGGCGCTGGATATCCTCGTTTCGGTCAGGAGCCTTACGCTACGTCTAGTTATCGTGATATTCCAGGGCCGCATGCACATCGCAGTGGTGGAGGGTGTGGCGATGAAAGCTCTTCCGACATTTACAGCTCTTCGCCCTCGCCCTCGCCCGGCCTCTCGCCTGCCTCTTCTGGTCTGTCGCAAGACGATCGCCATGATGAGCCGGCGTTGATTCCGAACGGTGGCGCCCTCCACCCGTCAACAGCGCACCATCAAAACGGCATTCAACATTATTACCCTGGCGCGTTGCCTTTGAGTAGGAATAGCGTGATTTTGCCATCAATTGCCTCACTTCGTGTAAGGATTACACGCGGTGAGCAAGTACTCATCGATGAAGTAGAAGGCTCTGCGCGTTTGGGTGAAGATGAGAAGCAACTTCAGAAGTTGAATCCAACTTTATCACAGCTTTTCTGATGCCTTTTCTCGATATATATATGTGTGCGTCCGTGTCCGTTACGACGATCCGGGGGGAGGTGATAAATAAAAGTTCGCGGTGTTGCTAACTTGACTCCTCCACTCCCCACCCTCGACTGGTACTTGCGCGGTCGTCATTTTCTTATGACACCCTACCCCTATCGCTTCGTCATTGTTTCACCTACCTTTAAAAACCACCCCTTATTCTTATCGCATTTTCCACTCTGCCTGTTCATTGAATGGAACGGCGTGCTTCCTCCTTATGGACTCCGTCGCCCCCTTCCATTCTCGTAATCCGTATGTGCCCGGGACCCAAAATTAACTGCGACTTCATACGTAGAAGAAAAAGTCGCAGGAATATCTTATTTTCCTTTTCCCTGGTCCCTGCAAACCACGCAATAGGACGTGTGGGCAGTTTTGGCGTTGAATTTCTTTCCTATTTTCGCTGGTTGCTGTTCTGTTGACTCCCATTTGACTGTCCATCTTTGGGTGGCATTTCTATTTTCCCTCATCGCTGTTTTCGTCCGCTTGCCCCATTTCTTGTACTATACCACACTTAGGTTCCTATCTTCCACCATCTTCATCCCGTCGACCCAGTGACTCTCCCTGCTAGCAATATTTTCCTCCCTTTTTTCTTCCCTCTCCGCTATCGGTCTCTTCTCTCTCAGCCGACTAATAATTGTACCATCACTTCACTCCCGGATTTTTTACGGCTTTTCCACTTCAGACATCGACTGATCTTGAGCGTCGAGCAAATTTCGTAAATCAATTGAAACTGCACCCATAGTAATTTTGGTCGGTCAGTTGGGCCCGTTGCCCAGACGGCCCGGCGAGCTGTCCGTGATTCTCCTTCCGCGTCGTCCTGGCTGCTTGGATGGGCACATCTTGAGTGGACGCTAATCGGAAGGTTATTCTGAGGCATCGAATTAGCTAGCCCATTAGTGCCACCCTGGTACTACAAATTAGCGTCCTCCGTTTGGTCTTACTCCTTTCTGTCAGGTCAGGTAGCGCCCAGCCGGGCCCGAATCCCCAATGATCACTCTCGCAGAATCATACACTGTCTGGGTTGAGTTTGACTAAATTTAGTCATTAGATACGGTGATGGCCCAGTCCCCCCGTTCAGTGCCCAGTTCCAATCATGCCCAAGTCCTATATCCAATCAAATCAAAATATTATGGGCGGTTAGCTCGATATTCGCAATAGAGGATAGTGGCCCTGCCCAGAGATACCGGTGAGATATCAAGGTGGTCAGCCGACCGCTCCCATTGCGATGTCTGCCAACAGTGCAAATACAGGCAACGGTATGATAGGCATGCATCCGCAGCCATAGCCATAGCCGCAGCCATAACCATACACAGTCGAACGACCGATCAGCCTATCTAACAGCGGACATCCATGCATGCGCGCATGACCCCTTAAATACAATATACTCCACTGGCAGCTTCTGACTGTTTGCAGGCTAGCTAGGCATCTGGGTTACCGGCTGTCTATTGCATCTCCTTCAATCCAACCCGTTTGTTTTACTAGAGAATTGAAAGGGACTGTGTGAGCTCCAGGGTCGTTGGACAGTACGGTCACACAAGTGGGTAAGTATCAAACTGAGTCTGCGCGCGGCAACCTCTGAAGGTCCGCATCGGCCCGTCAGCGTGGGCATCGAAATATAACAGCTGGACGCAACATCAAAAACCGCTGCTGCTTTGATCGTGTCCGGATTGAACGTTGAGATTTTTGATTTCGCATCAACCCTAAGTGCATTGGATCCTTTCATTTTCAGGCTCGCGGTTGTGTTCGGACTCCCATCAAGGGGGTGTCGGCTGTTTTTCCCCTGAAAATGCAGTAGGCCCTTGCCTTCCCGGACTCCCTCTTTAGCCGCCCCGTCCTCGGCAACCTCCACGGCAGATCGGTTCGATGATCCTTCAATGCATCTTGCTTTTCTTTCTTACTCAGCTTGAGTGCAGCGGCACTGTATCTGCTTCGTGATTCGAACTCCGCTCTTTGGTCTCATGATCAACTATCCCTTATCCAAACAAGTGCAAAACGAACAAGCCTAGAGTCGTAGCGGCTTCGGCTGCAGTGACTGATATGTGGATTATAACCGACTCGCCTCGAGGCAGGTCCTCAATCTACGCCGCTGCAGATCGTTTCTTTAAGCGTTTCTTTCCGTGGTGTGAGAACCAGATGGTGGTGATTTACCCTCTATCTAGGTAGTTGCATCGTCGTTCCTTGGTATGATCGAAACGGGCATATTTTCAATAGCTTCGAAATTTGGCAGGGGGATGCATGCATGCGGGGAAGCAAATTCCAATTCGAAATTAGAGGGGAGTGAAAGTGCAGATCTGTCTCACTCCACTGCCCGTCATATTTTGGGCCTCACTTGCTCATCTCTGCACGGAGACACCCTTCATTTCATTCCAAAAAGTGGTCACCTTCGCACTAGTTAATTTGTGGCATCTGAGGGCGTCTTCCTTGCATCCTTCTCCGGGAAATGCCAGAATTCGTTTTTGGGAATGCCTAAATGGCAATTGCCTACTTTCCTTTATGGATTACTCGGGACTGGGACTGGTCCCATAGGAACGTACATACCGGCATAACGATCGGTCCGCGTAGACAAAGAGAGCTCAGTGTTTATAGGACCAAGATCTAGCTTTGAAACAATAAGGGGCTGCCACCATATATATATGGAGACCATGCGCTCATCATACATGGCCTGAGATCCAGACCACCCTGTTTCTTTATGGCACAGCATATCAAAACGGAAACCAACGAGGCGATTCATTAATATCTTCAGGTAGCCAGTTCGTCAAAGGGACCTCGCTACACTTCGCCTAATTCTAGCTAGTGCTAGTTTACTTAATTAGCTAATTTACTAGTTTCCGTGGGGGAAGCGAGATCTGAGTACGTATATTTCCTTTCCCCTCGGCTGGTCGTTACATTGGGAGTATGGGTGGGGTGCGAAGATGGCCGTGCTGGTTAATACATCCTTATCACTTGAGGGCACTCGCTACTGTAATGGTAATCAACACGAGAGGGATTCGCTATTCCCTCGGCAACCAATCACGCGTAATTGGAACTTGCGCCACTACGCGCCCGAGGATAATCCTCGCCTGCGCTGGTCTCGGGCGCTTCTTTCTCTTTATCTTCGCACTCATCGGGCTGTCCATCCAGATGCCCCATGACCATTAATAAGTAGATAGGCAGCCGGTCGACCGGCAGTTACGCCGGGAGAAGATTGAAAGCCAGCTCCTCGGCGAAATTTCAGCCCAGCGGTTAGAAGCGATGGAAATGATGAATTGCTCGCGCCGACGTATCGGGGCGAGATCAATGCTTAGCGGGAAATCCAGCGGACTGCTGGCCTTGTAGGCTTCACTAAACCCAAACATAGTCGTGGACCTTGGGCGGTTCCTCGAGACGCATAGGGTCAGACTGTATCTACAGCTATGGCGTCTTGTTTCGGAAGAATCCTTGCTGCGTATATATATTGCTTCATCGCATGGGAGATGTGATGGATGAAGCGTGAACACTCAATAGTTACTCAAGGTGCTTCTGCCTGGAATGCGCAACAAGCGAGAAAGGGGACCACCCGATATGGGAGTGATCTTAAAGAGAGGAGCTGTGTTGGGGGGGGGGGGTACATGGCGCAGTGAATGCTGGATGATGCGACCCTCGATATTAACCGGTGCGCGTGGATGTCCCAGTTATAAAAACTTCCACTTTTAAAAAAGGAATCCATCTTGAAGGGTAAATGTTTTTGGGTAAGTGGTTGAACTACCTCACCGTTGTAGTCGCACGACCGACGGGAACGCGGGAATGCGTGATCGGCACTTGGCACGATGAACACATGTGCACAAACTGTCCGCGGTCTGTAATTTTTCCCTCTGACCGGTTTGCGTCTTGGCCAGGTGGATGCCACGGGCCTTGGGGACTGTACTGGGGGTACTTGGGGGTCAGAAAGGGTAATTATTAACAGAAGTCTACCCTAAACTTCTGCAGCTGATCACATATGGGCCCTGCCGAAGAAGCAAATAATTGGGGGTGGCATCGTGGGGGTGGAAATGTGCCCCCGTCTTTACCAACGCTGCCAGCGCACCTCTTTTGATTTTTAGGACCCTTCTTGTAAATTCGAGATGGACGCCTTTCCCACTGCGCGCGCAGTGCCGGCCAACTCATTGAGGTAGGTGTGGCCCCAACAACTGCTTTTCACACTCATTTTTATCGTTTTGCAACAGAGAGTCGATGTGTCGTTTGTTATTGAATGTTCAATTGTTTATCCCATCACAACATCGTGCGACCTGACAGTGACAGTTGGCTGTCATGGTATCCTGCAGGCAGGTATCCTGAACGTTTTACGGCATATCCACCTTAAATATTGCTTGCCAATTTGTCAAAGGATCCCCACGTTCATATAGGATTATTCCGCCATCAATATATATTCCGTTTAGGATACACAGGGTGGTGTCTCCCTCTATTTTTCCGGCTCCGTTCTGAACATTCTTCTCATTCTCAGGCTCAGTTATTTGGCTGTATTTTATTATTCCGATCTTGCACCTGCAGTAGTTCTAGCAATTGGCGTTTCCTGGGATCCTGCACATTCGCATGCCGAACGCGACTCCATGCCGAATTGGATGCCCAAACGAACAACGGCCAATGCTATAAAGGATGCCCTCAATTATTGCTTCACGACCGAAAATGCTCTAATTAGGCTTCCAATCGAGTCCAACGCTGCTTTTTGTGCAAACTTCTCTTATTCCATTCATTCCAATTACCATCTAGAGCTGCTGTCCAGTGATAGCCTCTTTTCTCAAACAAAAACCCTCATAGTTCCATTGTGTACACACGGACACATTCGGGGTTCGGTCTTACTAAGTTATTTCGCAAACACGCGACCCTCCAATTCCTTAACCCTTGATCATGAAAAAAGCATGGGTGGAAGGAACGGACGGAATGAAGGATCATGCATTCATTCTCACGTAGATGACCTTCCTTTCTTCTTTTTCGCCTCTGCTCCCATCTCTTCTTGCGGACCGGTATGCGGTATTTTCAAAGTTGGCGGAGGATCGTTATAGTGTGGTACGTCTGCGCTCGCACACGCAACACGTGCCAGCCCATTTCGGCCTGATTTGGAGCTAGCCACCTGATCATAACGCTAGTACCCGAAGCCATATTATCCAGCGCGATTCCATTTATCGTGGACGCATTTGTGGGTGAGCTACCTTTCGTGGCGAGCACATTGACAAAGGACGTGTATGGGGATTGATATATTGCAATCCATCTCAGGCACAGATGTATTCTCCGATAGAATTTCCCTCATCCCTGTTTGGTGGGTCTGGAGCTGTCTGGACTGGTGATCGCAGCGTCAGGGGTCCAGTCATGGGGGGTGTCGTTGTGCATCCAATGAATGCTTGATAGCGACGATAGAGATAACGAATCACGTCTGGTGGCGAGACCCCCCGTCTTGTTTCTCCTGTGGACACCGCCAATGGCAGATATCATCACCCACCAACCCGTTACCGAGATCCCTTTATGACGCAAGATGGGAGGCTGAGTGAATCGGAACAGGAATCTAAATCGGGAAAATGTCATGGAATATGCGCGATGGAAGGTGGCAAAACAAGCACAACCGACTACATCAAGTTTGCATCGTCTGATTTTGCATTCTTTCTTTGAGAAACTCAAGCGGTCATTTTAGGCGAGTAACATTTGGAATCGATGTCGTGCAGGAACGGCATGTCCGGGTGATCTATCGCCCGAGCCAGTGTCCGTCGTCCCCTCCTTTTTATCCCATAGAGATAGGCAAAATCGCCATTGCGCGGGTACCGGGTAGTCTCGATCCTTTTCAACTGAAGGAAGGTGCCGGTGTAAAGGCTGATTCTTGACTTGTGAATTGTCCAGCACATTTCAGGCCTCTCAATAATTTGCCGGAATTGGAATTGAGGGGTCTGCTGGTCTGAAGCACGGTGTTCCCGTGCACAGACCTTGACATTTGCTGTGGAGTGGAACTCTATTTTCTATCGGCTGCACCCCTCTCCCACGTGGATCCCTTCACGCCGATCGCCAGCAATGTGCCTCGGCTCATGATTTACATATCAGAAATAGTCAGTCGCCACCGCTATCTCCAGAGTCACACACGTACCCCCCTGTACTCCAAAGTTCTCCGTGTCCCTCGGCTCTTTGGCTTCTCGGAATGAGGGACATAGTCACAGGTATCCATTATCGGCATAGTCATGATCGTCCTCGGAGTTTTCCATGTGCAGAGACAGCCAAACTCAACGGCATTTGTCTCCCCCATAGTTCTTCTTCTCCTAGTGCTGTCACTGCATGGCCACTCACATGCGGTCTATGATTTGTGAGAAAATCGCTTTCGAGAGTCGTCCGTCCTTGAATGTCTACAATGAGCGGATCCAAGCATGTGGACTATGCACAGACTGAGCTACAGTGTTCTCCTCATACGGTTATCATTGTCTCCTAAGCCGTGAGGCAATTCCTTTTCATATGTAGTTTATATCATCGTCAGGCCGAAGCTCAGCTTCTACCAACGTGTCATTCAACATATCAAACACCCTAGAACTTAGCCACTGGTATTGCCATGCGAATTGGCGCATCCGCACAACGATCCATATAGCGTACTTATTTTTCATGCATTGCAACCTTCTCTTCATCCTTTTCTCGCAAGGCCGAACTATTATTCGACTTGCGCTTCCTATCTTCTGATCCATTCTCCACGCGTGATTGCCTGCCTGCCTGTCGATCTTTGGCCCCCACGACATCTCATTGGTTGCGTTCTCACAACATCTTCAGGTTGTTTAGTTGAGAGCTGTGGGCACTGATAAACTTATGCCGCGTCCTGTCATTGATACAATGGGACGCTAGTTCAGAAGAGAAGGGTCAAGAAAGAATCAAGGCACCAGCATCAGATAGATTACGGTTGTTGCTTGCGCGTTGGCCGTGCCGTTGGACTTCCCTTTTCGAGAATCATTGACCACGCAGAAGTCTGGTTGTGTGTAGCACTGCAGTTGGCCGGTTCATTGTTCGCCTCATTCTCGTGTCAGCATGCATTGGGTGATGCGCGTGTGTTATCATTATTAGTCAAGTGTTTGCACGTGTGCCCCGTTGCTGCGTTGATACTTAAAAGTTAGTGTGATCGTTCGTTCTCAGCACCGTCGCAGGCAAATCCCATGCCGAGTTGGTTGGTTCCCCGCTTCGTTGAGCAATACAAGTTGCGTCCACCCGACCCGTGGCAGAGGGATGATGGTGCCAATTACCGCGGGATCACATACTGAGCGGGGACAAAGGTGATCGTGACCATAGATATATATATCGAGTTCTACACTGCGCGATGGGGTGGCTGGTCGCCATCCTCATTGCTTTTTGTCCTTACACATTCTATTCCTCCCAATTCACGCTTATAAACTAAATACTACTCCCTTATTTCCTCTTCGATCCCTTAAATCCCTCGCGTGCATCATTGCCAATACAGATAAAGTTCTCAAAAGTCATGACATATTCTAATTGCAATTTCACAAGCGATAGCTTTTTTTTAAAAAAGTAAACAACTCCTAATATGAGTTTCAATCATGCGCCCGCATGCTCAAATGCGTAAAAGAAGATAGAGACGGACACCAAAACAAGACGGACGGAAGATCAACCTGCATGCCCATGATATATTCAGTATAGTAAGCTAGGTCCAGGTATGATCAACAGTATACGAGCCAATGGTCTTTCCAAAACCGCTTTCCCCTTCTTCCATTTTTTTGGCAATGAAATTTTGGTAGTGATAAGTGTCCGATCTGGTCCTTAGGAGAATTTGCATGGAGCCAGTAGCTCTAGACGCCACTCTGGTTATATTATGGACATGCTACCGATTGTTCTGGGGAATAATATGATGTGATCAGACTGGGATTGAAGAACGGTCCCAATAAGACCTCAGAGGTCCATTTCTTTGTCGCCCCGCACTGGCACTATTTAGAAAAGGACTAATTTCTCCATCCACAGGACCAATTAGAATCGATCTCGTCTAGTTGGGATATTCTCGAGAAGACGTCCCATACGCCACACGCTCCGTGCCGTACCGTGTCTAGCTGCCATGCAAACAGAGAAGGCTTCCATTTGTATTTTGCGAGTTGAGATCGTTATAACCAGCATAAACATACAGATTCGCCATTTGCGAACAATGGAGCTAGCTAGATCTTCGAATTCCCTTACATAAAATCATGGGATGAATGTACGTTAACGTTAACTTGAATTATCATACGTACAGCATAACATGGTTCAAGTCCGGGTCCATCAATCTTCTCTTGCACCCGCCGCATGGATAAAAGAGGGGGGAAAAACCCATGCAAATCACCCAATATATGTTTTAGGGAGAAGGAAAGGGAACAACCACAAGGAATAGGAAACCTGGCCCACAGGAAATTGTTCGATTGAGGGTTCGAAGCGAGCGAATCGTGCAATTTACATCCAGCCCTCGCATAGAAGCTGTTAGCCGCTAAATCTTTTCCTCAGTTGCTGCAATGAATACCCAGCTACCTACATGCGATCTATACGAACGTGCGGGATATCCCTCGCACGATTGAGTTCGCGTCGAGGGAACTTTTCTCCCCTGTCATCGGAAATACGCCCTGCTTCATGCATGTGTCCGCAGATTGGAAGATGCCGTCGTCGACAAGCTAACGGCTCCCCCCCCGCATGCGCAGCCTTGAAGAATGATGGCCTTCAGATTACATTCTGTGCGAGGCGAGGCGAGTCTGGAATGGCCAGATACAGCAGTGGTATGTGTTCAAGGCTTCGCCCTGTGCGTGAGTACACGTTAATTGAAATTAGTACAAACAGACCAACTAATACGCTCGTACGGCTCAGTTGTTAAGCGAATCGCAGATACGTCGCAGGCCGAAAACGGGTCAGGGCTCCAGATGACCATGGCGTGAGTGGTTTCCGATGTAAGCCATTGTATTGTACTTTGTAAACTCATGCAGCATGAACGTGCGGGGGAAACAGCAGTGTGGAAGGGGAAAGCGGGGGGGGGGGAAGAAGACGTATGGGAATTCGACAGAGACTGTCCCCTGAGTTGGCGGGAGTAAGCACATACGATCAAGGGAGCCACCGATCATAATTGCGTTGTGTGCGCCACAGGAGGTGGTTGTGCGTGGACGCGTGCGCACATGGATTACACCACGAAGAAACTCGGCCCATTTTCAGCCAATCAGACCGCCATCGTCCCTTTTGTACACGCGACACGTAAGTGTACCACGTATCCGGGATTCATGAAGTCTCCTCAAGCAGCCATGGCGAAGGAAACAATGATGATAGTGTATGCGGTGGCATGTGGATATCGACGTGACGGTCGGCCGGTGGACGCTGCTATAGGCATGGTGAAAGAGAAATCGGGCGGGATGATAGATAGAATTAAAAGTTTTCTACTCGAGGGACAACGCCTCGAAGATTACACGTTTCAGACAGTAACTAACGGCTCTTGAGACCATCGGCAGCAAAGAATCAAGGGGATAATGGGGTTTATAAGATAAAAACGCCATCGATACAATCAAACGAGGTATCGGTGGCTGGAATAAATCAAGACAACGCCGCGCGTACCATACCAAACCAAGTACCCACGGACTGGCGTGCGGAAACTTTCCTAGCTCCTCATGGAACCGTAAAAGTGTCGTCCCGTAACCAATCGACCAACCTGTCTCTAGCACACTCGGTCTCATATGAATAGTCGAAAGCGTATGACGCAAGGACACGAAGCAAAGACAATCGGTCATTTGTCACCGAGGGCGACAACGTTGTCAGTGTTGTCAGGCCGCATGCCGTTTCTCCAACGGTATGCGGATGCTTCTCAGCTGAGGGTATGATGATTTCGGGGAACATGGATGTTGCTATAGAGCTTGGGTCTGTCTCGGAACAACGCTGCAGACCCTCATGCCCGGGTGACGGTATCTCACATGTAGGAAGGGAGTGGTGGGTGCAGGACGGTGAAGGTGTAGGCGAGATGACTTTCTGGAATAACGCAATTGCCTCCAAAAAGAAGATAGCATCGCTGAAGTCGTCCCCAGTTTTTTCCATATCAAGGACCGGAAAAGAGTCGGGTATTGCGCAGGATGAGATATCTTCCCAGAGCGACACAAGTACTTTCACGCGCTTTGTCAATCCTTTGCCCAGGGCCACCACCTCAGACAACTCCAGCTCGTGAGATTCGTCTGGATTGGGATCATCGTTCACTGAGGGTACCGTATTTGCATTGGTGACGGCTGAAGTCGTCCCTGATCGAGAATCAACAGGATGAGGAGACTTCTCGAGAAAAAGCTGATTCGCGGCACGCTTCAGTCTTTTACATACTAAGCCAGTAGCGATGAGACCCAGTGGTGTGATTCTGTTCCCAACTGTGCCTTCAGCAGCGACTGTAGAGGATCTTGCTGGAGGGATCCATGCTCCGTCGACGGAATGGTAATCTAAGTCCGTCACAATGCTGAGTCCGGATTCATACAGCGTTACGGCGCCTTCCAGAGGGAGCCCAAATAAGACACGTTCTTCTTTCGTTGTCGCGAGGTCTCGAGCACGTGCCCAGACTTTTGATGAGTGTGTAGTTGGAAGTGGGTATGATAAAAGAGCCAAGGTCGCCATTTCGGACGGCGTTGGGGAACGCAAGACGGACGTAAGTCGCCCTGAAAGGAAAGCTCGTCGTTTAAACGTCATGGATGCCCCTAAAGCCAAATATTTCCCAATTTGTTAATACCCTTTCTATACATCAACGTTCCATACTTACCATCAGCGAGTTCCAATTCTGCTAATCGAACCCATGCCTCACGCTCCAATGTGATATTAAAGGGGCGAGGGCGGATTCCAGCGAAATGTCGAAGCTGCACCCAAAAGGCATACCACCACCCAGCCACTACAGCAGAGATGAACGTAAAAAGTCCAATGTTGGCACAGCCCAGCGTATCACGAAGCGCCTCCCTATCGCCTCCCAAGTCGCTACTTCGGATAGCTTTCCTGGGAGGACGTCGTTTTGAAAAGGAAGGCAGCCAACATGTAGCCGATGGGAGGACCGACAGAACGACAGACACGAACAGGCCAAGGGTAATAACAGAGTGAATCAAGTTCATAAATCTGCTTGTAGTCAAAAATTGGAGTGCGGGGGAAAACACGTGCTCGGGCGTGCGGTCACGAAAGGTGTCACGAAGCGTCCCGAGGACGGTTCCAGAATGCGCATGGTGATGTGAAGAGTCGCCTGAAGGAGGGTTGAAGAAGGAGAACAGAAGGAACACGCCTAGGAACAGCTTGCTGTGGTCGGTGCCAGCTGCCCCAACGGGAACGGGCTGCTGCGGCATAAACGTATACGAAGGGACTTGAGGGGAAATCGGCGTCTGCGATTGCGGTGCTACGGGAGCTGGCTGCACCTTCCGTGGCCGACCACGCTTTCGCTTCAGTTCCCCAGAACCGGGAACAGGCACTGCGGCTGGAGGCGCGACCTCGGCCCTGGTCTCCTTCTGCGGGGCGGTGACTGGCGCGATGCGTGCTTTTTTCTTAGGTTTGTCATCTTCATCCTCGGACCCTTCATCATCATCGCCGTCCTCTTCCTCATTGACGTTACCTGTCTCCTCTCCCCCAAACTGTGCCTTCCACTCACGTTCCCAGTTCTCATAAAGTTCGCGACCACCAACGAGGCTAAAGACTAACGTCTTTAGGCCATCATATTCTCGTTGAATACGATTCCCTCGCCTTTTCAGCACACTACGAAGTCGGAGGCAATCAGACCAGAATCCAGATGCGTGTTTGATGGATACCCACTTTATGTAGTCCGTAGCTTTTCCGAGAATGCTCCCTTTACTAGCCTTCCGAGCAGCTTTGACGCCGTCCACATACCCCCGCTCATCAACCTTCTCCTCAGGGAAACGGTCTTTTTCTAAGATGCGAAGGGCTGGCACGGCATGTCGAAGGGCAATGAAGCGATTATTCAGCTTCGAACGATACTTTCTCTCAATATCCGTGTGCGAAGTTTTATTCCGTGAGGTGGGGAGAGCTGGTGGTGTTGGAGATACAGAGGAGGCAGAGGACACAGAAGACCCAAAGCTGGGAGAGAGGCTGGGAGCTTGTAGCATGGAGGGAGGGGGAGTAAGTAGGTGCGGAAATGATGGTCGATGCTCTGCACCGACGGCAGACAGAGGAATCGCTTGCTGTATCCCAGCTCGTTCCTTCGCTCGCTTTGCAATGTCCTCCGGCCCAACCAACACCGGTCCAGTTGACGGGGGATTTGCGGGGAATGGGGGAGTCAAAGAGGGTTCGACTATCCGAGGCACAGGCATGGTGGACCCTTGTTCTTGAACGTTATTGGTTTGGAAACCTTGGGCGTAAGCCGCCAAAAGGGTCGTTGCATCGATATTCGCTGGTAGTGTAAGGTAGTACGAGTCGGACTGCGCTATCGCAGAATCACCTCCCAATGTCAATGCGGTGGGGTCAACGTATGCACTATCAATAAACGAGTCTGCATTCCATTTCCATGAATCGGTGAAGAGTTGATTAGACTCGGTCCATGACGTTGGCCAGTCACTGGGGCTCTGCTCCCGGCTTTCTTGTGACTGGCTTTCAGATGAAGAGGAAGAAAGTTCAGGGTTGCTCATAGACATATAGTGGGACAGGCCGAATACCCCGAGATGGGAAGGAGACATAAGTGGTGAGGACGACGAAATAGAGGATCCACTCGCTGTGGGGGACTCCTCGCGATACTTAGTCGGGTCTTCCATTGAAGCGTCGCTTTGGTCAGAAACAGAGGTTGACCGCGTCCTTGAGAGGTCAATTCGCGCTTCAGTAAAATTTTGGTTCATCGCAACCAACTAGCCAGTGTGGCAGTCGACTTACAGGGATTTTCCTTTGCGATATATACTCGCCTGAGCGCTCTGGTTCGATCGGTCGAATGGTACGATTCTGTGCGGGTGCTAACCGGCAATGTCGCGTGACTGGATCGTGAGAAATTGGTAACAGCGGCTCTGGTCTGAGCGAGGGTTCCATCGTAAGTATACGTGCCTTCTGCCCCTGAGGGTAAGGATAGTCAACTTGTTCCATGTTATTTCCATACCCAGTCGATATTATGTGCACGACTCCTTCTGAGCAACATTCTAATGATCACTGTTTGTAGGCAGGACTCCAGCCTCTATGACTTCGTAATATTAGACTCACCATAATCTTACGATTCAGATTGCGGCTCGCAATGTGCAGTCTGATCTACCGTTTGAGTGCGACCACATGACAGGAAAGGCGCCAGCTTCGCAGAGGTTGATCATTTGACTGGACTACACCCAAAGAATACCTTACGCTGTGTCAAGAAAGATATTAATGTAGCATGTTGCAGTATATGTACTAGAGCGCCATGAAAGCCAGTGCGGATAGGTATCCAAGACGGGAATGATTCGGGTACGGTCAATTGCGAAGGTATGAAAGTTGGGAAATCAATGTCACATCTAATCGTCACCTTTTGACGCGTTCGTAACCTCCGATGACTCTTTCTAGGGAAGTAAATGGCAGAGGTCTCGTCAGCTAGACATAAGAGGTAAGTAGCGACAAGTGCTCACTGAAAAATTCGTATGATAGCCAGCACAAGGCATTGCTGGGCATGAAAGTTACCACCCGAGGCGCAACACCCCTCATAAAGCCCTTCGCTCCATCTCTTTGCCATATTATCCTGAAGGCATCCGTCATCCCCCTCGCGCCCCTGATTTCTTTGTCATCTGAATGACCTCGAGTCTGGAGCAGCGTCTTGGCTACATCCAGAGGCGTCGTCACAGCGGCCGCAACACCTCCGGCAAGCCCACCGGCCGAAACGTGTGTCAAAGGGGAATAGGTTCCGGAGGGGTTGAATGTGTCCTTCAGGAACTCGTATGTTGTGAACTGAACCGCTGTGAACGGAACAGTCATCGTGAGGGTAGTTGGATAGGAAATGTAAAAGGCTCCAAGCCCTTCATTTTTGTACACGGTTTTAGCGCAAACCCATCCTGAACGAAATGGTGACCCGTGTAACTGCATTCGTTGCTTGATCACTGAAGGTCGACACAATGGTGTTAAGTGCTCTCGCAGCTACCTACAAATCTATCAACTGCATACCGTCGAAAGGATTCATCAAAGCGTCGCTGGATATGGTTGCCGCAGCACCGGCAATAGCTGTAACCCAAAACATCAGTCCGTGCAACCAAACAACACCTGCAACACGTCTCACAAGTAGCCAATGGGTGATGCCCTGGACGATTCCCACCCGCCAGCTCCTTGACGAACTCATAAGAGCCGAAATACACAGCATGAGCAGGCCCAGCGCCTGCTATGACCGACGCAACCCCTCTCCACAAAGCTCTCGCACCTTCTGTTGACGATATCCGGATAAAAGCATTCCCAATGCTAGAGTATACCGCGGCTGGTTGTGTTGAAAATACTTGCATTCGAGTCTGACGTAGTCAACGATAAGCTGTTTTTTCGGTCCCACCGATAGATTTCTCACTTTAATACTGTCGACCGGGAACATCACCGCGTGTTCTGAGATACCAGCCTATAGACAACAATGAGTTAATAGTTCAACTCCGTGCCTAGAAGCCCCACTCACCAGAGCCCCAGCCATCATGTTGATCCCTAGTCCAGAACCAACGGGCATCGATTCATAGTCAATTTCTTCCACATTAGATGGGCCTTCAGCTGGCATTCTCGGAGCCAATTGAGCTGTAACTTCGAGACTAAAGTTTTTGTTAGGCCACAGGAAATAGACTTGAAGACGTCAAGTCGTAAATACCAACGTCACGACGAGCACGAGATCGAGATTGTCGTCAACGGGCCGCGCGAGGTATCGGAAAGATTTGAATGTGTAGACAAACCGACGATTCCCTCAGACAAGAGGGCTAGGGGAGCCCAAGGATGTGCAGGTGCCGTCGCACGACAACTGCGAAATTTCGTTGAATTTTCCAATGACAATTCGGATGTATCCGCCAATATATATAAAAAAAGTATCAGATAAGATCCAAAGTACGGTTGACGGTAGTTGTGGGCAACGGTAAGCCACCCCCAGAATTGACGTAGTGCGGGTCAAGAGCGCATGCAGCGGCCGGCACTGTTATCCGGAACAAGGTGTTCGAATTCAACGTTAATATCACATCAAAGCATACACATAGTTCATCACGGCATCCAGAACTACAACAATTCGGAGTATCTTTGCTCCGAGGGAAGAATATTAGTGAGTGAGGAGGGATATTCAACCACAGTTGTCTAATGGTTCAATGGGAAAGAAAGCAAGCAGTTTTCAAATTTATCGTCCAACGTCGAGCGCGTTATGTAGCGAGAGAAGAAGCATGACTCCTAAGATGATCATACGGACATGAATTTACCAGCCTACTTGTTCCTCTCCATGAAATGCCCAGGGAGGGCTACCCTCATCAGAAACTGTTGAGACTGAGGCCTTTCTTGGGTAGGATTTAATAGATCTGGCGTTGGTCTTCACAGATTTTGGAGATGCATTTCGTGGGAGCTTCTCGCCCCACGGTTCGGCACTGCCCCAAAGCGAGGCCCTCTCATCGCCGCTGGATACAGCACCAAATGGTATGATAGGCCTTACATCTGGGGGAATCTTCGCTGGCGACTTTGGAGCAGCAGACACACTAGGACCTGTTGTGCCCCACATGTTTGACGAGGACGCCACTGCACCCCAGGATGGAATTATTTGCGCTATGCTTGGTTCATCAGTTGTTGAGGATGCAGTATGTGGGAGTATAGGCGCGCTGACAGGAGGTTGACGCATAGGTGATTTCGGGGGCGCAGAGGACGTCGAGTTTCCAAGTGCTGAAGTGGCACTGGGCGGCATTGGCCATGGTTGCGGCTTATTGTTCACAACAATGCTCTTGGGCGGCTTTTTCTTCTCCTTAGTTGACGAGTTCTTGGCTGAAGACTGTGGCGAGGGTGCCGTGACTTGCAGGGTCGGAATGACAGGCGATGGACCGCCCTTCTGCGATTGCCATAGAGGGAAACTTGAGTTTAGTTGGTTATTCCCAGGGAGGTGTTGCATGTTAGGACCAGGAGTGAACGTCGGAAGAGCGGTTCGACGAAGAGCAGGTCCAGTGCGAGATGCATCAGGTGGAGTGTGAGATGCTGGACCGGAAGAGAAGTCGAAGGCACGGGTTGTTCCGTTGACAGGACGAGCCATGGGGGCAGGGCCGTGTGGCACTATTGGTGTGGTGGGCAGGGGATGGGACCTGAGAGGAGCAGTAGCCGCAGTGATGTTGGGAGTGTATGATAATTCAACGACGGGAGGTGGCCCGCCTATGGGTATTAAAGGAGGAGTAGGCGGCCGCATGCCAGGGCGCAGCATCTTCCCTGGAGTCTGTGGGGGAAGAACCGGTGCCGCTTTGGGGAGCTCGGAAAAGGAAGGCGTAACCTGGGAAGCCGTAGGTCTTTGCATCTTGGGAGTTCTGGAAACCAGCTGCTCCCCGCGACCATCAGGGAATATAGGAACAGGTGGTTCAGCCGCCGGTGCAACTTGGGCGGTTAGGGGACGCTGCATCCGCGTTGGGCCTTCTGCGGCCGGGATGATAGGAGCGGGGACCACAGGGGCCTCGTCAACCCGTGAGTGTGAAGGACGCAACATACGAGCGGGAAGCTGGTGAGCAGTTGAGCCATCTGCGCCTTCAGGTCCAGCAGGGATGATTCCCACAGTGGGCTTGGCGACATCAATCGTCGATACCCACGGAGACGTCGTTGGGAGAACGGGGACAGGTGAAGCAGATGCAGGTCCTCCGTCCTTACCAAACTCTCTAGCATGTACCCAGGGTGACTTCGTTGTCAAAGCTGGCGTTGGCTGTGTGGCAATCTGCTGACCAATTGAACTGTCCGCCCCTCCAAATCCAACGGGGATGATTCCTGTAGGGGTCTTGCTGATATCAATTGTGCGTAACCAAGGGGACTTCGCGGGGAGTGTCCTCGAGGTGGCAGGGACTATTCCTCCATCCTTGCTAAGGTCCTTTGGTTGAATCCATGGTGACTTCATTGAAAGAGCCGGCGTTGGCTCTCTGACGACCGCGGGTGGTGCAAATGGAGTGCTGCCCGCATCAGCAGTGATTGGTTGAATTTCAGGCATCGTTGCGAAGTGACTGGAAGGGACGTCTGGTTCGATTGTAGGCCCAGGCTTCGTCCAGTCCGCAGTCCGAGGTAGTATACGCATGGGAGATCCCAGGCTATGGGATTGCTCGGGAGGTTTGTAACCGATCGGTCTAGCCATCCTTCTTTTGACTTCGCCTGTAGGAAACATGTCGGGGAGTACGGGCTCAGCAACGAGGATACAGGAGAACTGGTCCCATTTCCCTTGGTGGGGAGAATAGGGATGATGGGTTTTGGTGCCTGCGCTTGTGAGGAAGTATTTGCAGGAGGGTGGTAAGAAGTTCCGCCCCCCGTGCGTCGCAAAGGAGATGCTGTCGTAGTGCGGTCCATGGTTGGTTGATGTGGCGAAGTGCTCTGGGGAATTTGTGCTGTTCTCGTGAAAGGGGAAACAGGCGTGATCGGGGTTATCGTGGAGTTGGGTATCACTGGTATCTCTGAAGCTGGTGTTGGTATAATAGGCTGGAATGTGCCGGACCCCGACGGATTCTTTAGTATACTGCGTGCTGGCGGTGGAGGATGCCCGCTTGGTAACTCGATTGGACGCTTCGCATCCTCCGGGGGGAGGAATTTATGTTCCGTCCTCATCTCAAATGTTTCAGAACTTTCCCTAGACTGAAACGAGAAGGTCGTTTGTTTGTCTGCTCAAAGTGGGTACTAATATGAGGAATGGCATTGAGAGTCACTCACAGGTCTTTCCACCTGAATCGTCGGAATCATGGGAGGGTTACCATCTCGAATCGACGTCGGGGAGTCAGGAATTATTATGCCAGCATTATCCGGATTTGCACCTTTCACAAGGCTGGCCACACGGTCTAGAGGGCTCTGGCGCGGTGACGCCCCGCCGTATGTGATGGACGACTGTCCGTCTATGGGTAAAGCTGGAAGGGCCGGAGACGAGCCAACCCCCCTGGCAGCGTTGCTCCAAGAGTTTGTGTTCTGTTGAGGAGCGAGCGGCGCGGGCACAGTGGTCTGGGGGCGGGGCTTTGGCGGTTTGCTCGGATCCTGGCCTTCGTCAGTAACTGGGTTCCACCAACATTGGCAGTGGGAAAACTAGAACTGACCTGTTCTGTGCGACGGACGTTTTCCCCGACAGTTTGTCCCGACGCTTCACTAGGAAGATTCACCTGGGGGCGCATGAATGGTGAGTTCTCTGGAGGTCCACGATCAAGGCGAACAGGGAGAATTGGCAAAGAAGGGTGTGGCGTTTGGGGTGCTGCTGGTTGAGCCTGTTCTGAGCTGTTTCGCACGGGAGCCGTGATGTCTGACGTCGACGGTTGCTCACGAATGATGGAGAGGTTCCGTTTGACTGATTTCAAGGTTGCGGCCCTTTCCCTTTCCTGGGCCTCTCTTTCCGCTTTTTCTCTTTGTTCCAGCCGCTCGAGCGTTGCCCGACGATCCCGGACGGCTTCATCCTTTCTACGCTGAGCTTCTTCCGCAGGAGCAAGAACAGAGAACGAGCTGAGTGGTGTAGACATTCCACCAGCGGTCTTGTGTGTTGTCACGGAATGCACGGAGCCTTTTCCGTTGCGCTTTCGTGCACGCATCAGCTTTTTTGGGCGATATGGAATTCGTACGTGCTCGTCTGTAGTGGGGTCCTCCTCATCCTCAGACGATCCTCCACCTTCATCATCATAAGATGTGATGTTACGTTCCTGTTCATTTGAATCGTTTGTTGAAGGCTTCTTATGCGCTGTGGCAGCAACAGTTGCGGCTTGAGCAGCTTGTGCCAATGCTTCGGCTTGAGCAGCCTTAAGACGATCGAGTTCTGCGTCTTTTTCCGCCAGCTTGCGACGGGCTTCTGCATCCTTCTGCCTCGACTCCTCTTCGGCTCGTAGACGCTCTTGACGTTCTCTCTCACGCTCCTGACGTTCTCTCTCAAGCTCTTGTGCTCGAGCTAACTCATTTTTCTTCTCTAGGGAACGAATACGTTCACGTTCGGCCTCGCGTTCTTCTTCTCGCGTTCTTTCGAGCGCGAGCTCCAGTTCTCTCTCCCGACGACGCTGGGCATCGCGTTCACGCTCATCTTCCTCCCTCTTCTTGCGTTCCGCCTCCCTTTGGGCGCGTTCTCGCTCTAACTCCTCCATGAGTTCCGCATACCCCTGTTCTGCAATCTCTTTTTCACGTCGCAATCTTGCAGCTTCCTCAAATGCTCGGTTTTCCGCACCAATGCTTTTCCGTCGAACAGGAGGGGATCGGGCGTTCAAAGGATCATGAGACGTCGTGGACGGCGCATATGCAGAATTAGGGAGAGGAATGTTTGCTGCACTTGGACTAGGAGTGCGACTTGGTACAGGGCTGGGGCCAATTTCATGTGGTGGCGGTAGCACGAATTTCCCGTTCGCACCAATCGTGGGGACAAAACCATCCGGGATTGGATCTACTGGAGGGTGATTGACCACCGGCATTCCCTGAAATGATGATCGAGGGACTATTGCCCTTTGAGAGGGGTCTATTGTCGTGGCGGGTGGCGTAGTAGCAATAACTTGGATTTCGGGGGGCGGGGCCAACGGCATCTCGTCCTTGGTGCGAGGAGTCGGAAACGGCATCGGCCCAGAATCTATTGCGTCCTGCATTAGCTCCGGGGATTTCACCCGCAATGACGAGTTGTAGTTGCTTCCCCGAGACGTCAGAGGGCGGAGGGAGGTTCGGCGAGTGGGTCGCGCGGCAGCGATTGCTCTCAATTTCGCCCGTTCGGATTTGATGGCTGCATTAAGGTCGAAGTCTGCAGTCGATTGTATGGCACCACTTTTGAGCGCCTCTTCAAAAGCCAAAAGGGCCCTTGATCGCATTTCGTCATACCCATCATCGCGACCTTCCTGCCACCCAATGTCGAGGCCTTCATCGAAGCCCTGCTTTAAACCATCTTGAAGGCCCTCTTGCCGTCCCAATTGCCTTGCCCTCTCAAAGATAAGTTTCTCCTGCAGCCGTCGTGCTGTAGATCGTGCTCGAGCAGCAGCCTCCTCCGCTTCCGTTCGATCTTTAGCAAGAGCATCCACGGCCTGTTGTGCTTTGGCATTCTCTCGATTGGCGAGCTCCAGATGTAATTTGTACGCTTTAGCTTCTGCATCAGCACGAACAGCCAAGGATTCGGCCCGACGGCGAGCTCTGGCTAAACTTCGTTCTCTCTTTTCGTACTCAACAAGCCTACGTTCCATCTCGTTGGTTCGCTCGGACTCGGTAGTGAGCCGCTCTCCAGCATGTTTCAACGCTGCGCGGAGCTCCAGAGCCTGACGTTCTTCTTCTTGCAGTACCCGGTGCAGATTCTTCACGTCAGCCCTCTTCCGAGCTCTCCTTGTACTAATAGGGTCATCTGAATCCCCAATAGTAGTGGGACTGTCCATTGGTTTGACAGGATGTGTAAGTGATGTGATGACAGCCGGGGTAGACATAAGTCTCTCTTGTATGGATGGAGATGTTGCCCTCTCCAGGACACCAGCCAAAGCACGGAGGCTGCCAGTAGCTTGTGATTAGCATAAGCCCAGACCGATTCGATCGGGAAACTCACTCTAGATTAGATGCTAGCCCTCCCTGCGTGGCCATTGTTGAAGGTGAACACCGTCAGTGGCTGAGATGTTCGCAGGCAATACAAAGTTCGTGGACGAGATCCGTAGGCTGTCGTGGGTGCTATGTGGAGCAAATAAAAGCCGGTACAGGGGAAGCAATAAGTATAGTAACGCCTCGAGGCGTGAATCGTTGCTGTGAAATGCCGAAAGACTTGAAACAGGTCAATTCTGTGTGATGCAAACAAGCGTAAACTAAATCCATATATGGGAAGAAATTTCGGAAGTAAGATGACTGATATCGGCGTCAAGACTGACTGCGACGCATCAAGCTCTCTGGTCTCCGAATCGCTCATTTGCACTCGATGTCGATTCCGGATGAGAACAAGGTTGCTGCTAGCGCCCGTACTCTTGTGATGCGCGCTAAAAGTAGCAATACTCTGGAGTGGGTCATGTTTCCATGCCTCGTGGCTACCTTACGCCTCACGATCGGCATGCAGCCAACTCTCAAAGAGTAAAGTTCGGCAAGCACTAGAAGCTGTGGGTGTTTAACAGTTTTGAATGGAATCGCAATCAAGCCCCTATCCACAGGAGCTTGGGTTGGACGAGGGAGCGCTTAAAAAGTTCAAGAACGTCATCTCGCAGGCTGTGGACGAGACGATTGTGAGTTGATGGAAACATCCTTTTTGCGCCATGCTGTGATGATGCTTTTCTAGCAAGCGGAAACAGACGATGAAGCGGAGGCCACATCACCGCCGAATGCAGGCAAGCGGAGGCGGGGGCGTTCTGCCAAAGGCGACGCGGACCTCAATCCTCCTAAACGGAAGGAAATCAATGAACCAAAAACAGTCGAAAAACCCAGGCATCGACTGCCGTCAACAGAAGACGAAAATATTGATGATAATCAGGCCCAGGCGAGTAATTGTACGCATCAAATTCCCGTCATATTTGGTCATCGTTGTACAGAAGGTCGAATCGGAATACAGCGAGGTAATCGACGAATCGCCACCAAGTCCGAAGAAAACAGAGTCTACGAAGGCAAAGCCTAAAAAAGAAGAAAAACCTGTCAGTCTGATAGCACGAAATTGCATTGTGATGATTGATTCTGTTATAGAGGAAACCAAAAACACAAGGAAATAGGGTACCGTCCAAACCGCACGAGGTTGGGGGAGTTGTCCATTTGTCTGGATTCTGTTTTACTCCCCCGTTGCAGAGCGAGTCAGAACTTAGCGAGGTAATTGATGAGCCACCTCCTAAGCGCAGCAAGAAGAGCGATGGCAGCAAGGTCAGTACCGGCGATGTGTTTCAACCGGTGATGTAGCATTTCACCATTCCATCAGGAGCGGACCAAGAAATCGAAGGAACCGGTGGTACGCTTGCCAGAATGTATGAAAAACCTCGAGGTCTAACTCGACACAGTCCAGGAACGATGGGACAATCAAGAAATACAAGGTCCTTAAGATTCACCGAGGGCCCCATGACCTGTGTAATGCTCACTTTACTCTCCAGGCGCTAGTACTTGCCTGTGGCATGCGAAAGCAGTGGTAAGGCGTTGTTATCTCTGCCTGGGACCTTCTTGAGGCAGAGTCGCTACAGGAAGAAAGAGTTTGCCGAATGCCCCACTGAAGCAGCTCAGATTAACCGTTTGAAGTCTATTCTAACCAGTCTTGGCATGAAAGGTCGAATGAGCATGGAACAAGCCAAGGCCATACGCGAGAAACGAGAGTTGAAAGCTGAACTTGGTAATTCTTGTCTCGTATCGCACTGGCACCGGGATTTCTTACATGACATTGTTTAGACGACGTCATTCGATTTGAACGATCGAAAGGCGTCAACGCTCAGCAATCTGGATCATCTCAAGCCGGAGACGATGACGAGAGTGACTCCGAAGGGAACATGACTAAGGTAGAACACCGTAAAATCTCCACCGCATGCAAAATCCCAATGAATCTACAAGCCTTCAGCTTCTAGGAGTATCATGGCATTCCTTGCCGACCAGAGCGATTCGGACTGAACATTTTCAACCCCTGATAGCCCTACCTCCGCCTCACACACACCCGCCCCCATAGTCCACAGCGACCTCACATTCGTGAAATCCTGCCTTAATTATACCTCGATAACTCCCCTTCTTCATAGTTCATCGGTAGCTTATGGGGTGAGGAAACGGACACCAGTGTCTTCGCCACCGCCAATAAGCTGGGCACGACCGCTCTCCCTTAAATAATTAATGACAGCAACGAACAGGGAAATCGGAGCGCCTTTCATTGGTGAAAGACTATCCAGTTCCGTTAATTCATAGGCAGTCAAGATGGTGTTCATTTGGCCTGTCTTGTCGATCTATCGATACGATGGTATGAATAATTTGTCGATCCCTAAGCAGGATTCAAGGGCACCGCGTCCAACACTCACCCAGTCCCACATGACCTCTCCCCATTTATTTCTAGATTCCCAGTAAACGAGCGACGTTACCTTGCCCGGTTCCCGTTGAAAGACACCAGTCGCGTGTAGTTGGGTAAATATGTGAGATTGAATGCCCCTCGTCAGGGTCCCTTCATTTAGAAAATGTCAAAGATGGATATTGGCGACTATTCTGAAGCACGCGTACTTTTTATGCGCGGGTTGTGGAACAACGAATGCCAAGGATTGGAAGGATCAGTCCAATCTTGGACACCGTCGTCTAATACTGCCCATATGCGATGGTAACGAGCAAATGAGATGACCACTCTGGCCCAATTACTCATTTGTGTGTCAAGGGGGCCGTTAGCTTTCTGAAGCCTGTTCAGCTCCTTGTGAGAAGCACACAACGTGCAGCCACGAACTTGATACGCACACGAAGAAAGGTGGGTACGAATGTATGGACGGCAGCACGAAACCTGTTGCACACTGAACTGAGCGGACATGACACTGTGGAGATCGGAGATTAAATTACCTGATGGCAGAGTAAACGGTTTGAATCTTGAGGGTGCACGACTCTGAGGTGGATCGGACATGGTTCTATTGCGCGTGGTTGCTACAAGACGTCAGGGGGATAGTCCTGATACTCGATGCTGAAATGTCTGCGTGGGAGCTTACGGAAATCACACACCTTTGCCAAATAGACGAATAGACAAATAAATTCGGCCAACTCCGCTACACAGGTTTGGTACCCATCAATGCGCAAACAGCTTCTGAGACGTACTCCCACGACCGAAATATCCTATAAGTCTCAAGCCAATGAACGCCAATCATTCTGGCTGTAAGTTTCAAATCAAAAGCAACTGGATCAACTTTTGAAATTGTGTGTGCGCAGCGCGCGTCCACGAGTGACTACAACTAGGTACTTACAAGTCTGGGAAGCTACGTGGAATTTTCGAGGATTCGCAACCTCGTGAGTTCACGTATTCCTCATCAAGATTCGGTAGTACTGACCTGCCCTTTCAAGCCACAAGCCGATCTCTTCATGGGGTTCCCATCTGACCTACAATTGTGATATCGAGCCTTTTTGGCACGACATTATCTCTCAAGTATTACCTCCTGACGGCAATCAGAAATAGATGCGCACTCGCTCAACTTATTGTGGCCTTAGCTGGCAATGAGATAATCAAGCCAGGGATCGGTACACCCCTTAACGATTGCAATCGCATTCTGCACCAAGCAAGGGGCATGATGCACTGAATGACGGCATGCTTCCCAAGATTCTTGTTTAAAGATGAAGAATACCGTTGCTAGGCATTCACCGAGATTGAGACTGATGAATGCAGACAAGTGTTGCACTGTAGACGACCCAGCAGGGGTTGGAGTCCAAGCCATGCTTCTGATCAGAAGGCTCTCAGGCTGATGAGTGAATAAAGGATACTGAGCTAAAGTGGAAAGCTATAAAAGCACGATAACACATCCAGAAACAGAAACCACATAGGATGGTCATTGAGTCATGATAGACGCATATGCATGTAGGATAGTTGAGGAGGGGGAGGTGCAGGTAAAAGTATAGCATAGAACAGCGAGATGAATTTATTTCTAAAGGGAAAGAAGCGCGAATCAGCATTAACATCCCATCACACAAACACAATTCCCCAAACCGATAAACGAAAAAAAAATAGGAAGTCCGCAAAGCACGCCACTCACAAGAATGATGCCATCAAAGCGCTGCTTGAACCAAGCCTGAGTCTCCTCCTTCTTCACCCTATGCGGATACCCAATCCTGCTCTTCTTGCATCTCCGCCTCGAAACCCTCGCCCCAGGTCGAGACATCACAACATAGAAATCCATCCCAAAAATACCAATACCAGGATCATACCTCGCTCCCAGATCGATATGCTCCTGAACCCCAAACCCAAAGTTACCCATGTCCGAAAAGTTCCCACGACGGAGCTCGTACTCCTTCACTTTCAGTCCACGTTCGAGAATCTCCTCAGCTTTAGGCCCTCGAATCGTGACGTGCACGGCAATCTTTTCGTTACGGCGAATACCAAACTGTCGGACGGTGTAGCGCGCTTTGGACGCGACGGGAGTCTGTCCCGTAAGCTGTTCCAAGACCTTGGAGGCACGAGTGAGACGGTCACCGGATTCGCCCACAGCAATGTCTATGTGTCAATCATGGAGAGAAGAGCCCGATACCGATGATGAGGGGACCAAGCCTGACGCATGCAATAAGGGATTGACAACATACTGATGACCAGCTTGTCAACCTTTAATTCCCGCATGGGGTTTGTTGGGGCGGTCTTAGTATCGGCCTAGTGCGAGGGTTCCATACAGGCAAAATGCTCGTCAACGATGCTGGCGCTTACCATTTTCAAGTGCGAGACTCTGGAGTCGAGGAAAGTTCGAGCTGTACAGTTATTGCGCGGGTATTCCCGACACGTGACTAACTCAGCTTTTTTAGCGCTTACCGCTACAGTGTTTGTATTTCTTAAGTATACAAAGAGTCAATCCATGGCACCACCCAAATGCATAAGCGCATTAGAGCATACGTAGTATTTTGGTGGGTTTTATCACCCGCGAAAGCAACAAGAGACTCGAAAAGAAAAAAGTTAAAAACACAAACACAGAGATCTGGGGAGCACCAGAACTAACAGAATTAAGTACGTATAACAACGCATGGTAAGACGGAAGAAGGCAATGACGAAAAGTATCAAAGACCGAGAAAAAAAAAACACCAACAAAAGAAAAAAGGAAGGGAAGGAAAGTTCGCAATCACAAAACAACGCACGCCTCAAACCCCAGCCCCAAGTTTGAAAATCTGTAAAGCCCACGGGAAAAAAATCCTTTTCTCTCTTTCCATCCCACCGTCTCCTTCAAGTGACGGCATATCGCCATGTCTTCACCTTGCAAACTTCACTCATCATCCCAACATCATCCCCACCTCCATCTTCCCCTTCATTCTTCATCCGATACCTAAACCCGCCCTCCACAAACTCAATATCATCTCTCGAAAGCTCAAACCCGATCACCTTTTCCTCAAGCTGCATACCGCTGCCACCACTACCAGCTATCGGAGCAGGCGACGAAATTTCGCCTTCCTCGATCGACTCAGCAGGTGTTTGCGTTTGTCTGGAGGGCGGTGCAGGGACATTCGTGACCGTTCGGAGGGAATAGACACATTGTCGTTGAGAGGGCTTCGCAGAAGAGTCGGCCTCATTCGGTTGCAGAACGTACCTGTAACAACCAATTGAAATATAAGAGCACGTCATCAATCCTGACTGAAAATTCAACTTACGTCATGGTATCATTCATAAGAGCAATCCTCCTCGGTCTCGTCTTCTCACTCTCTTCCAATGCAGGTGAAGGGCTCGTCTCTTCCTGAGCAACTTTCCTCCTCTTTCTGGGTGGCGGCCGAGCTGGAGCATGAGAATGACTGCTCGCGGCAGTACTCTCGACTGACGGGAATGTAGCACTCCGTACCAAATCGGGATGATACACGAAGCTAACGAACGAAAAGATTGCCATCAGTGCACAAACCAAAAATAGGGCCAAAAATGCATACCTCGCAAGATCCCCATTCTTCGCCTCCCCAAACTCAAGCAACACGCTCAACTTCCCACCTTCCTCCTCCCCTTCCTCCATTTCAAGCTCAACAAGCGTCGAATCAGAATATCTCGTCCAAGAACTTGTCGTAGTGTCGCTCCTGTTCGAAGGCAAAACCTTCGAGGCCGTCTCCGGCGACGAAGCAGATGACACTGGCGACAAGGACTTTTGTATCGATCCAGTGGGGGATAAAACACTGGCCGCTGTGGAGGCAGAAGCGGGGACGAGGTTCAATCGCGCACGTTCGGCAGCATACTGCTTCATGCGGGCCTTCCGATTAGGGACGTGTCTGGAATGTGCATACCCAGCCTACTCCAAGCGTCAACAAATGAAGGAAAAGGGAAGGGGGGGAACTTACCGGTAACCACTCAACGCTCGCCACTTCGATCATCCCTCCGTCATGGCTGTTGCCCCACGAAGCACTCTGAATACTCCCTCCAGATTCAGGTCCCATGCTACCCGTAAACTTCGCCTTAATCCCCCTCCAAAAAAGCCTGACTTTCAAGTCCTTCCTCTCACCCGGCTCATCGCTGCCACTTCCGCTTCCACTGCTCTCCTTCTCTCTCTCCCTTTCTCTCTTCCCTCTCCTCCCGCCCTCCTTCTTCTCCGACCCCCTCCTCTCGGAAGAAGGAACATACCTAGCCCCCACCTTCGCACACCTCATCTCCTCCAATTCTACAAACCCACTGTGAAGGACAACAAGTCTTACATCCGAATCATCCGTGTACCCAGCTCTCCCCTGTCCGAACAACATCCCAGGTGTTCCCACGCTGTGGACTACTAACGGATCAAATGGTTTGCCCTTGATCGGCGTCGTACTAACTTGAGTTCCCCATATAGGCAAAACTTGAGGTATAGACGATAGTAGAGAGGAAGAGGGGACGAGTATGGTGAAGGAAAAATGGGGAGCGTAAGTATTCCATTGTTTGGTGTATCGATCGTAGGTTGGATAGTCGAGGTCGTAAGGAAGCGGGAGTGGTGTATCCGGGTAGACGTACGTTCCTAACGACGGCGGCTCGTCATATTGTACGATTTCAACTGCATATTTGCAAACACAGAGATGTTAGCCATGAAGAAAATAACACCAAACTACAACTCACCCTTCGGAACGCTCGATTTCCTCTCATTCGGATGATAATGGTGATGGTGAATCTTTATCGCATGACCAGGATAAGGCAACGGACTCTGTCTCTGCCCTTGTCCCTCTCTCGGTCCCTCCCTCTCCATCTCTCGGTCCCTTTCTCTCTGACTTTGACCAGCCTCACGTCTCTTCGCATCCTCAATAATGCCCAGAGGCCCAGATGTGGACGTCGTCGTCGCCACACCGACACCACCAAATGGAGGTCTCTCAGGACTAGAAATACTCCTCCCAGGACCCAACCTTCCCTCGACGCCGTCGATAACCTCCCCTAGCGTCATCCCAACCCCGCCACCACCACTCCCCGTACTAACACCCATGTTCATACCCACCCCACCAACATGCATCCCATGTAAGGACGGAGTACCAAAAGGCGATGGGGACAGCAACGTTCCAACACCACCACTATGTGTATGAGGATGTGAGTGAGGGAGTGAATGCGCATGATGAGTATGAGCGTGATGCGTATGAGTATGGTTATGTGGGTGATGAGAATGAGGTTGTGAGTGTGAGTGCGCGTGCGAGAGAGAATGGGGATGCGGGTGCGAGTGCGAATGAGGATGAGGATGACCATGAACATGGCCTGCAATTTGTTGTGCCAAGATCGGGGTTCCACCATATTCAAGGGCGGTAGATGGCGACGAAGGAGGTTGAGGTTGAGGAACTTGCACTCTTCCTGCTCCAACGCTAGCAGCAGTGGGAGACAACGACGGAGGACCCTTCACCAGAACACCACCTCTATCGCTACCACCAACACCCCTCAAATACGCCGGAGGGCTCATATTCCCTCCAACGTTCATCGCACTAACCTCATATCGCATCTCCCTTTCCCTGTCGACGCCTCCCACGGGGAACCTCTCCCTCTCGCGCTCACGATGAGAAGACAAGGCAGGAGGACCGACAACGACGGACGATGGCGTTTGTGGCATTGGTGGAGGCATCACTCCAACAATCGGCGGTCCAGCACCACCAACCGTTGGATCAGCAGAAGGCACGATCCCATACGCAGCGACAGCAACCACACGATCTCTCTCGCGTTCCCGTTCTCTTACATTCGGATCTCTTTCTCGCTCTCTCTCCCTCCTATCCCTATCCCGCTCCCTCCTCGAAGAACCCGACTCCATAAGCTGCTGTCTCGGGCTATCACCCACTCCATTACCCATCTGCTGTTGCAACATCTGTCCCTGTCCCTGCACACCGACACTGCCGGAACCCATAAACGTTCCCACCGTATTGGAACTAGGAGCCCCAACTCCTGATATCGACGAAGACAACACCGTAGCACTCCTCTTGACGCCCCTCGGAGCACCGCTGCCGCCGCCGATTCGATCCCTATCACGCTCCCTGTCCCGGTCTCTCTCCCGATCACGGTCACGATCCCTGTCCGCTCTATCCCGCTCTCTATCGACTCTGCCAGTTGTTGAAGGGGGAATAGGTAACGTCCCCACCCTCGACGCACCACCACTCTGGGACTGCGAACCAGGCACAGACCCAGTAACCGTTGGTTGACCACCAACGATACCTACGGAGGACGGTGGAGTATTATAGGATTGAGATGGAATATGAGTTGGTGAAGAGTGTCTATGTGAGTGACCCGAGTGAGGATGACCCAAGTGACCCGATGAGAGAGAAAGGCCTGAATGAGAGTGCACGAGTGAAGGATGAGGATCCCTGTCGACGACACCATGTAAACTGCCCCTCTCCGTCTTGAGCCTTGACGTAGGCGAAACATCCCTTCTTCCACTCAAATCCCCATACGATGATCCAGACCCATGGTGACCGCCACTAACACTTCGAGAGGTAGCGCTGATCCCTGTCGAAGTACCTGAAGGAGAGATCGAAGTGATGATGGCAGTGCTACCGCTTCCGGAAAGGTGGTTCCCAAGGTTACTGCCACCAATATTAATAGCACTACCACCACGATCCGTACTCATTGAATTGTTGTTCCCATTCCCGCTGTTACCACTACTCATAGTCGCAGAACTGTTGTTATTAATGTTATTTGTGGGTGTGGGAAGATGGTGTTGTTGTTGCGACTGCGTAGTGGCCGTCGCAGATGCAGTGGTCGGGGCGGTGTTAGGAGGATTTACGACATAATGCCGCATCTCGGGAAGTTCGCCTGGACCTGCTGAGCGGGATGACAACGGGGCGTAATCATGTGGTGAGTGAAGAGGGAGAGGCGTGGGTGGGACTGTATGAGACGTTCGATGAGATTGATAATGATGGTGGTGGTTGTGGGAAGATGAAGTGTTGGCAGCGGGGTTGGTTGCGGTGGGGTAGGCAGAGATATTATAGCTAGGCGAAGTGGGCGGTTCCCTTTCACGTTCTCTTGCCGTCGTAATGTTACCAGCTGAAGTGGGAGCAGTACTCGAGGTCATACTCGTGGCGTTTCCGGTTGAATATAAAGCAGTTGAATAGGGTCCGCCTTGCTGCTGCTGCTGCTGCTGCTGCAGATCTGGAGAACTCGTGCTATTACCGTTGTTAATTGCAGGCCCACCACCTCCTGCGCCAGGACCATAGCGAGAGCCAGATAAGGTGGAGGAGTTTGACCTTGTACGTTCCCGCTCGCGTGGCTCGTAAGAGGCACTACCACTTGAACCTACATTACCATAGGCGGGAGATCGTTGCATTATAGGCGAAGATTGTGGTCCTGAAGAGGAGGTGCCACTAGGTGAGGTATAGGATGCGTGTGGATGTCGATGAGAATCATGCGGGGGAGGGCGTTGGACAAAGCGGGCATCATGAGGGGTCGTCGCATTCGTTGCAGTTGAAGATGGTGGTTGAGCAGAGGAGTCGTAGAGGTGATGTAGTTGTCGTTCTTGTCGTTCTTGTCGTTCTTGCTGTTGCTGTTGCTGTTGCTGTTGTTGTTGCTGGTGGAGCTGAGATTCTCGCTCCCTTGGAGATGGGGTAGGAGCATCTGAAAGTAACGAAGCGACGTTCATGGACGTGTGTGGCTATCTGGTGAAGAAGAGAAGAGAAAGGAGGTTTGGTGGTCAGTGGTTGGTGGTTGGAAAGCGGTATGATTAGCGAGCGGTGTGGCGTGTGATCTGCAACTGTAGGGAAAAGTGAGCTTACTTGATAACAAAAGGCGGTGAAGGTGCGTGCGTGCAGGTTTTTCGTTTTGTCTTTTTTTTCTGACTCGGCTTATCTCCTTCGCTGGTCTCGTTGGTTGTTATGAGGTGTGTTAGGGAGCGGAGTATCCGTCCTGAGAAGAGGTGAAGGGTGTGAGAGAGAGAGCAGTAGATGGAAGAAGGAAAGAGATGGAGCGAGATGAGGATGGATGAGACCGACCGGGGAATGAAAAAACGAAAAACGAACTAGGGAAGAAGAAGAGAGCGATTTCAACCCAATCCAAGCCAATGAATCAAATATCATCCCCCCCTCGACCACGCTTGTTTCCGTACTTTCATATACATATCACATCACTCGATTACAGGGAATATGTCGGTTCATTCTGCTTCTGATCGTCCATCCATGGGAGAGAATGAAGGGGACGAACGAGCATCAACCACCTTTGCGCTTCCGCCCTGCGCTCGTGCGCTGCGCCTTTGGCCCATAAGGCCCCTTTCGGCCATCGTGGGAAATCAAACAAGTTTTTTTTCCTTTATGATATGGATTCCGTTTCGAGCCACTCATCCCTATTTCAAGCAATTCAGTTACTTTCCAAATATGGATGTTTCAATATAAATACCTTTCATACCTAATCGAATGACTTAATTCAAACTATCTTAATTGAATCCACTCTCACAGTCCGCTCCACCCAATCACAGCTAAATTTAAATCCGCCATTCAATCACCACAAAGTTCCTTACCATTCAATTAACAATCAGGTGGTAGTGGCTGTACATCTTTCCGGTTACTCAATTCTAATCAATTGACGATTGTATTCTTTCCTCCCCGGCGTAATCAATACATATGTGCGCAGTTTATATTGCCTTTCCCGAATTGGGGGTATCACGATCCGCTTTTCATATATCCCACTGAAAAATATCGATCACAACACCAACCACAAGACTTCAGACGACCCCGCAAGCGACAACGTGCATCACTCGCGCCATCTCATATCAGCTAGCGCTGAGGAAAAGTTGTCAACGGACTTGACGCTTCTTTGCCGATGTTCAATGCGCTCGCTAATTAGATCAAGACCCTGTTATCACCGACTGCCGCGCGCTACATCCTGGATTGACATCTACCATACGCTCCTGCACATCATCCTAGCCTAGAGCCAAGTAGCGAGCACCCTCACCGCCGAATTAAGCGCCCAGGGACAGTCACCAGCACCAGTTACTTGGCCGCGCGTCAATCGTGTTCTCAACAGCCCTGTAGCTACAGAAACCAAGCATCGTCATCATAATCACCATATACCGTCCCTGAAAGGGGCGCTGTCCGCCAACGTCCAACTACTCTTTCATTCAACACTCACAGCTATTTTCAGAGGTCATCTCACGCTCAAAACCTTTCAAATATGCAACGCCCGCGATCCAACTCAGCTCATTCTACCTTGACCCCCACCGCATCATGGAAAGCACATCCGAGAACACCTACCAGTGTTGGACGCTCACGTCATCTCCACATACCTTTATTCGGGCACACAAACATATCCCCCCGCGCGTTCGGGCATCACGGCACCAAAACAAAAACAAAAACAGACAAGACCCACCGATCATGATGTCTATCGCCCCAACTTTGCCGCATGTACCAATTCCCCGTTCTGATCATCCATCATTCACCCATTGGAGTGCCCAGCTAAACCTAATAATCCTCCCAGGGTGAACAGTATGTTTACAACATGCCACTTATGCTTCCTACTTCAGTCTCATCTTGATCTATTCGACCGACGTCACATACCCCCAATAGCATCTCTTCCAATGGAGAGATATGATTATCGACTCTCAACTGAGGTGCAGGACCTCCGTCATGACCAATCCTGATCAATCAACCCGCTAAAGGACGATCCCAGTCTGACCGAAGTCTGATATTTTAGGCTTCAAGTTCATTAATGAGATGCTGCTTGAGCCATCTCAAACTTATGATCGACTGGGTCCTCAGGCTGGTTCTTCCCTTCTCATGTGCGGATCCCGAATAACTTTTCACCTTATAGGATCATACATGTGCAATCTTACCGGATCTTATCCCAATGGGAGTATCCATCACTGATAACATTGTTCGAAAAAGATCTAGGCCTCGACTTCTAGGAACATGCGCGTTTCAACAGATCGGATAGCGAAGCCAATCTACCCGGAAAAGCAGTAAAACAACAAGCAGCGTCTTCCGTCGGTTCGCACGACCTCTTCAAGATAGGGTATGGGCCTATAATCGTGATACTAAAATCCGTAATAAGGCCTGTCCAAATTTTACCCAAGAAAGATTCTTAATCGCCCAATCTAATGGATCCACCCTAAAGTATACATTGGCATCTCACACTAGTTGCCACTATCGCCGCCGGACTTTGACAGCACCTTGCTACGTAGAATATAGTGTTGGCGCGCCCATGCCACCCATCATGATGAAAGGATGTCAGAGATTAGGGTGGAATCCCATCGACTGACCGCCAGTTCAATAATCCCCGCTCCCGCCCAATTGCAGCTTGATAACGCCGCCCCCCTCCGGTTCTCAATTAAACGATACCAATTGCCACAGCAGCTATTCAAACGTGCCCACGGTAGTTCAGGACTCGAACCTTCAAGTCCCTGTGTCCCGTTTCAACTTTCCTTCTTCTGATCTTCAGCGGCAGCAAACTTCCACTCTCCCTCTGGAGCTCCATCATATGTGAGTGACACTAGTAGACTGTCTTGCTCCAAAACTCTGCGAGTACTTGTGCATGCCCTACACTCTAGAAGGGGCTTACAACGAGCTGATGGACGGTCCGAGGTTGCCCGACGTTGATTATGCCCGCTCTGTAATGCCCGTCCAAATAAGCGTTTTGTAGCTACACACCTCAGCCAATTGATGATTTACTGACTAACACAACGGGATGGGGCCTCCACGACACTACGGTTGTTTACTAACATCTTCTCATTCCTCATAGTACCCCAACGTCTCTGCCTGTCGATCCTTAGGCTACATATGATGAATCAGGGGCCCTCTCAATGGATGCTACTCTGGATGCTAGCATTCCGGCCAACCCCTTGAAGGCTATGCCTGGCCTCTTGCCACGTTACCCCCCTCGGAGGCGTCTGGTGGCAAAACTTTCCTGCGAAATGGCCACTGCCGCGTATTGATCATTCCATTGACACATCCATCGCGATCAATGATAACGTTGGCCAATTTATGTGATACAAAAGCCGCTGTGAGATATGGGCCTCCGACATCATATTTAAATCTTTCCCCCTCCCAACCCTCCATATCGACAATTCTACATACTTGTGCTACCAGAGTGCGTGCTTCGCATCGCGAATACCTGCACAGCATGTGATGCCTATGGGCAGACATTGAGGTGCGAATGAAGATGGGAGACTTGTATGGTTGGACGAAACGTGAAGTGGCAGCTACAAATATATTGGAGAAATAGGTCACATGATTTGATATAAAGGTCACAAGGCCGAGAAGGAACACGTCATCAAAAGTACACGTTTTACGTAATGTTGGTAAGGCAGAATGACAGTTCTGCTGTGCAGGTAACTACGTCACTCCTAGAAATCATTCTGGCGAACTCCAAGCAACCTTAATCCGTCCCATCGATTAAATCCTCATCACCATCTGGGGAGAAAGCGAGGAAGTACCCGTTCCAATGTAGATACAAAGCAATGCCACTCAATACAAAGCATCAGCTTCTCCCATTCCAGCAATATTCACGATAGTCCAAATGGATACCCACTAATATGGACTCCTCACCTTTCCAGCCATCTCCCGGCAAGAGCGACGTATCAGGGCGGCACCTTCCGATTTTCGCCAGTCGTGCTGCCGGCCTCGATGAAGTCCGATGCGGTCCCCAAAGCCCCTCAAAGCCCTCCTCTCCCCGATTTAGCCCCCTCTCTCACCCTTTCCCAATTCTTTCCCGCCCCCCTTCCTCTAAACCCAAGCAGTCCATTTTGAACCTCACATCGCATTGCCCGCCACTCACCGATCCGACATCCGTACAAAGCCCAATATCCTTATGGCAATCCGTGTCCGGTAAACCCCGATCCCGAAGGAGAAGGACAACTTCCGACGGGTTTTCCCCCCTCCCCAGCCCTTGCCAAATTCCGATTGACTTGCAAGGCCAAAATATTTTTTTTCCAACTTTTGAGCTACTGGTGATCAATTGCCAACACTATCATCGTCATACACCGCATTCATTCTAATTTTCGACTCAGCCCAACTTTCCAACACCCTAAATGAAAGAGTTTCTCGTGCCACTGGATCAACATGCTACACGTTTTGATACCATCGGGGATACAGTAATCCCACGTTCGCATTTGCCCGCCGCCCCCGCTAGGCAGGTGACTACCGCCCCGTAAGCGGCTGGTTGAAAACGCACAGCTTGCCATATAGGTCATGCCACACCTGCCCATGATTTGTAATTTGCGGCAATTTCCTCCTATCCGGCCGGGCCCTCCGCTCATCCCCTTGTTCTCCTTCTAGTCAGACTCTAAACAGTCACAAGCAAAAAAAAACAAACAAACAAGCGCTCATGAGTTGGTAAGGACGGAAACGTGAATCGATCGTAACAAATGACGCAGCGCAACTGGATAGTACCGGTGGGCAGCAAGGCAGCTAATCGCAAACAAGTCGATTAGAAGCCTTTGAGATCCACGGAGCCAGCCAGTTGCGTCGTTGTCATTTTGTTTTTGGCGCCATATTTCGAAGGAGAAGCCAAAACCTGATGCTTTTCTTTCTATCCAAGAAGATTCATCCTTCAGCACAGATACAACAATGATCGTTCTTGCTGCGCTTCCAATGTGCATCGCCTGTATGAGTAGTGTTGTACATATTGCGAAGCGCTCATCAGGCCTTGGATCGAAAAAATAAAGAATCCATTCATGCGACTTTTGCTACGTGTTCATACAATGCTCGAATGGTTCTTGTCGTCCACCACGTGAGGGAGGCGCAACACACATACAACCGCCGAGTCCGATCGATCGCCAGATTTCCTCTTAAGAGGAATGCCACATACATCGATTCCAACACGGGGAGCATGGGTAATCAGAACCATATTTTCATACGCATACAGTCTTCCACTTCATTGTGCTTCCAGTAAGATTTGGGCACTTCTAACCAGAACAGGAGAGCTGCCCAAGGGCAATTCAAGGGGGAACTCCTGCACCCACGACAGGTTTGTGGAAGCAGGTGCATACCAAACATGCGAACATGCGAATGACTATTAGAGTGATACATAACCAGAGTTACAAACGTTGATAGGATGCCAGACCATGTGGGAGAAATTTAGAAGTAAAGAGTTCACCCATTTTGAGGAATCTGAGGAAAATATGTTGATACCGACTTTGTCCATATCCGCCCGTCCGAATGAACCGTTATTCCTTCCGAGTCTCCGCAGATAGAACGAAAAAGATACGAGGGATCGCAATAGAATAGAATAGCGCTAGCAGCCCAAGGACTCGACTCAGACGGAGATATCCTGAACATTCGAGAGAGAGGCTCGAGGTTGAACTTGGGAGGGAACTGCGCTCTGAAAATTTTCAGGGAAGAGGGCGGGAATCATCCTCGCTCAAACCAAAACAAGCCCCAAGAGTCTTCAACGATATAGGCATCTGAGGCGCGGGAGCGAATATAGTGGGGATTAATACACTCGCACCGGCACTGCTCACACCGCAACTGCTACCGATAACGCCGTCGGAACTACTGAGGCCCAAACCATCACTCACACGGGTCCCACTACTGTCATGCGCATTGGGGCAGGGTCCAAGACCTAAATCAAGACCAAGACCGAGAGTGGGGTCTATACTACCGCAACCAACCCCAAAGCCAACTTCGGCATCACACGTTAACGAATCAGGAGCCGTGGCCAACACGTCTCTGACTAGCAATCTCATCGAGGAACCAATATCTTCACGAATACCATCCGAAGGAGACCGTGAGGCCGCGACATCACCCATGAAAGAAAACGTGGTGGGGGAGGAGGTCGAGGAAGACGAATCACCATTATTGACGCAACCAATGCCAAGGCCGACCAAACCTCCAAATGACGGGGCATCAGTTCCGAAGAAACCCATGTGTTGAGTCACTAGGAACGGTAGGGGAGCAGCAAGTCCGTGACGACCAAACCTTTGCTCAACAGGTGGAACACCAAATCCAAGGGAGTTGTAATTGAGTTTCTTCCCGACTGCATTCGAGCCCATGGCCCCATTTGAGTGTCCGACAATACCAGAAAACCCGGGCCCAGGCTCGCGACCAGCAAAGTACCCATGATCTCCAATCGAGCTCGTAGATTCAGAAGAAGAGGAAGACCTTGCACCGGTGCCTACAAATTGGCCCATACTCTTACTGGAATGCCTCGACGCGACTGAAGAATCGTCAGGCGACGCCTCTCTGTCGATGACAGCTCCCGGAGTATGTTCAAGGTTTCTTGGGGCATTCATGTCACCAATTGACGAACCAGGAGCAGAACTGTAGTGAAAATAAGTCTGAGTAAATTCAGGAGCGTTATCCTTGAGGATTTGCGAGATAGGTGGAAGAAGTCTGCTATTCTGGAGAGCTGAAACTGGTGAGGCGGCGGCAGACGAAGACGAAGATGGAGAAGTTGAGGAAGATGCGCTGCTCCTGCTAAGTACCGAGGAGCGCCAGTTGGGATCACGGCACGAAGCTGATTGAGGTTGAGCAAGAGCTGTAGTGAGGCGAGGCCCGAAGTTGTCTTCCACGATGGTATTGTTTCCCGGCGCGTATGACTGATAACGTCCGGTCAGTAACGTATAAACGTGACTGAGTAAGAAACCCTTACATATTTTCCAACAATCTTCTGTAATGCTTGAGGGAGCAGTCTCCAGGGGAAAACCTTCACATCCTTCTCGATGTTCCTTGGCCGAGGCGGCGGGTAGCTCATGATCAGCGCAAAGAAAGGATCAGAAACTCTACTTTTGGATACCGTTACTGGCTTGAATCCTTCAAGATTCCTTCTGATACGATTTTTTTCTTCAACGCTAAATTTGCTGGCGATGAGGGCTTCTAGAAGAAAAATGATGTCCACAGAGGTGATGTAGCATTCGTCGGTCGCGTCGTTGAGGATGCAGCTAACAACCGTCATAGTTTCATCATATCGGTCGGTGGCGAGGGGGCTAAACTTCAAGGAAAGAACCGAGTCTTCCTGATGGCGCGAGAGTTTGACGAGGCGCCGACGGTTACTGAACTCTTCCATGGACCTAATATTAGAGGTCGATTGATGAGACCGGACGTGCGAGTAGCATTGTCCACGTACCACCCTGTCGCCATGGTGTTCAAATCCCCTTCAATATTCAACGTGACTCGAGTCTGAGATGGAATCTCGCCGTTGGCACCACGGTATACAGTAACAGGTTCCCCCTTGGCAAAAACTCTGGAGGTGGTAGAAGACGAAGCACGCTTCTTGGAACTTGACGCCTTGCTGCTCTGGGTGCGTTTGGATGGGACGTATTCCTCATCCGACTCGTACGGACGCTTGCCACGAGACAACACTGGCGACGCCGAACGAGACTGGCCTAGATATCAAACATGTGAAAACTGTTGGGTTGGTCATCGAATCTTTGATCACCTCTTTTGAGATCACTGGCACGGTACATGCCCAGTTCAACAGAGTCGAAGATATCATCTTCATTCTCAACCATTGCTTGAACCGAGGCCTTGATAGAGCCTGAAAGACTTAAGTCAAAAGGCATTGCACCACGGAGTTCGATCGAGCCGTCCGGAGAGTGGATAGTGACTGTCTTTAGAGGGGTATCGTCGAGGTAAATTTTGAGTTTAGGGTTAATCTTCCCATCGATAAAGGGGTCTCGGTAATGGAGGCGGACGTGAAAGAGATTGGCCTTGTGGAAAGCCTCGATGACGGCCATCGAGCCATAGTTGGACATCTGCGTGTCGCTGGACGAGTCGCGAACAGCCGATGGTTGAACGCGACGCGGAAGGGTGTTCTCCACCACACTATTTGTGGCACCCAAGGTGCTGCGGTGCAGTTGGGCTGGGTTGATGCTTTGTGCTGGGATGGGGGGTGGAAGGAATCTGGAAGAAAGCAGAGAGGAACTGGGCATGGCGGACAGCTGACCGACGGAAGGAGATGCAGCCTCATCGATAAGAGGCTGAAGGTCCATGTTAGGAATACTGTTGAGAGCGAAAAGGCACTCTCGAGGGTAACGCGGGATCACGTTGTGGCAAATGGCGGATGGAAGGACCAAGGATCCCGGAGTTTGCGTAAACATTCATGAGGGCGTGGGAACCACACAAACGATCGCCCCTCCCTTGGAGAGATCGCAGCCGCGTGTTGGATTATAATCACTGAAACCAACACGGCCCCGCGATCCTAGCCTCACGCTAAAGAAGCACCCGTCTAATCCCTCTCTTGACATGGCCGCACTTGAACACCGTGACTCAAATAAATCTGATGATGATTACATAAATTCAGCGCGAAAAGTGCCTTTGCTGCAACATCCAAGCGGATTGACAGATATCCCAACGTGCTGGAAACCAACCTCTCTGTGGGGTATGGTTGGTAGTGACCCGCAGATGGCGTCAAAGTGGTATTGTTACCGGAAGACGATTGGCCTCTTGACGATACCGCATATTACTCTGGTTCCCCTTCATACCATTATCACGGTATGCTATCAGCCCCGGAACATGGTCGGCTTCATATCAACCCTTGCCCGAATCCCGCGATGAGCTGCCATATCAACTCCAGAGGATTAAAGGCGCGTGGGTCCCAAAGTACTAGCTTGTCACATAATTGATCATGTTCTTATCAGTAGGCTTGGTCAGTTTCGAGGGACTAATGTGCAGGAGTCCAAGCCCGAATCAGTTGGACGTATCCAATTTAAGCAGCCTACGCGATACGACCTATATAAGGCATCCAGGCATCCATAGTGTAAAATGTATGGCCAAGAAACAGGTGAATCTTCCTTTCGAAACTGTCCACTATGGGCTACCCCGCTCGGCACTCCAAAAGGACGATCCGATTGTGGTGATCTAGCCACTCCATGCCCAAGTACCAGATCGGGTCCAGACAAACGGCAGCTTCCGCCATCAGAATACGTTTATCAGTGACAACACCGGGCAGCATTCCAGAAATTGTCGTCGTGTTGATCGCCTTGAAAATGGTTGCCCCCTTGATTATGGAGACAACGATTAAGTAGCGATCGAACCCGTAATAAGGGATCTTCCCAGATTGAATAAAGGGTCGACACTGTTAGAGGAAACCTCCTTCCAAGAGGGCGCGACTAAATGCCCAGACGCCGCCAAATGTGGAATGATGTAGGAACGAATTGCTGCCTTCCGAAAGAAAACGCTTCAGAGAACAGTATTCGATGGTAAGGAGCTTTCCGGCATCATTCATGACTTGAGACGCCCGACTCGGTATCTCTGCTTACTCGGAATCGCTCAACATTGCTATGACTTCATCGCTGGTGTTCCTGATGTAATTGGGCAATGTTGAATACAGAGATACAAGGCAACAGGAGTTGCCTATCCATAAGCTTCACATCCCCATCGACCCCGTCCGAATGGAGGCTGCGCAGACCGTTAGCTATCCACAGACCTGATCGAAATCTCATTGTCATGCCATGTTCCCGCAAATTGCGTCTGGGCTTCTGGTTGCATTGCGATGGGAGCAAAATTGCGAGACGAACGGGAATGTGAATCACTTGAAGTTGGATCAAAGGCCATCCACGAAACGGGTTAGTCTTTGGGTGTTGCGAGTTTCTCCAGACTTCGACAGCCCCCGAAACGTACTGCGGCATGGGGAACATCTCAGCATCAACATCGCTGTGGTAGACTTAACTTTGCCAAGACTTCCAGTTTTGCTCCAAGGTATCGCCGAAGGACATTGTGACAAATTTGCACCACCAAAGCCTGGAAAGCGCTCCCAAATGTTCTCAAGTGCTGTGGAAGCCTGGGAGCGCTCGGGAGTACCCTAGACTTTGTTCCTGAACCTGTCGGGTTTTCGTGATGTTGGGCCAGACTCGCGGTTGTGAGAAGCAATATTAGGTTCACGGTGGACGATCACGCGCGCCGCGACAACTTTGGCATCTCTTGGACGCCTCCCATCTGTATGTTGCGAGGTTTGGAACGACTGGTGATCTCTCCAGTTCAATTTATTTGATTGGGCCCAACCCAACCCGGACCTAGCGGGGGCTTCCATGGTTGTGTCTTGAAAAAGTCTCTTGGGTGTAAGGCTCCAAGAACGAAATATTCTTCCTCTGCAGTCTAAGAAAAAAAGCACGTGTTTCACATCTAGTCTACATGCCAAAAGTAATTAAAGTGAGCCCGACACTTCATCAGCAAAAGGTCCTCAGGGTTTCACTTCAAATGGTTTGAAAACAATTGAGTTCACTTCTGAACTGAATTGAAACGTGACACCTTTACTAAAATGCTTTGGGAAATTGGTCAATTCGGCCAGTTTCATTGTATTAGAAGCAACAGGATCATCAGAAGTGTCCAAAGTTGACTGCGACAATTTCCTGATGTTGGCAGCCCTCCAACCCTCGCCCCTGGCTCTTGGCACAGAATCCACTGGGTTTAGGTTGACGCATTGTCCATTCTGCATGCCACACGTGACACCACCTCGAAAAGAGAGGGCTAACGTTGGCTGTAACAGAAGCACACACACACACACACACCCTAGCACCTTACCACTCACCTACCAACAGATCCAACCCCCACCATGGCCGAACGTCAAAATTCGGACCCAGGAGGGACATCCGACAGTCACCCGACGCCGACACATCAAACGCTCAACAATTGGTCGAACCTCAACGCCATACAGCTCTCTCTCCATGGCCAAGCAGATGTAGTAATGGAGACCGACACCCTCTGGCCTAGAACAGACCCCACAGAAGACGACCAGCAAACCATCGGCAACGTCACTGAAATGATGCAGGACACACTAGACGGACTCGCCCTCATTAGAGATACAGGCATATGGAACCACCTGCACTACTTCAAGAGCTGGCTCCAGGAGATACTGGCGCTGGACACCGAGAACACGAAACCGGACGCAGCTGAGTCCAACCCTAATAACCTCACCGTGCTAAATGACATTCTCTTAGAACTAACACAAAGAGTCCATACACTAGAACTTGGACAAAGCGCACACCACACCGCACAGCCCACCGCCCTGCCCAGAGACCCGGAGACTGCAGCCACTCCCATGTCGGCACCCAAAACAACATGGGCGAGCGTGGCAGCCAGACCCCCCCAAATGCCCATCCCAGCCATCACGGTCAACAACCAAAACCAAGACGACACGACACGACACCCAACTGAACACACCTCAACAGCTGACCCAAGATGTCTTATCATCCAGCTGAACCCCCCGATCAAACTAGAAGACCGCCCGAGCGGCATCGTAACACGAGAGAAGATCAATGATCTCCTAGAGAAGAAAAACGTCCTGCACTACCTGAGAGTGATGGCCATTGGATACTCGGTAGCGGGTAATATCAAAATCACGTCAGCCCCAACATGCAAAGCCTCCGACCTCATCGCCTTCGGACACGAGATAGCAGCCACAATCACCCAAAACGAGGTAACATCCGTATTGCCAGATGTGGAGCACTACCGCATCAAGATCAACAAAATCCTGACACACAACAACGATGTCCCGATCTCCTCAGGAATGGTACACGAGGAACTTTCCACCTATGTGCCACAGTACAATGGCCTGAAGCATTGGAGACTCCCAAAATGGCTCGGCTCAGACGAGACTATCCATGCTAAGAATCACGCCTCAATCGTTATTGACTTCTCTAACAAAAAAGACAGAGACCTTTTTCTTAACCTTAGATCGGTCTACCTATTCAACTCCAGATGCACCATCACTCCATATGAAGATCGCATGCAAGTACATGCATGTAGCAAATGCGGCATGCTGTCCCATCACACTGCCGTATGCAAACAAGCCAGATGCCTGAAGTGCGGTGCAAAAGATCACAAAACCACAGACCACCCGGAGGACAATGACCTCTGCTGCATCAACTGCAAGGGCAACCACGATAGCGCACATAAAGAATGCAAGGCCAGAAGAAGCCGCATGGGACTCCCCCCATCCCCGAAACGCGTGCCCACACCTCAGCCCCAAGCGCCCACAGCCCGAGTGGAAAAACAGGCAAAAAGAAAAGGCAAAAGTAAGCAAAAACAACCTACCCCTCAGTCCGCACCAGATGAAACCCCAGACCT